TCTGGTGTAAATGCAGCAAAAAACGCAAAACTGAAAATAACTCATGAACGATAGGAGATGCCTGAAAACTAATATGCCCATGTCACTCCCACATGCAAGACCTTTCCGATGATGTATAAAACATGTCTCTATATCAATCGGTTATTGAGATCCTTCTTGAAGCAGCGTAGACAGATGTTGTTTTATTAGTATAGATTTATTGGTATAGATAGAAGACAGAAGAGATAGATAGAAGATATACAGAAACACTCCATCTGCAACCAGAGATGCAAATTCAGGGCAGAGAATCATCTCAAATACAGTGGGCCTGTCATTGGCCCCAACTAACAAGGGAGGTAGAAAAACAAGAATACCTATTAAAAATATAAAAAAAACATATTTTGATAGTAGTCTGTGAAACTATAAACAAGGGCATTTCTTCATTGAAGTCAACTTGCATGAGGTTTCGTAAGTCTGCTGTCAGGCATGACAGCTTTAATGTTTAACAGGCTAGATTAACAAATCCTCTTTTAATTAAACCCTTTGATCCAGATCTGCTAAATCCTTCTTTGTAATAGACCTGTACAGAGCTACCAGTAAATCAAGAGTAAAACACTCCAACTGAAAAATCTGCTTAAAAGGTATGCGAAGTAGAAATCACTTAAAAAAGGGTAAATTCCTGAAAAGGCATCATGTTGCGAGAGAGAGAGACACAGACGGACAGACATTGCAATTATTGTATTTTTCAGCTCATGAAACTGAATTATGTTTAAATTTACTACAGGAACAACCAAATTCTTTAAGTCATCAGTCAACGATCTGAGTTCCACATATGTATGCTTCCTACAATTGGAAATTTCTGCATTTGTTTGGAATGGAGTGCTTGCTCTCTCTCTGGAAGGATTCACTCTGTTTACCTAATTTGGGAAGGTATAAGGCAAAGGTTGGGAAGAGCCAATGCTTGGGGACACCAGGTGGGAAGAATCAAAGATCTGATCATCTACTCTCCAATTCCTGTCAAAGAGCCAAACCGATGGTCTGTCAACATTACCTTGCAATAACAACAGCAACTTACGTATATATAGCATGTTTCACATGGGTAGCATCTGCTAGGCAGAAAGGCTTTAAGACTCAGGTAAACTTACGGGGAACCAAATGCCGCTGTTCGAGTGATGTTAATCCAATTCAATAAAAAAAGTAAAGTTTTTCTTTAAAGAATATGAGCTCTTAAAGATATGTAGTTAAACTGAGCGTCACGAAACTGCAGTAAACATTGGGCTGAGCTAACCTTTCAGCTTGTAATCAGAATTAACATCAAATCAAACCAACCCTCGTTTTGAAAGGACTGCAGAAGATCCACTATGCATAACTAGTTTTATAGGCGGTAAATTTCATTCCATATAAAATGATCACAGGAGAGCAAGTATATAAAACAATCACAGGGAAGAAGAAAAAGGGGCTTGGAAAAATCACTAATTTTTGACTATGTAAACAAGGCACAATTCAGCTTTTTGTACTGATATCAAAGTAGATTCACCTATGTAGACAGAAATCTGGACAAAAATATCTATAAAACTACTTTAGGTTTATCTGGGGCAGAAAGAAGTGGATTAATGTACTTCCCATGACAGATAATTCCCAGATAAACAAGGCAATTTTCCTCCCAAAATAAACCACTTACACAGGCTTTTCATATCATGTACTAAGGTGATGTAAACAGAAACAGATGTCTCATGAGATGGTTGTCACTGGCAGAATGGGCATTTAAGGCAGAGCTTTCTCATTCTGTAATTCTGGCTCAGAAAGTATTCTGTACTTGAGATTCAAAATAAAAGGGGCTGGAGTTCCCAACTGAGTTTTCCAATTCAAAACCTGTTGCGCGGTAGCCAATTTGACAGTACAGTACAGAAACCAAATCAAATTTCCAGATGCTTGCAAAGGCAATGGGAAAGCGAACAGTCACCACTGTGAAGTAGGAATAGCTTCTATTTACTCCAGTGATCAGTCACTACACTTGACAGCAATTACTGGGAAGTGCTTATTTAGGAGAAAAGAAGCCACAACAAGCTCTTCATATCCAGAAATGAACACATGACTAATCGTATCTCATGATTAAAATCAATTCTAATTTCAATAACATTCATCTCAAACCAAGAAGCCACGTTCAAACTTTCCGAGCTGACCGTTTAAGAAGCTGAGGCTGCCCGACAGTTTGTAGTACACACACCATCACGGGTTATTTAAGCCTATAATCCAGCCCTTGCTTCAATAATAAAGCTGCATTTAGTAGTCAACAGAGAGAAACAAGAAGCAGTTTCCTTGCTCCTGGAGGATACAATCTAACACTATGTGCCTCACTGGATTTTATGAGGTCAGTGACTCGATGCCAGAGACCACTTTCTCCACCTTCAAAGAAATTCTATGTGGCCAACTTTCCAATCCACAAAGAATTGTTGTTGAAGCCTCACCAACCATATGTTAATGTATAAAACAGATTTTCACACTTAAATAATCCTAATAATAATCTTTGCATTTGATATAGCGTTTTTCACGTCGGGAGGACGTCTGAAAGCGCTTCACAGAACACACTGTAAAGTGAATTGACTGTATGTGTGTTGGCGAACGCAGCAGCCAATTATTATTAGGCTCTGTGTGGAGTAAGGAAACTTGCCCAAGGTTTCGCCCTCTGCCTGGAACTGAACTCAGGTCTCTCACTTGCAAAGCGAGTGCTCTAACCACTGAGCTACAGGACTCCTTGTGCCAATGATTAAACTGCAGCAAGAGAGGTTAAATTCAACTGTAATTTTAAGTTTAATTTGTGAAAAGGGCACCAATAATGGAACTGTGTTATTGACAGTTACTGGGTTGAACACAAGATTCATGAGTTCTGAATTCAACATTGCAATGTTATTCATTTCAGGAACAGGTATATTCTTAGTAAAATGGATACGATATCAAAATAAAATTGTTTTAAGTCAACATATTAAAATCATTATTAAACAAACTCATCAACAAATTTTATTCCCAAACAACCATCACCTTAAATGGAAACTCAATTTGGTTCTTTCATTCTGAAAAGCAGTCATTTCTAAAACCAAATAATTAAAATACAAAAAATGTAGACAAAAATATATATTCTTATATATTCTGATATTCTTAAAGCAAAAAAGTAAGCTAATTTTAATTCTTTTTGGTCATTATGGTCATTTTGTTAAAAATTAACCTTAAAAAAAGTGAAGATAGTTTTCAGCCAATGCCAGCGATCCTGAGAGAAACCCAGCAGCTGTAGTGGATTAACTTTTTATTGGGACATTATTTATTTCCACCTAGTACCCACAGACTAGCTGAAACTTTTGGCTAAGCTCCAATAGGAATTAAAGTGCTCCGGATCATTAGTATATTATAGTGTTGAGAAAAATAATTGGAATTATAAAAGTTCAATGGAGCATGGGGGATGTGGAGGCGATTGTAGGAGAGAAAGAGAGTGATGGTACTTAGAAAATGCACAAGACAGATGGATATTTAAATTTATTTTGGTCTTGGACATTTACAAGCTCCCAGTAAAAATCTAAAACAAAAGGCAAATACTGCAGATGCTGGAAATCTGAAATAAAAACAGATTTCATCTGACCTGAAACATTAACCCACTTTTATTTACATGCTGCCTGACTTGCTGAGTGTTCCCAGTGACTTCTGTCTTTACTTCAAAAGTCTAAAACAACTGTAACTAAATAAACTCAAAGAAAAATAACGATTTAATATTAATACAAATAATACAAATTATTATTTAATAATAATAATACAAATTATTGTATTAATAATACAAATCCTGGAAGTCTAAAGCTAGGCAGTAGGCACGCTGGTTGCAAAAGGCATCTCAGAACTTGTGGAAGGGAACGAGTTTTCTTAGTTCGAAAATAAAGATTTGATAATCAAATAAAATTGTCACTGCTTCTTCGTCGTCGTTGTTGGACTGACCGTGTATGTATTTCACATACATAGCTGTTGTTATTCAGCCTGTTAAATGCATCATCTATTTCAACCAACGAATAACGACGTTCAAATTAATTAATACTCAGGTTTCATCAGAATCTGAATTGCAGTGTGATGATGGAACTCACCAAGGCACAGCCTCACAAAGCGAGCGGGTTAACCATTCAAACCCTTGAGCACCGACCTGCTGAGTTGACAGTTTCAGCACATGGCTGAGGCTGGGAGCCACCCTGCACTGGGTGTGAGGAAGAGGGAATGAAATTCAACCAGTACAGGATTCAAGTAAAAGCAAAACGAACAAAGAATCGCAGGTTATCTGTTATTCACTTCCCACGAAGCCAGAGCAAGTGGTCACTTCTGCTGCATTTAATTTCCAGACTCGCTCTGGACGCAGTCCAAACAGAATCAGCACTCAGACGGCCCCGGAGCTGTGCAGCTCAAAGGCAAAACGAACACCTTCAGGACCCAAAGTTCTGCTTCAGTTATTCACACAACTGATGTTTGTTCAGAGGTTGAAAAAAAAAGCATTTGAAATGCTGGAGCTGTGGGTGACACAAGGTCTCTGCTGGAACTGGCCATCCAGGTTTACAATGGCCAGACAGCTCCTGTCCAATTTATCAGGAGGGGATGTCGGAGAGCTGACAGGGACAGGGACACACGCTTCGCTTTCTAAAGGGAAGAAACACGTTCCTGCGCAACTGTTTTTTTTAAAAATGTACGACGTGCGTGTGTGTGTGTGTGTCTGTATACCTACAAATGTTTTCATTAATCTACATTTGTCAACAGGTCACACGGAACCAATACAGTATAGTGACCATTTCTGAGCCAACTCTGCAGCCAATGCGGACACAGCACAGTCCCACAAACACCCATGAGGGGGGGGGGGGGGGGGCAGTGTCAAATGCAAGGATTATTATTATTATTATTGATGTATTAATAACAAACCTCGCATTTGATAAGAGAACACATTATCACGGCGCCGGGACGCCCCCAATCCAACCCCAGACACCGGGAGAGAGAGCTTGAACCCTCAGCTGTACACACACCGATGGCCCCCGGGTTTCACTCCTGATCACCCGGCGTGTGGGGGGGGGACACACAACAACAACAACAACAACAAGTGATATAGCGCCTCAGGCAGGAGAGCGTCCTCGGGCGCTTACCCCAGGATGCTATCCCGCTGGGGGGTGGGGACCGACACCGGCCTTTGAACCCACAAACTCGTTGACCCGGATACGAGAACCAGGACCAACCGCCCCGCCCGCCCCGGGCCCCGCGGGCCGGCACCGGGGACACAGACAGCCGTTAACTGCCCGGGGGGGGGCGGAGGCTGAGGTAAACCACGTCTCTCCCTCTCCCTCTCCCCGGGATGGCGGGATGGCGGGCGGGGGGGGTTTGGCAGTGTCCCGGGGAGGGGAGGGGGGGGGGGTCGCTCACCTTTGGGGTGAAGAACGCCGCGTACCAGGAGACGGACACCAGTCCGCACAGCACCACCGCCGTCACCACAGTGCCATTTCGGAGCCTCATCTCTCAGCGCTCGGGCATCGTCACTCTCATGTCGATCCTCACCATCACCACCATCACCGCCCCTCCTCCTCCTCGACGACACTAACCGGAGTGAGCGAGTGTGTGAGAGAAAGGGGGAGAGAGAGAGAGAGAGAGAGAGCGCGCGAGAGAGAGAGAAATAAAGGGATTTAAAATGAGGGAAGGGCTGCAGCACAGCAGCCGCGCGCGCGCGCGCTCCGCCCTCATGCGGCGCCCCGAGCGGCGCAATACCTCCCCCTCGCGCCTATCGCGGGGCTGCGCGGCGGCCCGGCTGGCGGCGCCGCTCACTGGCGCGCATTGATCCCGGGACCCTGACCCAGGACCGTTGTTTTCAAAAAAAATGTACCAAAGAGGGAGGAAAGAAAAAGTTCCGCGCGCGCGGCGGGGGCGGGGTCGGGGGGGAGGGGCCGGGAGCGGGGGCGGGGCCGAGGGCGGGGCCAGGGGAGGGGAGGGGTGTCCCGGGCGCCGCCTGAGGGTCCTCGGCCCTGACAGCCGCTGCGATCACCGTGAGGTGCGCTAACGCCGTGAGCTCTTTTCTAAAATGATGATGATGATGATGGTGATGATGATGGTGATGGCTGGAGGAGGCTGACAGGCACTGACTGCACTGCTCTGGGTAAAGCTGCCCTGCGCTGCCCAGGGCGAACCGGCAGCTCCTGGGGTTGCCATGGTAACGGGTGTTTTGGTCGCAATGGCCTCGGGTTCAGTGTAATCTCCCCCCACACAGCCCTCCCCCCCCATACACACAGCCCCCCCACACACACAGCCCCCCCCACACACATACAGCCCCCCCCCCCCCCACACACACACACAGAGCCCCCACACACACACAGCCCTCCCACCACACACACAGAGCCCCCCCCACACACAGCCCCCCCCACACACACAGCCCCCCCCCACACACATACAGCCCCCCCCCCCCCCCCCCACACACACACACACAGAGCCCCCACACACACACAGCCCCCCCACACCCACACACACTCACACACAGCCCTCCCCCCCACACACACAGCCCTCCCCCCCACACACACACACAGAGCCCCCCCACACACACACACAGAGCCCCCCCACACACACAGCCCTCCCCCACACACACACACAGCCCCCCCCCCCACACACACAGCTCTCTCCCGCCACACACACACACAGAGCCCCCCCCACACACACAGCCCTCCCCCCACACACAGCCCCCCCCACACACACACACACAGCCCCCCCCACACACACACACAGCCAGCCCCCCCCCCACACACACACACACAGCCCCCCCCCACACACACACACAGAGCCCCCCTCCACACACACACACACAGCCCTCCCCCCCACACTCACACACACAGCCCCCCCCCCACACACACATACATACAGCCCCCCCACACACACAGAGCCCCCACACACACACACACAGCCCCCCCACGCACACACACACTCACACACAGCCCTCCCCACACACACACAGCCCCCCCCCACACACATACAGCCCTCCCCACACACACACACAGCTCCCTCCCCCACCCCCCACACACACATATCCCTGTTATGTTCGTTTTCAAGTCATTGCCCATTTCCCCTCCTTATGGATTATCTCTGGGTTTTTTTTAAAAATCCCCAAATATTGTCGAACGCCGTGTCCGGGTTGGTACAACAACGACAACTTGCATTTGGTACAGTGCCCTTCACGTTGTAGGGCAGCATCTCAAATCGCTTAAAGATGCTGGACAGGTGTAATATTGTGGTGGTTGTCCCTCGCCTCACCCCAAGGCGTTGTCTCTTGCCCCCCACCCCACCAGCGCGCATTCGATGAACGTGCATACACAGGGTATGGGTGGGGTCAGGGCAGGTGACAGACACGTGGTGGGCTGTGTTGTGCTGATCAGGGTTTGGAAGCCTGGTTGAAGAACAATTTTGAATTAGTACTACACATAAACTAAACTTCCGTACTATTATATACAGTATATTTAAATCATTTAACAAATCAATCGGATTCAGATATCGCCCACCAAATACACAGTCACTCCACTTTACAATATATCCCATGAAGAGCTTTGAGACGTCTCAAGAACCCGATAAGGCACTGTATCAAATGCAAGGATTATTATTATTATCTGGCAGTCAGATGATCAAAACATCGACCCTTTAACCAGATAATCTCGCTCTCAATGGTCGCTTAACTGTTGAAGGAGTCCACATTAACGTCATTGCTTCCTACTGGATGGAATAAAAGATGTATGGAACAGCTAAATACCCAACCATCATTTTCTAAAAAAATAAAATGTTTCCTTTTTATATATAATACATGCACTGTTGCACAATTGGTTAAGGAATATTGCTATACAAGGGAAATGAACGAAACTAAGCACAGTGTAAAGGGAAATACTGATCACAGGAGAGGGCTTTAAAATATTGTCATCAAAAGCCATTTCAGCATGTTGCTAAAGCAAGATAATACTGTATATAAATGGATTTAATATGAACATGTCTGAATGAGCTGAATATTGCAATGTGTTTGTACATGAGCATTTCTTATTCAGATTTTGAGTTAAGAAAGGTTTTGTCAGTCATGATGATTTGTTGATGTCATCATAACTCATTCAGTTTATGACCTTTGTGAAAGGAAATTGCTGTCTGAAACCAGTCAAATATACAAGCTGGATAAAGGTGGCATTAAGTCTTTGTTATTGTAAACCTTTTCCAAATTGTGTTTCTGTTGATCTTTTTGTTGTCATTTTGATGGAATCTTAAGCAGAAAAACGTAAGTTTTTATTGTTTCACTTTTTTTACACCTATAAAATTATTAGCGCGACGGGTGTATTGAAGAATTTATCCCCCCCAAAAAAGTTCCAAAGGTGAATGATGTATTTTCAACTGATTTTCTGCGCGTCAGTGATGTATTTACACAGAAAATTGTCAATGTAGTGGACAATAATTATCGGTGAAGCTCTCTGTGAGATGTAAAAGTGTTGTACAAACGCGAGTGCTTTCCTTCCTCAGTCCGCCTCACATGTGCCTCCTGGCGGCCGGTACGAGAGTAGCAATTGAAACAAATACACTGCAGTACCTCCTAATTAACCATCGCTTTGGGATCAATTTGTTCATCACTTTGTCAACAAGAAATCGCTCCAGAACAAAACCTTACGAAATTAAAAAAAAATAAAAAAAAGTTTTGTCATTTTTAAGCTGCAGCTCTGGTCAGAACAGCTCAGCAGTTATCTATTGAAACTTTACATAAAGCGTCAAACTTGACAGGTGAAAAAAAATTCAAGAAATTCGCCAAAAGAAAATGTCTGGTAACCACCGGATGCTTTGTCCGTGTGCGCTTTGTATCTACAATTGTTGGGTTTTAACAAGAATTAAAACACGGTTACTTTATGAAAATTACAATTAAAATGGTAATATAAACAGTAGTATATATACCAATGGAGTCTTAGTTCTTAATAATATAGAAACATCAGAACAGCCGGAGGCCATCGAGCCTGGTTTGCTATTTTAATAGATTCTGTCTCTTAAAGCCTCAAAATCTATAGTATTGTAAATTGTTCACCCTGCATAACTAAAGCAACACCTTTGGATACTTTTCATGTGTGCAGTCTTCCATTACTTCATTTTATTATCAAATGTATGGCATATCCTATATATAGTAACTTTTCCCCTTACTTTATTTCTCTTTCCCCTGTCACCTCCTGGCTCTCGCTCCTACCCAGGGAGGGTGCCTTAACCTGAACCTCAGAAGAGCGCCCTCTACAACACTCCTGTGATGTTTCTAACCTAAGGTAAGACAGAAAATTTCTTACTAAACTACAGGCTTATTGAATTTGTCCACCCTCCGAATGTGCTCAAGACTGTCCAGAGTCATTTGGACTCTTTCAAACCACCGAGAGAAACACCTTGCTTCAAATTGGGTTAATGATGGTTTCTAACCAACTGGAAGTTACTTACATCCTGTTTCGCAACACATTTACTGAAGAGCACCACAATACACAAGTGGAAACAGATGCATTATTAATATGGAGATTTTGTGGATTTGTTGTGTCAGTCAATTTCTTTAATATTTTATTTAAAAATGACAGTATATGGAATAAAGGTGATGAATATTGCATCAGTTAATTTTTATAATGAATTCCAATGAAATTGGTTTTATCTCTTTATCTATTTTTAGTCATCATTCATACGTCTCCCTTTACCCTGCTCTCCTTTATGTCTGGTGAGTTCTTAGAGACGTTCATTCTACTGTAAAAAAATACACTATATAGGTCACTATATATTGGTGGGGTTACAATCCTGTACATTCCTATGAAATAGGAAATTGTGTACATTAAAATCATTATGGCGAGCTGTTTGTTAAATATACACCATTGTTTATGGGGCATTATACACAGACCTATCACCTCAAACTGCTTCTCAGTGAAGAGGGTTAGTAGTACAAAGGGAGCATCAGGAGATAGATTCGGAGCTGAGGTGAAGAGTGCTTTAATCAACTTGAAGCCCTCAATTCTAGAGAGGCGTCCTCTTCAATAACAAATCCCCTTTATTCAGTGAAAACCTCTGGGCTAATAAAAAGGGGTCCTTTAACCAGATGTTTGGGGACAATTGGCGTGGCTGTAATGTACCGACAACGAGAAGAGTTAGAACAGCAACATTTGGAAAGATTTTCGCATTCTAAACTTTTCAAATTGTTGCTTTTAAAATTTGCAGCTGACTGGCGGGTTGGTAGCAATTAGAGAGCCCTGCAGTCACTCTGTTCCAGGCAGTTTGCTGGCCAGGAATCTCTGACCCCCACGCTGCGTGTTGCAGATCTATTGCATGTATTAAGTTACAATAAGTCTCCATCTAAAGTTACTCCATTGTACAATGGTGTGTGACTCATAGACATTACTGAACTTTCCCCTCAAAGTTTGCTGCTTGTTTCCTGTACCCTTTTAATATTATTTTTCCTCCATTGTTTATCCAATTGTCTTTTTAAACGTTGTTATGATCTCTTTCCCTCCCTAAACCAGGGGCATTAGTCATTTTAAGCAATCTTCCCTCCTGCAGTTGTGAGAGTACATCAACCAGAATGATCCCTCTCAGCCTCTCATATAGGAAAGACAATACAATTGTTTTGTGTGAGGGGGAGAAACTAAAATAGAACGTTACTTAAAACAAAGCACGTTTGAAACTCTCTGCGATGCATAGTTGTCCCCAGCGCACGCTGTGCATTTGAAATGTTACAATGCAATAAAATTGGTGCACATGTATATTACTTGGTGCCAGAATCACTCACATTTGTTGCTTGTGGTCTACATGAAGCAGCTGATTGGAGCTATATATCAAAACCTCTGTGATGGTAATTGATTACCTTTAACACAGGCAGAAAACACAAACCAATAGATAGATTTTTACTGATCTTATCCAGAAATTTGTAGTTATATTTCCCATCCTCAATTTCATCCATTTTTTAACACAAAAAAGCCATGGATTTTGTCTTGTGAAAAACAACTGTAATTATCCTTACAGTATACAAATGCAGAATTAATTTTTATTTTACCCAAATAGGTTTTAATGCACCAGTAAAACTGATGATAATAATAATAATCCTGGCATTTGATATAGTGCCTTATCACATCTCAAAGCGCTTCACAGAATATACTGTTAAGTGAATTAACTGTATCTTTTGTGAGCGAAATGTGGCAGCCTTTTGCACACAGCAGTGTCCCACAAACAGTCGTGGATTGAGTGACCAAATTATATATTTGTTAAGCGATTAATAGCACGATAACACTAAGTAATCATAGTCAACATATGTAAATCATAAATATGGGCCCATGATGATTCAGCACTGGATTGAGAATTACAGAGCCCTTCGCAATCCCCCCTGTCACGTCCCCTTTACATTACCCATTCCCAGACAGCACGGCATCACCTGACACTGAGTCACAAGTGATCACGTGAACAAGTCTACTCGGGGTTAATTACCTTCACTGCCCTATCTTGTAATGTGATCGGAAAATGTGTGTAAGCTGGGAGTAGTCCCTGAATCTCGAACATTCTGGAATATTCCTTTCAAAATACAGTATTTCAGTTAAGTTCAGTCTAACATGTATCTGTATGTGCCCTTACGTGAAACTCACAACTCAATCTAAGGTTCTTGTGGTCACCCATTTTTTAAAGTAATTTTTATTTTTTAACCTGTTCAGAAGAACATTAAATACCCTACAACATTGTTAGAAAAGAGTTGAAAAAGAGAAAACCTCTAAATAAACTGATCATGCATTTCACCACTATGCTCATAGGCACAAATATACACACATTCACTGTTCCAGAAATGATGAAATCATATGCAACTCCTCCCCGGCCCAGTCCTGTGCTGCTCATTAGGTCAGAGTTGGAATGACATGTTAAATGGAACACAGAACACTTTAGTTCTCAAGGTTCATGTTGAAACATCAACGCTTCTATATAACTGTATAATTATGATAGTCAATCATGACTTGCAATTTAAAAACATTTTAGAAATATATAAAGTCTCAATAAAAAGTATTCCAATACTTCAATATTCCCCCAAAGTTTAAAATATTTTGTGATACATTTTACTTGAAATGTTGGCTGTGGGTAGAATCAAGCTCAGCTTATTGCTCAGATAATTGCTGTGCTTAAGAGTTTCCAAACCAAATAGACTTTCACAAATTCATACAAATTTCCTTCCATCTGGAATGGAGGGACACACCCTGTTTATCTAATCCCAAAAAGTATTAAACATAGGTTGACAGGAATGGAGGCTTAGGAACACTGAGTATGAGTTAGGGTACCGCTGGCGTTTAACCAGATAAAACCATTTAGCTTGCCATTGCGAATACTGTCTGGCAAGATTCCTACGTGTTGCCCAGCTAGGACAATCCACCTCATCAGCTTTGGCCGCAACCGTAACCCCCAGTGACTGCTCAAGTCCTGCCAATGAGCCAGTTTGGCTTGTCTGTACTGCAGGCCCACTTGTTTAGGAACTGGACTACCAAGACCACCACAGTTTGACTTCAATATTGTATTGTCAGGCTACATGGAGGCAGTTTATCTCCCCCATAGGATAGTCAGACTTAGTTTGGCTTCCTCTATCGTACACTGTGAGCTCACAGATGACGAATGGCCATTTAGGTGAGAATATCTGGGGCCTTCTACAACATGAGTCAGTGTAATCAGAAAGATGGTACAGGTAGAAATGTGTATAGTTGTGGATTCAAGCCTCACATTGGGATTTTAGTTCACAGTCTGGGCTGACAGCAGCGCAGTCTGGGGGAGCAGTGTTGAATGTGCCTCCCTTCGGACGACACTTTCACCCGAAGTTCTATCACACAATTTTTCAGGTGAATGTTAAATATCCTGCTACCCTACTAGAAAAGTGAAGGGAGTTTTTCTCACTGTCCAGACTGATAATCCTCCAGATTAAATGGTCATTCACCTCATGGTCTGGTTGGGACAATATTGACTAAAACAAGTCAATACAGCAAAACCCTTCACTTTTCCATTAGTATCACAGGAACTTTAATGTCCACCTGAACAGGTAGATAGGACCTTGGTTTAGCACCTCATCCAGGACTAAACCACCCCCAACAATCCAGCGCTCCCCTCAGCTCTGCCTTGAAGTACAGCACAGTATCAGCCTGGATTGTGAGCTCACTCTACCCAGGTTTCCCTTTACACCTTCTGATACAGAGATGATTGCTGAGCATTCAGTAATAACTGCAGTAAAATCATTGATTCCTCCCTGCTCCTGACTGTGTTTCTCCACAACAAGTGATATTCCCAGGTACAGTAATCAGCCTGTGTTCCTGGCCCAACACAAGGCGGATGGATTGCCTGTCAATGCGCTGGGTCCTGAACCCCCTTTGATGGGGGAAAGGAGGGAGGGGAAGAGCCAAGATCTGACTTGTTCCAGCCTTTGTTTATAATGGGAGGAGCAGAAATCAGTTATGAAAACACAAGAGGAAATCCCCTAAAACTGGAGCAAAATCCCTCCAGTTTGTGCTGAGTAACCTGCCGGCCCTGGTTATATAAAGGCTGCAGAGGGAGCGGTGCTCAGACCAGACCACAGCTCGGAACAGATAGAGACCCGGCTTCTGGATCTGTCTGTATTTCTTGCTGCGTCACAAAGGTTATTGGTTGATCCTTTCAGGCTCCCCAACGAGATACACCATGTCTTTCAATATGAAGGCTTTCAACGTGAAGGCATACCTCCTGGGCAAGGAGGACATTAACCGCGAGATCCGCAGGTTTGCCGTGGACCAGACCGTGTCAACCAGCTTCAGCTTTCTGCATGAGAAGGTGGCCAGGGTCTTCCAGTCCCTGCGCTCAGACACCTTCCAGATGTACTACAAAGGTAAGCGACTGAGTGGCCTTGGTGTGGCTTCTGCTGCGCTTTCTTGAACAGTAAACTGCCTCATTAGCTACAGCTATGATCAACTTTTGTTTGAGAAAAGTGGGTTTACATATTTTGTGTTTATGCATGTACAGTATATTTATTCTGTGAAGCGCTTTGAGACGCCTCATCAAGGTGATGAGGCGCTGTATCAAATGCAAAGATTATTCTAGTTGGCAGATTGATTGCTCGGGGGTTGCTCTCCATTTGCGATCTGCATGTGTCGCAGTAACTAGAACTCAGCCTGGGCTCGTGGTGATGTGGCTGCTGCTGCTGGACTTTTTAAAACAATTAATTACCAAAATATGATTTATTTGTTTTTGTTCCTAAGTCCGGTTTGACCGAGCGTTGTTGCTCTGGCCCCGACCCTGGAGACCCCTGAGATTTTGTTAATTGTGGTGCGTCGAGTGTGTCTCCCTCCCCGGCCATTGGCAGTATTACACCCTCACCCACTAGAGCACAGGGCCAGCAGTGAGGTGCTCAGGGTTTTAAAATCCTTCCTTATCCAAATTAACCTCCAAATGCAAATAAATTAGATGCTCATCTCTTAAACATTAGTAACATTAAAATGGGGGCTGTTTTGGGCTGCCACTCAGAAAGCTTCAGGTTCAGTTACAAACTGGAGACTATAAAATGAGACCAAATTCCACGTTCTTCCTGTCCCTGGAGAATTGGTTGGGATTGTTTCCCAGGAAGGATATGTGGCTTAATGAGAAAAAGCCACAACACAGAGGTTAAACAGAAAGGAGAAAGAAAGAAAAATCATGAAATATCAGTTAGGTAATAATGCCAAGTGTGAGGTTATGAACCTGTAGTGTAGGAAGGAGAATGACGTCTGGGGAGGGATGAGTTGGGGGAGGCAAGGGGGTGTCAGCATTTTATTGCTGAGTTTGGAGTTTGAGAGGTTTCCATCTGACTCAGTCAGTTTAGGGGAGAAAGGATGAACATCGAACCACTTGTATTTAGTTTTTGATTTTTCTCTCTCAGATGAGGAAGGAGACATGATTGCCTTTTCCAGTGATGATGAGCTGATGATGGCCCTGTCGTTTCTGCAGGAGGACACCTTCCGCATCTACATTAAGGGTAAGTACCGAGAAATGTCAATGTGGTAAGATCGGGAGGGCTAGTTTTCTGTGGCTCAGATAAAACTATACAATGACTGTCAATAGCACAAAGCCTTGGTATTGCTAGACACTGGAACTAAACTGTTACGTCTATAAAGCACACAAACTCAGCACTGTGCACTCCTTCCTCAGACTACACTTAACCTCCTCTATCCCCAGCTCGGGTGCAAACTCTCAACTGTCCAGCGCCTCGGGATAACCTCCCGATGTGAAAGACGCTGTATAATTGCAACTTGTTATAATGGACTTTACTGTACTGGGCACGGATAAATATTGAACCTCAATAATTAACACCATCATTGCATCGAGTCTCAGATCTTCATTACTGAACCCTGGCTCTGCAGGTACCATCCCGCCTCTTAAATTGTCCCACAGAAACTGTGGATGGTACACGCAACTTGAAACGTCTAAAAGTCTCATAACTGGCAGCAAATGCTGGCTGACGATAATGCAAAGTAACTACATATTTCATAAATATTGTGTGGTAATGTCTCATCTTAAAATATTCATAAACTCTTCAAATTCCTCTGGCTGAAACTGGTTTACATTTGTGACCAGGTTTATTGCAATTTGAACTATCAAGTTGCATCAAAAGTACCCTTTAACAGTAATCCCCATCCTTGAGTTAGTCTGTTCCCCCCACACATACTCAGCCTGCTGTTTGTAACGACAGAGACCATTTAACAAGCACTCCCCCGTAACATGCAGATCATGTGTATAATGTCTCCCCTGTCCCCCCAGATAAGAAGGAATGCAAGCTGGAGCACCGCCCGCACACTGCCCAGGAGAAGCTGGCTGGCCTGCTGCACCCCAACGTGGTCTGTGATGGCTGCAACGGGCCTGTGGTGGGTCCTCGCTACAAGTGCACAGTGTGTGCCGACTACGACTTGTGCGGCATGTGCCGGGGGAAGGGGCTCCACAAGGAGCATGAGATGCTGCTCTTCCAAGTTCCACTCTTCAACCCACTCGAGGTGAGGGAGAGAGAGAGAGACTGTAAAAGACACTGTAAAAGAAGTTGTTTTTGTTGATCAATAACAGTGGTTCAACACCATTCGTATGAAAGTTGTTGTTTTTAAAACGTTTCCTTTCCCTCCTAACAGTGGATGCCTCGTGGCAAGTGGCTGCGTAAGATGCGACATGGAGGCCCGTGTCAGTGGGCTCAGGCTCACGCTCAGGCTCGAGCCTCATCCTGTTCCGGGCAGCAAACACCAACCACTGAGCACCCACAGCCTGAGCAACGTAAGTACATCATAACCAACTGGCCCAACAGTGCAGCCACTTCACACAGCATCGGGACTACAAGAACAACAAGATTCCATTTATAGAGCGCCTTTCACGTCGGGAGGACGTCCCAAGGCGCTGTACAGTTGGGTCAGGACCTGAGCATTGGGGGGGAAATAGTCAGGGTGAGAGGAGGGAAGGGAGGGAGCGAGGAGGGGGGAAATGGTGAGGGGAGGGAAGGGAGGGAGCGAGGAGGGGGTAGAGAGTCGAGAGGGGAGCTGAAGGCCAAAGAGAAAAGTCTTGAGACCGGCCTTGAAGGAGGAAAGGGAGGAGGCGGTGAAGGCACTGGGGGATAGAGATCCAGAGCCTCGGGGCTGACTAAGTATCCACTGACAGATTGAGTTTAACTTTAATGTTTAAACTCTGTGAATCGTGTACTGTCTGGCCAGTTAGCCTCTGTGAGTCGCTCCTGTAACGGGTCTGTAACAAACAGTCATTGTACTGTTTGGGAAAGCGACGACTGAGGCAGGGCTCTGTGTTGGCATCACTACATTGTGTAAGTCGCCTCCAACTGGCCTGACCCAAGAGCTCCTCTTGTGTTGACGTGAAAGGCGCTTTACAAATGTAATTTGTTGTTGTTTTTGTGTTGGGAGGGTAGAGCTGCTAGTGTCATTGCAGTGATTAAATCAATCACAAGGAACTCTCAGCTCACTACTGGCTCCTTTTTGCTATTCACAATGTATACCTGGCTTTCCATGATTAGTTGCACTTTGCAGAGCGAGGGAATGAGAGGGAGAATCCCAGATGGTCATGGAACGCCACACAATGGCTCTGAGATTTCTAAACTGGGGAGGAGGGGACATTCTGCGACTTCAGTGCAATTGGTTTAGTGGCTCTGAATAAAAATCTCGCCTCTAAATACAATTATTTCAATTAGCAGCTGCAGCTCCCGGGGCCCAGAATGAAGATGTCAACTTGACCTTCCTGAAGAACGTTGGACAGAGCGTGGCTGACATGCTGAGCCCACTGGGTAAGTCAGTCAATACACCCTGCCGTGTTAGTTGTCAAATGCTCACTGCTTCAGCAGCTGGTGCCCTCCTGTCTCAGGAAAATTAACACCAAAACTAACCTACTTAAACAATCTCTCAAACCATAGCTTAACTTAAATAAACACAAGTGGATTTATATAGCGGATGCTAACCAGACCGAGTGTGTGTGTTTATACTGTTGCACTATGGAATCAGCAGCTAACTGTGACTGGTGTGTTGCAGGTATCGATGTGGAATTCAGTGGCCAGAGGTATCAGGCCACTCAGACTCCACCGAGATCCATGGGAGGGAACTCGGACTCTGAGCAGTCAATGTCCAAGCAGAGTTCAGTCAGTGTCCCAGACCAGGAGGGGCCGAAATCAGAGCCAATGGAACAAGACCATCCATTCGTGAAACTGAACTCAGCCCCAGCTTTCCCTCCCACTCAGTCTGGAGAGAACGTGGAATTAAAGGTGAGAGAAAAAGAGAGGGAATTCCTCTTCCTACAGTGCTCTCTGGTAATGCTGAAACTCCAATGCCTTCAGATCGACAGTCACTAGAATTGGTATCAAGTTGTATTCCTTTTTTGTAACGAGAGGTTTGGGCCTATCTGCCTTTTTCTAAAATGGTTGTGGGCGGGGGATGGTGTGGCCTGTGTTCCATGTACTGATTCTCCTTCTTACCTGCAGCCCGGCACCTGTGGTAACAATGATGAGGAATGGACTCATCTCTCGTCCAAGGAGGTTGACCCATCCACAGGGGAGCTCCAGTCCTTCCAAGCCCTGCAGCTTCAGGAAGCCAGCGAGCTCCAGCAAACTGATGGCCCCACCGGCCTGAGAGAGGCAGCTGTCTATCCACACCTTCCACAGGGTAAGTGCAGTGACTGCTGTGCGGGGAGGGAAGAGAATTTTGCCTGGAAAACTTACTTGTTGAAAACTAATATTCTTACTTGTAGTGCAACATGTCTATGGAATTGTGAGGTGGTGTCACCTGGAAGCTAAATTCCTCTTCAACTATCAGGAGTGAGAGGTGGAGAATCACTGCTAGTGTTGGGGTGGTTTTTTCTATTTTGCAGATTAACCTGTGTTTAACTGATATTGACACTGGGAGCCTGAAATGGGGTTATTCGCACAACTCCTTCACAAGATGTACTTAAAGAATTACTTTACGTGGATCCTTAAATTTAGTTTAAGAGGAAGACGGATTGCCATTGATATCAGGGGCTAACCGTAATAATATGCTTGCTCTCTCTCACACAGATGCGGAACCTCCCCTGATAGAAGCCTTGTCCCAGATGCTGTCAATGGGGTTCAGCGACGAGGGTGGTTGGCTGACACGGCTGCTTCAGGCCAAGCAGTGTGACATCGGCTCCGCTCTGGATGCTCTCCAGCCCGCAAAGGCCTCAGCTCACAAATAGTGCTGCCCACAACCACTTAACAGCACTGTAGTCTAACTATTGCGATTTTATTAGGCTGCTGCTTGCTTTATTGATGTATTTAACCTCCCCTATTGCTCTGGTGGTGGGCTACTGAACATTAGGGCTGAGCAGCAATTTCCTCACCTTTATGGTCACATTGCAACCAGGGCTAAACTCACCTGCTCACAGTATTCTCCAGGTCACGTCAGGTTTAAGTTGACTGCATGTAACTATTGTTGGATGTGAAATGACTTCCTCAAGGCAATAAAGCACAAGTAATGACTTTTAGAAACGACAAGTTATTTGATCAGCTGCAAGGCCACTGTGTGCAGTGCAGGAGAGGGAAACGACTCTATAATTAATTACCAGGTTGTCACACGTAGACTGACACCAGTCTAATCCCACATTATTGGATATTCAACAACAACAATTGCATTCATGCAGTGTCTTTCACATCAGAAGGACCTCCCGAGATGCTGGTTCAGCTCTCTGAGCACATCCACCCAGCTTCACCCTCATCACTGACAAACATCTGACTAGAAACTGGACACGCTAACTTTAAAACCATTATTAATTGACATTCCAGCATTCCCTGTGGTTTGTTTTAAACTTCACTCGGCTCCCAGTAAAGCTTTCAATGAAGGAGGGACCAAATTTGTAGACACGCCACATTGAGGCGTCAGTGGTGAAACAAGACACACCATGAGTGTGTGGGGTAGGACGGGGAGGTAAGAGAGGCATGCAAGTCCTTTGGGAACTTGAACCTGCTTCTTTCCTCCTCATTCACTGTATTTGGTATTTACAAAGGACTTTACAAAGCATGTTTATGGGTAAAATGAATATACTATACACGGTTCCAGTGTTAAACTCCGTCCACATGTCACACTGGGAATGTCACACGTTGCTACTATAAAGACTAGGACTGCACAGCCCTCATGTGAAAGCACTTTAAAATGCTAATCCACCTTTTCTGCTGATCTATGTCAATTTTCTGTTACTGTTTTCTCAATAAACTAAGCATTATTAAAGCAGACTGTCTGGCATTCTGAATCTCATTTACTTCACTTGGGAACTTGGGTTTCGAAAACCTATCCTGAGAAGCTGTGCGCAATTGGCTGCCATGTTTCGCCCACAAAATATAGTCACTCCACTTTAAAGTATATTTTGCGAAGAGCTTTGAGATGTCTCAAAGACGTGATAAGGTGCTATATCAAAGGCAAGGATTATTATTATTAAGTGCATATCTTTGGCATTTTTCAGTACGTGAAATAACATTGATTCTTTTGGGGGNAAAGAGAAGTGGTCAGTATACGTTTTGATATTCATCCTAATCTAAATCAATCAATGAAAGGGTTAAAGTCCCCAAGGCCCAGGTTGAGGAGAACGTATTATCGCAATATTGTCTGAGAAGCAGAATGAACAATTCGGTGCCAAAGTCGACAACATTGACTTGAAAGCAAATGTCTCGTTTCCCAGGTGATACAGAGGGCTCAGGACATTACGTTTAGAATGTTCTAGACACGTTGGTGACTGATAGTTTGGCCGAGACACCGAGAAGTAAGGTTCAGAGGCTTTAAAAGTGCCTTTTAAAGTAACAAATGACCAGTTAGTATTAGGCTGTGAAAGAAAGGAGCTGTAAACAGCTTAAGCTAAATAAAGGAAGGCAATGCAGAGATCATGAGGAGAGCCAAGGCTGGCATTTCAACCACACACCAGCCCGTCAACACTGGAGAGAAGCAACTGAAAGGTTCTGGCCACACCCAGTAAATAAACCCACACGGCTTAATCTTGTCAGGACAGAAAGATGTTATAATAGTAAAACATTTAGACAATAGAAAGTGAATAGAGTCTGTAATCTCGCTCAAGGCCTGATGATAAACCTCTAAAACATTTATCTTTGTTCAAAAGCATCTTGTGACACACAGCTTGGTGAGGCGACCTGCCCTGTGATGAATCACTTACACACAGTGTTTTTCGCAGCAAATGAAACAGCGCTAATCTAGAGATGCCAGACCTGCTCGATCCGCTCTCACTGAGCTCGGCTAATACTGACACACACAGACAGATTACGATTTAATCTCTATTACTGTGAAGCACACACACACAAGTGGTAATTCGTATATTCTCCAAGGACTTCACTTTAATGAATATTTCAGAATAAATTATAAATTAACGTCAGGGCCTTGAATTGGCAAATACATCATGTCCGTCCCCCAGGAAACTCCCACTAGTGCATATTACACAGAAACCATTCTCCACACCACTGAAGGCCTCCAGTCACAATCCAGCCAGAGACCGCATCACAAATTCTCCTCCGACCTCAGTGTTTGTGAAATCAAACTCAACATTGCCCACAGCAGCCGAGAGGAGAGTAAACCTCAGTTGTGAACATGTCAACAGGCAAACTCAAACTAGCTTTTTTGAAAGCTTATGTTTAATGTTGGAAAAACCCTTTCATTAAAAGACTATTTTGGGGAAGAATAAGGCAGCAACCATGATTCCTTACAGATTGTTGTGATCACTGGTGTGAGCTCTGAATGTAAACTCCCTCTGGTCTGAGTGACTGTCAGTACAGTTCCACCCAGAGCAGTGAACCAGTACACTTCATTGGGAGGATTATAGCCAAAGCATTGAGCAACCCAGGTTAGTGTTACACAAGTTGCCACACAACAAAGGCTTTTGCTGAAACAGGTTTATTTTTGTGCTCCTTGTTGCTAGGATCAGATACCCTCCCCGTTCAGTTCCTGGTAAATCTACAACTCAAAGCCTTTCAGAGACAGGCGAGTGGTCCCGGCTGAACAAGCAGCAGTGAAGCTTGACACACAATGCTCACAATGACGGCCTATACAGTCTGAGCTGGTTAAACCTGGGCAGGTACCTCAACACACACTCTGGGGTCCCAAGACAACCTGCGCCTAATTCTCTCCGGAATTGGTAGGCAGGGTGCCTCCCTCTACGGAGAGAGTGCGAATTCCGTTGCAGACACAGGGAAATCTCCATGTGTAGGGAGCATATGTATGTGGAAGCCTCAGTCAGGTTTGGAGACTCTTAAGCATGTTGATGGGTTTCCTCCCGAGTCAGACACCCGGCTGATCAATAAAGAGCTGTCCTCACACACTGCCTCCCTCCCACCCGAGGTTAGCTTCACTGCAATGTCCTTTTCTTCCATCAAACCCTGGAAATCACAGATCATCAAAGTCCTCGTCTGTGTGAAAGAGCGACAGGAAGGAGCCAGGGAACTGTGTGGCTGGCACAACATTCTGGGAGTTGATTGTAGGAGGAGCACAGGGTGAGAGGTCACAAGTTGCGGGAAGAAGGGGCTTCGGGCTGAAAGTCTGAGGTCCTCCCCCAGGGCTGTGTGCCCACATGGGGAAAGGCTGGTGAGGCTCATGTCTGGCTGCCTGATCACACACAGTCTTACTGCTGACAGCACGACCAACCCAGTCTAACTCCATGTTAGGTTCCCCCTTGGGTTTGGATGCAGTGACACTGAGCAGCTGAGCGGAGCATTTCTCCGTCACTCTATCACTGATCGGCAAATATCGGTTATGGCTAGAGAGCCCCAGGCCCGCCTCAGGAGGACCCGGGCCTTCAAGATCATTGCCATCTTGTTCATTACCCTGTTTAGATGTAAAGTGTGGCTTTGGCAGCTCTGTGATGGCAGGTTGTCTGTGGTCAGCTCCCTGCGAGTCATCACCTCCCACGTTGGGCAGGAATCGATCCCACCTGGAGGCCAAGGTTTGGCCTCGCTGGGCCACATCACCCGTAGCTGCCGGTCTTCCATCATCCCCACGGGAACGATGGCCAACACCAGCCCGCGAGCTCCCCCAGCCTTGCTCACTCCCAGCCGCCTTCAGGTGCTTCTGTAACACAGCAGAGAAAACCTGCCTCAGTTTACAACACCGAGTTACATTTATACAGCGTCCTTCATGTCGGGAGGACGTCCCAGGGCGCTGGACAGTCAGGGATTCTTACTCTTAAACATGGATTTGCTGAAAGATAGACTGACAATTACACACAAACAACTTCCTGAGGGCAGGAGCTTTGTGCCGAGGGTTCAGGACAGGGATGCTTCCCCCCACCCCCCACCCTCGTTTCCTCACGTCTCTCATTGCACAGTGCAGAGCTCACGTACCTCCCCCCTCTCCCCCAGCGTGCTCAAACCCACCTGCCTTGGTCCGTCCCCCAATCCTGCTTTCTTGCGTTTACTGTCGGGGGGAGGGAAGAGAGAGAAAAATTCACAAACTAAAACAGGTGTATTTTCTTTCACCGACTTCAACCGTATTTTGCTTTGTGATGTGACTCGGCAGCTTAGGTCTGACCTTCGGCCCCTGGTGAGGTTCCTGGTGCTGGCCTGGCCCTGCTGCCTGACACTGGCCCCAATCCAGGCCTCCTCCTCCTGATCATCATCATCCTCCTGCTCCGGCGTCTCCTCCAGATACTTACTCCAGCGGCTGCCTCCAGCTCGCTCGCTCTCCTGTGAAAAGCATGAGAGTGACTGAGCTCAGAGAGTACAACGCACACAATACACAGCTCCAATCACAAACACTGGCATCAGGCTTTGTGCTCGCGTTCTAAGACACTACCCTGAGATGCTGCATAAATGCAAGTTGTTGTTATACACTATCAACAATTCTCTCCATGGCCTCAGGGAATGGGAGTTGGGTTGGTTCAGTTACAGTTTGGAGTCAGCTTTGACCCTAAATTGGCAAACGATTGTAACCACTGGAACCACCGTATCTGTGTCAGGGTCTCGGCCTCGCTCAGTTACCTGCGGCCTCTTTGCCTCATCGCAGTGCCAGTCAGTGCCGTCCTTTACTGAGACGCCCACCTCACATTCGCCCGACCTGCCCAAGAAACACAACAACATCTCAGCCAATGTTGTCACAAACCTCATTAATCTCAACAGCAAAATAAAACAATCTCGCGGATAGCTTGGTCACAGGAATGTAATTAGTAATGAAAACAGAGACTTCTGTACCAGGGAGCGGTGTCCGCGGCTTGTACCATCTCTCCCTGCAGCAGGTTCAGCTTCTGAACGTGGTGACGGCAGTCAGCTCCCGAGCCCTGACCATAAACCTAGAGACACAGACTGGTCAGTGAGAACAGAAGAACAGGTCACTTTGCCTCCCGGCAAAAGAAGACTATCCCGTTTGCCTTCCACCGTCCTGTCAGCCTTTCGAGAACAAATTAAGTAGATTAATGTTTAATTAACTAATTAGTGTTAGAAAATACTATCTGGGGATACATGGTTTGGGACAGGACAGAAATGACCCCAAACCCCAGGTAACAGGTTCCAACCTTCAGCACTGACTGTGTCTCTCCACAAACTTTACAATTCCACCTTTTGCTCTTCTTCACCTGAAACAGAACATTTATACATAAAAAGCCTCTCCCAGAGCAGAGACAGCCCCCCCCCCCCCCCACTGTCACTCACCTCCCCCCCCCCCACTGTCACTCACCTGCCCCCCCCCACTGTCACTCCCCCCCCCCACTGTCACTCACCTGCCCCCCCCCACTGTCACTCACCTGCCCCCCCCCCCACTGTCACTCACCTGCCCCCCCCCACTGTCACTCACCTGCCCCCCCCACTGTCACTCACCTGCCCCCCCCCACTGTCACTCACCTCCCCCCCCCACTGTCACTCACCTCCCCCCCCACTGTCACTCACCTGCCCCCCCCCACTGTCACTCACCTCCCCCCCACTGTCACTCACCTGCCCCCCCACTGTCACTCACCTGCCCCCCCCACTGTCACTCACCTGCCCCCCCCACTGTCACTCACCTGCCCCCCCCCCACTGTCACTCACCTCCCCCCCCCCACTGTCACTCACCTGCCCCCCCCCCACTGTCACTCACCTGCCCCCCCCCCCACTGTCACTCACCTCCCCCCCCACTGTCACTCACCTGCCCCCCCCCCCACTGTCACTCACCTGCCCCCCCCCACTGTCACTCACCTGCCCCCCCCTCCCCCCCCACTGTCACTCACCTGCCCCCCCCCCACTGTCACTCACCTCCCCCCCCACTGTCACTCACCTGCCCCCCCCCCCCCCACTGTCACTCACTCACCTGCCCCCCCCCCCTGTCACTCACCTGCCCCCCCCCCCCCCCACTGTCACTCACTCACCTGCTGAACCTGGAAAGTTTTACAGGAAAAGCATCTCAGGGCCTGAAACTGAGGACCCATCAGTTCCTGAGCTCAACCCCGACTCACAGCGCCGCCCCGCGGCCGCTCCCACATCACAGCGCCGCCCCGCGGCCGCTCCCACATCACAGCGCCGCCCCGCGGCCGCCTCCACATCACAGCGCCGCCTCCACATCACAGCGCCGCCTCCACATCACAGCGCCGCCCCGCGGCCGCTCCCACATCACAGCGCCGCCTCCACATCACAGCGCCCCCTCGCGGCCGCCTCCACATCACACAATATCAGTCAGTGATGACACGTGTGAGTGAGTTGTCACTGTGGGGGTCTCAGGGCTTATTTATGGAGTTGGAGTCTGAGAGCCCTTCCGGTACCATCTGTGAAGCCGAATAACTTGTTTCTGTGCCGCACAGTGCATTGTACATCTCTCCTCCTCCTCCTCCGTGTCCGAGACCTCGGTCCGGGGTCCATTGCAAAATCTAATTGTGAAATTATTTAATGAGGGATCTGTAACCGCTGACCGCCCGACACAGCACACGTTCCACTTCCGCCAACAATGGCATCTCATCGGTTGAGCAAACAAATCAATCATCTGAATGAACGAAAAATGAGTTTTGCACAAGAGACACAGAATGAAAGTGCTAAATGGTGATTTTATTAAAGTCCTGGTCCATTTTTAGGTTAATATTAACAGCAACAGACGTGGACAATAAAAATATATAAATTAACATGCGGCCCTGTTGGGGGGGGGGGAGATGTTACAGAGAAGAATGCTGATTATTATTAATGCACAAACACTGAATTGAAACGTCTCAGAAGACGGATATAATGAAAGCCGAGCGAAGTTTCTTGAATCGTCTGTCTGGCCGATAGACGAGTGTTGACATGTAGCACAACAGCCGCACACAATTCAGAGGGAAGAGACGTGACCTTGAACCCAAAACTCAGGTTTGGTTGTGAGCGGACGAGAGAGATTTCCAATACTGTTATACCCACTGGGTGGTTAGCGACCAGCCGAGGGTGGCCGATGTTCAGGACAGACTCGAGTGTAAATGACGCTTTACTAAAAAAGGCCAGACTTCTGCCAGAAACTCAACGGTCCGAGGTTCCAGCACGTCCCACCTTACTAGGTTCAGGCATTGAATTAGCCCAGACAACATGTCGCAAAGGGGGAGAAACTGTCCCCAGCCCCCGCCAGGAGGAGAACATTACATTGCTTGTTTTTTTTTACACACAAAAAGATTAATTTTCTCTTCCCTCCCGGAAACAAAATACAATTTATTTGCAGCCTGTGAAACCAGCATTTGCAACAAAGGTCACTTCCTGAAGCAGTTTTACACAGTTACCAGCACCTCACACACCCAGGGTTCAGCTGTTTTACTGATCAGCGATTTCTAGGGTTGGGGTTTGTGGTCACTGACATGAAGCAACGACTGGGGGGGGGGGGGGGGTCGACACCGCGAGTCTCCGGTGGAAAAGCAACATAAAGCGTCGCTTAACAAAACAGAAAATCTCCCCACTTTCGCGATCGCCCCCGACAAACACACAGACACTCGTCACAAGATTCAGGGAAAACATCAGGAATTTGAGATAATTGAGGTTTTCCCAACACTGTGTAACTGAAGACTGGCCGACTCCAGCTGCTCGTAAACACTACGTAAACACAGGCTGTATGCAAAACACTGACATCCTGTTTCACTTGCGCACCTGGACGTGTGGTCGGTCGGTCACTCGCAGCCTCTCTCAGCCCCTCGCCGCGGAGGGGGAGGGGAGAGTTTGCTCAGCTTATTGTAGACAGTTTAAGAGACGCGACTGTGTCTCTGGAGCAGGAACTCCAGGTCAGGGTAGAGTCAATAGGAGTGCGGGCGGCGAGAGTTGTTGAGAGTCCTGGTTTGTGGCTGACGGCGGTGATGGTGGGGCCCGGCTGGGCACAGCTACCCGGTGCGGCTCAGGTGGACGAGGACGAGGACAGGTCCTGTTCACTGCAGGAGCTTTGCTGACGCTCCACCACCCGCTGCCGCTTGCACTGAATGATCCTGGGCCTGATGTCGCCTCGGGTCTCGAAGAAGGTGACGAGGAGGGGCTCGGTCAGCACCGAGGCCAGGATCTGCTGCAGGGAAACGGCCCAGTCACCGGGGGCCGGCCGGGGGCAGCCCACCAGCACCGTGTCCTCGCCAATGTCCTCGCACCGCAGCGAGCCTGCACTCACCATGGAGTAGGAGGACAGCGAGGTGTCATCCCTCAGCTCCTCGTCAGAACTCGGCAGCCCCTCCCCCGCGGGGCTCAGCTCCACTGCCGGGGATCGGGGGGCCGAGATCCCGGCGTTCCCATTGCCGGGGTTCCCGGGGCTCCCGTTCCCAGTGTTGCCATTCCCATTGCCCCTCCCCGGGGGCCGGCTGACCTGTTTGCCGGCCTCTCCAATCCGCAGCAGGAGGGAGGCCACGGTCCCGATGGCCTGGTACAGCCCCCCCTCCTCGGGGTCCTCACTGAACAGGTTGTACAGAGTTTTACACAACTCGATAAACTGCTCCTGGGCACAGAGGAGACCAGTGTTAGCCCCCCCCCACACAGACACACACGCCCCAAACACCCCCAAACACCCCGCCACACCCCCCCCACCATACACACAAAGCATTAGCCCCACACACAAACACCCTCCCCCACTCACACCTTTACCCCCACACAAACACACAGTGTTAGCCCCAACTGCTCACCCCCTCCCACACCCACAGTCACCACACGCCCCCCCAGCCTGCAGTCTGTCCCTCCCCCGGTACAATAGTAGACACGACGCTACTGGAACAGGAACCTGGTTCATCTTGGGCAGCTCCTGGGCGGTTTCCCTCTTGTCCTGTCGTTCCCCAACCGACAGCCTCGGAGCAGCTCCCAGCCCGTCTTCAACAGGGAGAGAGGACGGTCAGTGGTCAGTGAGGTCAGTGACACAGGCAGTGTGGGGCGCAGTTTTGGGGGGGGTGGGGGGGCGGTCAGTGTGGGGTGGCAGTGCTCAGTGTGGTTAGTGCCAGGCTCCACAGTCGGGGGGCAGTTACCGCTCACAGTGTGGGCACCGGCCACGGAGGTGATGAGCAAAGTGCCCGAGCCTCAGTGACTCAACCAGTGAGCTCTGGGGATACCGAGCCAAGCGGAGCCCATGTGAGGATGAGACTCACTATCCACCCCCCCACCCCCACCCCGCATCCACCACCCCCCTTCCCGCCCCCACCGCTGGAGTCCAGGACCTTTAATCTGCCTCTCGCTGCTGGCTCCCTCTTCGGCTCTCGCTTTGCTGGCCAGGCCGCCTGCGGCAGTTCCTAAAACGGTAACGGAGAAACGTGAGCAAAGCTGCAGCCACCGTGATCCAACGGGGAGAGCGAAAGACAGCGACAGAACGAAGAGCACAAACACAGCACCACAGACACAGACAGACAACAACAAAAACAAGATTACATTTGTATAGCGCCTTTCACGTCGGGAGGACGTCCCAAGACAGTCAGAGATAGAGAGACAGACATTGACAGACACCGACAGACAGTCAAAGACAGAGAAACAGACACAGACATTCAGAGACACACACAAACACGACACCGACAGACACAGACAGACAGTCAGAGAGACACAGACAGAGACAGTCAGAGACAGACACATAACCAACCACACACCTGAGCAGGCAGCGGGCAGGAAATCCAGGTCAGGAAAGAGACATGAAGCTAAAGAGTGAAAGAGAAACTGCAGATAAAGACAGCCCAGAGCAGGACAGACAGACAGGGTCACAGCTCAGCCCAGTCAATGTGGAGCCTTTCCAGGGCACCCACACCTTGTCATCCACAACTCCCGTTACCCAGTAAACACCCCATTGTGTTCCCCCCCCCACCCCCACCCCCACAGAAGCTTTCATTACCATGCGGTGGGGAGTGCCGCTATGTACTGACTGTACAGCTGTGTGTGTGTGTGTACGGACTGTACAGGTGTGTGTGTGTGTGTACTCACCGTACAGTTCCTCGTCAGCCTGGGTGAAATACTGAGTAGCGTCCACCGCAGATTCCTCCTCCGGCCACAATGCTGTGGGATACACAACATCAGGGATCAGCCCCGGCACCGCTCACGCTGACTCACACTGGGGATGGGGGCGGGGGGAGAGGGGTGGGTGGGGGTTCACTATCGGGGACGTACCTGGAGGCAGGTGCAGTTTGTACAATAACTTTAGCTTCTCAATGAGATCACCATGGTACATCCCACCTGTAACACAACACACGCCAGTCACACGCGGGCCCGGTCACACACGCGGGCCCGGTCACACACGCGGGGCCCGGTCACACACACGCGGGCCCGGTCACACACACGCGGGCCCGGTCACACACGGAGACGGAATGCTGGAGTGGGAGACACCATCACGTACTCAGGCCGATCACAAACTCCTTGAAGCTAATGAGCGAGTCGCTGTTGTGGTCGAGGAGGCGGAACATGCGAGCGGCGAGGACGTGGGAGTGGGGGCCGCAAGCCCAGGGGGCCAGCGCCGCGAACAGCTGGCAGAACTGATCGGCGTCGATGCGATATTGCTCCAGGTAGGACTGGCTCAGGTCGTGGCGATCAGCCGCACTGCTGTTCCCTCCCCAGTAACAGCTGGTCAGGTGCTTGGCCTGGACACAAGGAGAGCAGCTTCACTCACAGCACCGTCACTCCGTCGCAAAGACATTCCCGCTCCCCCGGCATTCCCGCTGCCCCGGCATTCCCGCTGCCCCGGCACTCCCGCTGCCCCGGCACTCCCTCTGCCCCGGCATTCCCGCTGCCCCGGCACTCCCGCTGCCCCGGCACTCCCGCTGCCCCGGCATTCCCGCTGCCCCGGCACTCCCGCTGCCCCGGCACTCCCTCTGCCCCGGCATTCCCGCTGCCCCGGCACTACTTCTGCCCCGGCACTCCCAGAGCCCCTTACACCGTGACAGACCTTGAACAGCAGGTACAGATCCTCCAGGTCTTCCACACTGAACGCTGTGTCCGTCAGGATCGCTCGCACCTGGAGACAATCAGGACAGCAACAGTCAGGAGAACGCCAGCGGCACATGCACACAAACACACACACACATGGCACCCCCAGCGTCAGCTCCCTGGCACAGGGGGGAGGGAGGGAGGGAGCAGGGCCGCTGTATGATAAGACAGTGTGTGGGAGACACACACTCACCACACTCCTCTTGGCCGAGTCCTCCAGACTCTGGATGACCTTCAGTCTCTGATTGAATCTCATCTGCTCGATCGCCTCCGCCCGGATTGTCCCAAACTTCTACAGAGAAAGAGAGAGAGAGAGGAGCGCAGACAGTGAGAGAGAGAGAGAGAGACAGAGCGCGGGTGCTAAACATTACTACAGGGAGCCAACATGGGGCACAGGCACAGGGACACAGGCAAGTCATCCCAGCCCAGGGTGAGGAGGCAGGGGATTAAGGGGGGAGGGGAGGGGGAGGGAAGGAAGGAGCAAAGGAGGTGGGGGGGGGGGAGAGAGAGGGGCTGCCCTTACTCACTTCGTACGATGAGTTAATCAGCTCAAAGATGTCAATCTGTGGTGGGGGGAGCTCTCTGTCGCTGGCCGGAGGCTGGAGGTGTGAGGTCGAAGGTGATGAATTGCGTTTGATGCAAACACTGTCCAAGTATCTGGTCAGACAGGGAGACACCGTCACTACACACTGTGACACGCAGGCAACAACGACAATACATTACATTTGTATAGCGCCTTTCATGTCAGGAGGGTGTCCGAGGCGCTGACACACACATACCCACACACACAGACAGACACACAGACACACACACACACAGAGACAGACACACAGACACACACAGAGAGACACAGACACACACACAGACAGACGCACAGACACACACACGAGAAAATAAATCGTTATCAAAAGCTGAATGTGTAATCAGCAACGTCTCTGGGAGGATCCATCTTAAAAATTCCTCCCCAAACTCTAGCTCATCACCCAGTACCTTCGCCTGGGATTGGGATCGGGAGCTAGGGCAGGAATGGGATCGGAATCGGGAAGCCTGGCACATGTCCCAGTCGTGGCCGGTTCAGCTCTGCTCTGTTACCTGCCCAGCACAGTCATGGCCTCTCCTTCATCGGCACAGTTGAGCAGTTGTTCTTGGTTCGCCTCGAGTACGGCCAGTGACACCTGGAAGATCAGTTTGATGCCGTGATAGAAGAAACAGTCGATGAGCAGCACAGCACTGGGGAACGGCATCACACTGAGGAACAGCGTGAGAAACCAGGACAGTGAGATGGTGCTGATTACCCCCAGCTCCTGCATCCACTCGTACAGCAAAGGCAGGTGCTCTCTCGTCAACTCCTCAAACACTCCCTGGTCAACCAGCGCCCCTACAGGGGCCAGAAAGTCAGTGTCCCGCTCGCCCAGCTCCAAACCCAGCCCCATCCGCAAACCCAACCTCAACCCCAATCCTAACCCCAACGCCATCCCCAAACCAAAACCCAGCCCCATCCCTAAACCCAACCCTAATCCCAGCCCCAACTCCAACCCCAAACCCAACCCCAAACCCAACCCTAATCCCAGCTCCAACCCCAGTCCAATCCCGAAACCCAACCCTAACCCCAGCCCCAACCCCAGCCCCAGCCCCAGCTCCAACCCTAACCCCAGCTCCAACCCTAACCCCAACTCCAGCTCCAACCCCAGGCCCAACCCCAGCTCCAACCCAGAACGAGCCCTAACCCCAGGCCCAACTCCAGCCCCAATCTCAGCTCTAACCCCAGCCTTGCCCAGCGACTCCTCAAACACTTCTTGGTCAACCAGTGCCTCTACATGGGGCAGACAATCAGCCCAGCCCCCAGTCCCCTACACCATTCCCTACTCAGGCCCCGGTCCCAGCTCCTGGGTGAGTTACTCACCAACCACTCTGGTGTTGTAGTAATCGGGCAGCATCCGCTCACATAGCGCTACCAACAGCCAAAACGCCTCCTCCTCATTACAGTACAGCAGCAGCACCGAGGTCACGATGTTCATAGCCTGTCACACACACCCACACACACATAGGGTAACAGGGTCAGAACCCCAGCTCAGAGCGAGAGAGACAGAGAGAGTGAGAGAGAGTGAGAGAGTGAGAGAGACAGACAGGCAGGCAGGCAGGCAGGCAGGCAGGCAGGCAGACAGACAGGGCAGCAGAGAGGGCTGAAGACGGTGAGGATGTTGGGGTACAGACCTGACAATAGCCGATGTTGGGGTTGTGGAAGGCGTACGCGGTGAGGACGCGACGCAGGGCGGCGATACCCGTCTCTGTCTGAAAAGCCGGGTGCTCGGGCATGGAGCGATGCAGGTCCCTCTCGATCTCCTCGGTGGCCAGGCTGCTCCTGCCCAGTGACCTCGCCAACAGCTCAGCATAGTAACCTGGCTCCGTCACCATCTCGTTCAGCGCTCCTGAGGCACAGAGACAGTCAGCTCCTAACAAACAGTCAGCATCTAACCCAGCCACGCACACAGCCCTGAGGGGAGGTGGGGAAGACAAGGAACTCGAGAGTGTTTTCAAAAAAAATTTACGTAGAAAACTGTGTCACTGTCCCTGTGTTACTGTTACTGTCCCTGTGTCACTGTCCCTGTGTGAATGTCCCTGTGTCACTCTGTTACCTGAGAAGAGCAGCCAGAGCTCTCCGCGCAGGCTCTCAGGCAGACCCCTGAGCACCAGTTCCTGGGTCTTGGGCGTGCGGTACATACACACCCCCCGGCCAAACTCCACAAAGTGAATGTTCCACAATTCCTCCTTCATCTTCTCCTTCACCTGCAGCAACAGGACATCAAGTACTCTGTAATCTGCACACACACACACACCCACCCCAGCGCACGCACACCCACCCCAGCGCACGCACACCCACCCCAGCGCACGCACACCCACCCCAGCACACGCACACCCACCCCAGCACACGCACATCCACCCCAGCACACGCACATCAACCCCAGCGCGCACCACACACCCACCCTAGCGCACAGACACACACACCCCGGCGCACACACACACACCCCAGCGCACACACGCACATACACAACCACTTCATCTTCTCCTTCACCTGCAGCGAGGGCGAGGGGACATGAATTACTCTGTAATCGTCAGCTCCTCACTGGTCTCCCCACACACACACACACACACACACATAAACATCACTTCCAGCGCACGCACCTACACAACCCCCTCAGTGTGCACGAACACCCACATGCACCCCAATGCACCCCTACCATGGCGGGCCCCAGCTCTCCGGAAGCAGGGCTGGGGAAGATGGCCCTCAGAGCGTGGGTGGCTGTGGGAATGCTCTCGCTGCAGTAGATGAACGGCTCGCTGGTGGTCCCACCCCGCGGGTTGGGGGTCGAGGGGCTTCCCGAGTCCCCTTCCCCCCGGCCAGCGGAAATCTGCAACAGAGAAACAGCACGTAAACTCACAGTGCCCGCGCCCCCACCCCACACCTCTCAGACACATGAGCTGGAACGTGATCCAGAGCCAGAGCCATACCTGGGCCTCGGTGCTGTTGGGGCGACACAGCCAGGGCTTCCCGCTGGAGCGTCCCCACGATGGTGTGCGCTGGAGAAAGTCAGAGATTTTCTGCACCAGGAAGTCTCTCTCCCTCAGGCTGGCGAAAAGGAAAGTCATCTTGCTGCTGGTGCTGATGGACAAGGGGCTGGGTAGCACGCTGGAACTGTCTGCCTTCTCCACAATCGTCACCTGATTGGGGGAGAAACCAGGCCAGGCGTCAAGGCCACTGCCCTCTGAGTACAACACTCTACACAATGCGTCGCCCTTGCACGGCTCACAGGGGGAAACCACAGAACAGCACAACACGCACATATCTCCACAGACGCCTAATCCTGTCCTACACCAGCCCTGGGGTCAGACTGTCCCAGCACGGCAGTGTCTGGAGAAACAAAAATAATCCAAGGCTCATCACACACTCTTCACTAACTCATTCAGTCTCATTAGCTCAACGCAGTTGAACTCCTCCTTCCCTCGCTCTTCCCATCCTACTCCTCTTTACAGCATCCTCTCTCCCTCAGTCTTCCTTTCCTCTTACAGTGCGGCAATCTTCCGTCCCTTCCCATCCTCCTCCTCCCCACAGGCTTGGTGTCATCACCACCTCCTGCTGGTGTCTGTGGTGATGGCCAACCCTGAGCACCAGCCTCTCGCCTGGTTTTTCAGGGACAGGAAGGGGTGACTCACATCACGCAGGGGGATGATCAGATTGCAGGCGTCCTCCTCTTTGCTGGCAAAGCAAATGTAATTGTTGGAAACGAACATCTGTCCCGCGATGTGCATTTTCCCGAAGGGAAGCCACAGGGTGCATTCCGTGTGCCCGTCTAGGCGCTCAGCCTTCGGGAGGCGGAAAGTGGATCGATATTGCTCATTCTTAGCCCTGGCATCCAGGTCCCTGCAGGTCAGAGAAACAGTGAACAAGAATCACAGAGTGTGAGTAAGAGAGTGAGAGAGTGAGTGAGAGAGACAGACTGAGAGAGCGAGAAAGAGAACGCGAGAGAGGGAATGAGAGAGAGTGAGCAAGAGAAAGAGAGTGCGGGAGCAAGAGAGGTGATAGAGAGACAGACAAATAAGGAGAGAGGAAACAATACCGAGAGGGGAGACACAATGACACTGATACAGACCGTTTGAGTGTGGAGCTGTGTTTGAGGGGCTTGGGGGCTTTGGGCAGGCTGGGGTCCTGGGCGAAGCTCTCATTGTCCAGGAGCTGCCTCATGGCGATGGTGGCCAGCTGCTCCATCAGTTTGAAGGTCTCATTGATGTTGAGGAACATGGAGAGGTAATGCTCGCTATCCCTGGTGCTGAGCCTCACACACTCGGGGAACAGCAGTGTCTCGTTCTTCTCTAGCTGCGTAACATCCACCCAGCGAATCACCAGCTTCACTGTAACGAGAACATAGAAACAGGAGGAGGCCATTCAAAGCTTATTCCGCTATTCTATAAGATCATGACTGATCTGTACCTCAACTCCGATTAACCGTCCTTGCTCCATATCCCTTGATACCCTGACCCTGATCGCTCCACCTCAGGGTTGACAATGTGAATGGATCCAGCATTAACATCAACGACAGAGGCACCGAGTCACACAGTCACAGCCACACAGCAACACAGCCACATGTTGCTGATAAACACAAGCCCTGATACGATTCAGTTGGATTTTTTACAAAATGAACATAACTTTATTATTGGGGAAGAGAGAGAGACACGAGAGCCCAGTGCAATGATCACCTGTTTACACGTTACCTCACAACGGTGTAACATTGAGCTACACACTGCACGGGCCGCTGTGGATATGTGATGGTTGCACTGCAGTGTCGCTCAGGGCTAAGGCGGATTTATGGCACAGAATGGAACTCACTTTATGTCAATAAAAATCCCAAGGTCGACCCGTTCAGCAGCAGGTGAGCGAGGCTCCACTCTCAGGTGTACAGAGGTGCTGGTGTCTGGATAGAGACCGGAAGCAGCAACCCTGGCTGATTTCTTCCTCCTACAGCAAAGGTGGTGTCGAGGCCACTAATAGCCCGACAACAACAAATTACATTTGTATAGCGCCTTTCAGGTCCATGTATAACCTGTTGGCTGATCACTGACCTTCCTTTCCCAGCAGGAAGGAGTAGAAGCAGAGGTGGTTGACGCTGAGGTAGAGCCATCCTTGCCGAGGGACACGGCCTTTCCAGTAGCTGCAGGAATAATGGTTCACCAGCTTCTCCACCTCCGGCATCCCGAATAGCTTCCTCATCTTCAGCTCCGCCTCCTTGAACTTCCCACAATCTTCGTCCTCCTTCGCCTCCTTGTTCTTGTTCTCCTCAGCAATTATACCCTGGGTGGGGAGAGCAGAGCAGTCAGCTCCCTCACCATAGACACACAGAAAAAAGGGCCAGCGTGGCAGCTCCACCGCCTGATAGACAGACACCCAGCCATATCCCCCCCACAGTCACACAGACAACACCCCGCCACCAGTTGCCTCTCTCTCTCTCTCTCTCTCTTACCTGGACTTTCCCCTTCACAAACGTGGTCACATCCTCCTCATTGTCGAAGACGGACAGTGTTTGCAGGAGGTTTTTCTCCAGCCATTCCCAGTGCCGTGTGATCTCCTTCCTGGAGGTGCCTTAAGGTTGGACAACAGACAGAGGGATCATTTACATCTCTGGGGATCTGTACTCTCCGCTCTGCCTATTCTAGATCTTTCTATGCCCGTTACAAGTAAAGGCTTACAGCAGCTGAAGGTATAGAATCCTTCACAACCGAATGAGCTCCATGGGTGGGAGGCTTGAGTGGGGTCTCCTGTGGCCGATCAGCTCAGAGGAGATGGACCATGTCAACCGATTGTCATATCAGCTGTCACCCAGATACTCGCTCTCTTTAAACACGTCCCCCGGAGACGCCTCCCCCCGCTGCTCACCTCTCCCCCAACCCCAGTGCTCACCCCCACTCGGGTGTTACCCCCCTCCCCCCACTCCGCCCCCCCCACCCCAGTGCTCACCGCCTGCGATGTTCCAGTAAATCTGAGATTCCTGCGTCTGATGGAGGATCCGGTAAGGAGCAATCCGTGCGCTCAAGTCCAGCACCACATCAAGCGTTCCCACCAGCAGCCCTGACCGGCCACGGAGAGAGACACACACACAGTCAGGGGAATCTGAACTTTGACCCCACCGTCAACACAATACACATTTACATTTGCACAACGCCTTTCACGTCGGGAGAACATTACAAATCACTTAACAGCACTGTATTTCACATCAATTACTACCTACCCTCGACCAACCCGCCCGCTCCCTCCGCTTAGCGGGCTCCGGTCTGCCCATGTCCCCTGACCCACCCACTCCACCATTGGCGGAAGAGCCTTCAGCCATTCTGCCCCCAATCTCTGAAATTCCATCCCCCAATCACTCTGCCTCGGCCCCTCCTTAGCCTCCTTCAAGTCCTGCCTCAAAACCCTCTTCCCCTCCCTTCTCCCCCCCTGACCCCAGCTCAGGTCTGAAACGCTGACACTGTTCAGCGCCTTGGGATGTCCTCCCGACGTGAAAGGCGCTATACAAATGTAATCTTGTTGTTGTTGTTGTTGTATGAGGCTCCCGAGGGGCCCCCGAGCTGGGGTTAGGGGATTGTAGAAGATGACCGAGAGTGTGGTCAAAGAGGTTGGTCTTGAGATAGACTTTGAACGAGGTAAGGGAGCAGGCGAGCGATTCGGAGGGATTCCAGAATGGAGTTGCAGAAAGTGGGGAAAGAGAGACCAGGGCGGTGGGGGGGGGGGGGGGGGGCACGGTGCGGTTATCAGCAAGATGAACCTCAGTATATCCGGCTCAAACATACACATTGATTTGCTCGAAAACTCATGCCGTGTGTGTGTGTGTAAGGAATGGCTAATTTTAATTATTTGTATTGAACGCAGTAACACATTAACCGGATGTAAAAAGACACCAAGAACCACAAAACAGTCATCACCACCTCACTGTCATCAGCCGAACAGACTCCATTCTGGGCACTACTGTAACTCCCTCCGATCAATGGTGGTGGGCAGAGACAAGAGAGACACACACACAGACATAGACAAACACACATGTTCCCACACAGAGGCAGAGAGACAGTCAGGCACACACACACCCACACAGCGAGGCACACACACACCCACACAGCGAGGCACACACACACCCACACAGAGAGGCAGACACACACCCACACAGAGAGGCAGACACACACCCACAGAGAGGCAGACACACCACACAGAGAGGCAGACACACACCCACACAGAGAGGCAGACACACACCCACACACACCCACAGAGAGGCAGACACACACCCACACAGAGAGGCAGACACACACCCACACAGAGAGGCAGACACACACTCACAGACACAGAGAGGCAGACACACACCCACACAGAGAGGCAGACACACACCCACACAGAGAGGCAGACACACACTCACAGACACAGAGAGGCAGACACACACTCACACACCCAAACACACACTCCCACACACACAAGTCTGATATCCACAACGTTTCACATGGAAAAGCCGAGTTAGTGCGGTTGAGACGTTACTGTTTTCGTGGCAGAAATTCCTTTCATTGAGTGACCGATAACAACAACAACAACAACATCATTGTGCATTGCGCCCCTCACGCAGAATCGCGTCTCAGACACACAGAGCAAAACAACTGTGTGTGGGGGGGGGGGGGGGGAGAGGGGGAGAGAGAGGGGGGGAGGGGGGGAGAGGGGGAGAGAGAGGGGGGGAGAGGGGGGGAGAGGGGGGGAGAGAGAGGGGGGAGAGGGGGGGAGAGAGAGAGGGGGGAGAGAGAGGGGGAGAGAGAGGGGCGGGAGGGGGGAGAGAGGGGGGAGAGAGAGGGGGGGGGGAGGGGGGAGAGGAGGGGGGAGGAGGGGGGAGAGGGGGGAGAGGGGGAGAGAGAGGGGGGGAGGGGGGGAGAGAGAGGGGGGGAGAGGGGGAGAGAGGGGGGGAGAGAGTTGGGGAGGGGGGGAGAGAGGGGGAGAGAGGGGGGAGAGAGAGAGTTGGGGAGGGGGGGAGAGAGGGAGGGAAAGAGAGAGGGGGAGACAGCGCGGCTCAGTCACAATGTAGCGCCTTTGCTACAGTTTGTTGGTTACACTGTTACACTGTTTCTCGGTGTTACACTGTTACAGTTTCCCGGTGTGACGGTGTTACACTGTTTCCCGGTGTGACGGTGTCCCGCGGCTACAGTTGGGCCCCGGACCCGCCGCCTCTCACCGCTGAGGCCGCCGCCGCGACCGTGTCCTTTCCGCCGCTGCAGCACAAAGAAGGGGTTCGCTCTCTCCGTCACCCACAGCGCGTTCGCCAACAGCACCTCCTCGGGAATCAGCCACATGGCGGCGGCGCCTCACCGCCCACTCGGGGCCGGGGGTCGGGGCCGGGGGTCGGGGTCGGGGCTGGAGCTCGGGGCCGGGGGTCGGGGTCGGGGCCCCGGACTCTCGCTGTCCTGGAGCCGCAGTCACCGCGCGCTGCGCAAACCCGAGCCCCGGCACAGGGCGGGGCCACGGTCACATGCCGGTGTGTGTGTGTGTGACAGTGTGTGACACAGAGCGTGTGACAGACTGTGTGACACAGAGTGTGTACAGTGTGTGTGACAGTGTGTGTAAGAGTGTGACACAGAGCGTGTGACAGACTGTGTGTGTGTGTGACACAGTGTGTGTAAGTGTGTGACAGTGTATGTAACAGACTGTGTGTGTGTGTGTGACTGAGTGTGTGTGAGTGTCAGTGTGTGTGACAGTGTGTGTAAGAGTGTGTGACAGTGTATGTAACAGACTGTGTGTGTGTGACTGAGTGTGTGTGTGTGTCAGTGTGTGTGACACAGTGTGTGTAAGAGTGTGTGACACAGTGTATGTAACAGACTGTGTGTGTGTGTGTGTGACTGAGTGTGTGTGAGTGTCAGTGTGTGTGACACAGTGTGTGTAAGAGTGTGTGACACACTGTGTGTGTGTGGGGGAGAGAGACAGAGCCACAGTGTGTGGGGTGTGGGGGCACAGAGACAGAGTTGGCGCAGTCTGTGTGAGAGCTGTTTCGATGGGATCATTCGGTGCGGATTCAGCTTTTCCAGAGAAATAAAGGCATTTTCATACCTTTTGGCTGTTGGAGCCACAACTCCATCGTCACCGTTAGACTCCCATTATCTACTTCAGACACTCAACTGTTCATCTGAGTAAATAAATAATCTTTGTAATTAGTACAATTTATCACATCATCAAAACATCTCAAAGGCACTTCCCAGAATTTACTGTCAGGTGTAGTGACTGTGTATACATGGTAGAATTCAATCACCTTCAGTGATTTAAGGGATACTTGACGAAACCCAAGGCCCTGACCTTCCCTCAGAGCTTCAATGTACTCCAGAATCTTAGAAAGGACAGGATGAGCTGACCATCCAGCCTGACCCACCGTAATCCAGATTCCCAACTCTCTCACCACAGCCCCTTTCCTCACTCAATTAACTTTCAAATGCCATTATTGTGTCAATCCAACAACTTGCATTCTTACGCACTCCTCACGCAGGGCAGCATTCCAGAGCGCTTGAATAGGCCTGAGTGGCAAAGCCTTCCTTGTTTCGATAGTCCTCTCCAGGGGAAAAATGCTTCTTCTAACTCTTCCAGTGGGAATCCTGGCTCTTGTAACTCCCATTGAAATCTTATGCCAAGGGGATGACATTAGCTGAAACACTGGGAGGATTGTAAGGTACCGTCTCCCCCACCACTCGCTGACACATCTGTGTAAATTTCCTCTGGCATCGCTGGCTGCCACACTGCACCCATTGCCAATAGAGCAGCCTCTGATCAAGTGTGCCAGGGCGCCTGACAGAGACATTTCCCATCACAGGGATTGAAGTGACCTTGGAAATTCCTCGCTCCGTCCAGATACCTTGTTGTTCCTCTTACCCAATTACTTATCCAATTCATCACTGAAAGCAACACAGACAACACACCTCGTGTAAACCATTAACGGGAGATTTATTGAAATGAATCCACTTGGGAACCTCAGCTACAGGATAATGTATCAGAACATATACCACATACAGAATTTACAGCGTGGAAGATATACAGAGCAAAAGTTTAGGTATGTTCACATTTTCCTACTGTGCTACATGTTCACATTGGTATAAGCTCTGATTGTCCAAAGTGTCACCAACTCCATATGGAATCTCTGCAACCAAACGGTAACCTTGTATAATGAATGTCTTCAGTGTTTTATCAGCAGTCAGATAGTTTGAATTTAAAAATCTATAAATTACTAGTTTGGCTTTTATTGTTACTAAATTTGGATACTGTAATACAACCTATCCCCAGGATAGCAGTGTAGGATAGCAGCAGTGAAAAGTGGCAGATTCATTTAGTGCAAAGAGCAGGGAGGAGATGTCATCATCGCAGTGACTGAGTAAAGATAATGAGGGACAGGAGGGACCCAGTTACACATTCCAAAGTCCAAATGAATGCCATTATTTGACACAACAAACGGCCAGCCCCTTAGACATAGGAGAACTTCCACGCTGGACGTGCATATTTCTGACGTACATATTTTGAATTTCTGATAGAAAGGCATTTCAATGTTGCCTGGCAGCTGCTTGCCAGAGAGCTAAACACTGGTCTTACTTCATTTACCAGACTGCAACCCTCCCACCCCACACTGGGGTTGGATTGGATCAATCAACTACTGAAAGAGGGAGAGGTTAGAACAATAACTTGCCTAATAACTGTGCCTTTCACATGGTTTGATTATTTAGAGATGCTGGGGATCTACAAGCGAGGAGGAGAGCAGGTGAGGAAGCTGACCCAAGGCAGAGTCACAGATAAGCCAAAAAATATAACGTTTACCATCACTGGTGAAAATGTAACATTCAATTTCCAAATTTGCCGAATAACTACAAATTGGTTTGACCAAATTTACCCAATTGCTAATTACTGCATCAAATGGTGCGTTTTTCACCCCGATATCATGACCCGGTTTTAGACAGGTCTGACTGGGGAAGTGGGTAGTTCAATATTTGGTGGAATCTGAAATACCAGTTACTGCGATTCAACTAATTCCTTCCTGAAGTTTAAAGTCAAGTTCTTAATATTTTAAGTTTCAGTTCTGAATTTGTTGCAGTACAAAGTCTCTCTTTGTAGACTTGAAATCCTGAATAAATAACGATATTGATGTAACAGTGTGTGTCCTGTTCTTCTCCACAATGTTAATGTTTGAATACTACAGATAGGAAAATACATTAGGAAACCTCAAGGACCACTGTGAAACATGGAACCGGCCATTGTGCAGGACTCCCCCACTCCCCCAGCATTGATCGTGAGCCCCATTGCTTTCAATGGCAAATAATAATAATAATCCTTGCATTTGATACAGTGCCTTATCACATCTTCGAGACGTCACAAAGCGCTTCACAGAATAGACTGTAAACTGAATCGACTGTATATTTTGTGGGTGAAAATGTATAAGGTACAATCTATTTCTCCAAACACTTTGTGCAGGCAATGTGAATCATGGTAAAAACCCGTTGGTCAAGTTTGGCAGCCATTGGCCACTAAAAGTTTGGGAATAATTGATTGGTAATTCTAGAAAAGGAGTTCTATCACACAATTAAAACTCCTGCTAACTATTCCACGCAAAAAATAATAAAAAAGATGACATTTCATCAGGGAGCTTTGGTATCACGGGTAATATTAACACCGTTCACAAAGTCATAGGATTTGGCGAATGAACCTCATGAGAAACACTTCCCCTGAAACCATCAGCAGATCCAAATCCAGGATCCACTTCATGTTCCTATCTCAGTCACATTCACAGCTGATCCACACATTCTGAACCTTCTGCTGTCAACATTTGGTTTTTTATTTATCGATTTCTCCCGTCAGTTTCCAAAAGTGCTGACACATGCTGAGGATCACTTTCATTGGCCCTCTGCTACCTCACAAATATAATACTAATAATCCTGGATTTGATATAGCGCCTTATAGCCTCAAAGTGCTTCAGTGATGATGGGGTGCGGCATTCTTGGTCTAGATTGTGTCGGCAGGTTATGTCATGAGGGAGATCACAGCTTTACTCCAATACTACCTCAGCCTTTGTCCACACATACACACTGGAGCAGGAAGTCTAGACTTAGGCATGGATCAGTAGCAGCTCCACTGGATGACTTTTCCTCATCTTAAATCAGGCACCTTCAATACAACTCCGCACAAGCTATTGTAAACATATAAAAGTGGAAACTCTCCACTTGTATTCACAATACTCTAGCAGAAAGGTTTCTTAGAATCAATGAGAGAAACATAGTTGATCTGCACTGGGCTCAGATCTGCTGAATGAAAGTAACTCTGTGAGTACTGGCTGTTCATGCCTTGTAAGATCTCCCAAATAAAATTTCCAGTCCTTGGACTCTAATGTTATATCTACTGAATACAACATCTCAGAATATATTCACTGAATCATAGTGTTTCAATTTGGCATTGAACTCTTCTGTACTCAAAAAGTTATCAAAAAAAATACCTTGGTTCAGAGGTTACAACACTAATAAACGTCATCAGTATGTCTCGCATACACTAGTACTGTGTCCCTCGGACAGGCTTTATTGTCTGTTCTTTAAATTGAACTGAGCAGACATTACAATATTTATACGTTCCACTTAAACTTGGCAACAAGATATTGAATGAACTACTATGGAGTTGCCTGGTGGCTATCACTAGTCACAGGTAATTAACTAGTATAGTGTAATTTGCTGATCTACAGGTGCAAGGCCCACAGGTGCCAACACCCTGGGATCAACAAGCATGTGTCGAGGTATACAGTGCAAGAACAGAGCTAATGAATCAATGAGAAATCATTGAAGGCAACAGAACAGGTCACTTGGGAAGTCAGAGAGGATGGACAACATCAGCATTAACAGGACTTTGGCTGGACATGCTCAGATCATTGTTGGTCACATGGCCCCTTCCTCTTCTCATCCAGACGGCCCATCACACGGTGTCCAGCAACTTTGAAAACTGCCGTTTTGTCATCAAAATCATCAGTTTCCAGAACTCCCTCAGTATCTGTTATCTGTCTGAGCCTGTGAGGGCAAATGGTCCCAGCACAGCTGTGAGACTTGTCTGACAAGAAACCAGACCAATACACCAAGGCCACAAGACAACAGGCACAGATCTGGGGGTGTGAAGGGCAAGTTTAGGGCAGATACCAGGAAGTTCCTCTTTAGCACAGGTTACTGAACTCAAAAGGATTTCTAGATGGGGATACTGAGGCCAGGTCACTGGGACCCATTTGAGAAACTGCTTGACACAGTAATACAAAGTCTGTGTTCTGGAAGATCAAGATCAAATGGGTTGAAGGGCATTCTTCATTCGTACCTCTCATGAAACATCCATGCCTCAGTTGGCTTCCCCTGCATAAGCACTGCAGGGGGACAGAAAGTGAAGACTGGTGGTAGCTCATTATTAAGACATTTTGGCCAACATCAATGGCATGTATGAGCAATAGAAGTAATCTATGTGAGGGCATCCTCAGAGGTACTGTCACAGGAGGAAGGAGGTTGTTAAAAGCCAATCCAATGAGCTGTCCTTCACATGAGGAAATCTAAGGAAGAATGCTTTAAAGACGCACAACAAACACAGGCAGCTTGTGATACAGTTTCACCTCTTCAGTTTTGGTACATTTCATCGCAATTCAAGAGTGACAGAAGATGTGGTAGGTCTCCGGTTTGTGTTGTGCAGTAAAAGGCTAAGGCTGTCGAGCGAGTACGTTGAACCGATCTATTCATGCTTTGTTCTCCTCATGCTGCTGGATGGAGGGCCTGACCTCTGACAGGCCAATCTCATACACACTCTGCGGAAGCCCAGAGTTACTGCTCACACTGTGGATATCTGCAAAGTACAAAACAAGATGCATCACATTTTAGTGATTTGGCGAGAGTAACAGGAGAGCAGAAGGCGTCTTACTTTAGCAGGTTTATTACAATAAATATAAGTGAAGGAACCGGATCAGAAAGCTCCACAAAAATATCTTGCAATAATTGACACAAACAGCTGATTTGGGTGCATATCTGGGTCACATGGTTATGTGTCCTAAGCCTCTAGTCAGGATTTTGAGCTTACCGTCTAGGATAACACACCAATGCAATGTGTGTGTGCGTGTGTGTGTGTGGGGGAGGTGAATCCTGTATTGTCGGAGGTGCTGTCCTTCAGGTGAGATGTTAAACCAAGGTTTGCCTGTTCAGATGGATTTTAAAGATTCCATGACATTAATAAAAAGCCCAACGAACAATTTACCAGATAAATTAGATACACATCATTGCCCGTTCGGCCCAGTTCGTGGGTCTTGCTTGTTGAAAAACATCCATCACATTTGCCTAGGTTTTCTTTCTATTTTGACCTGTTGCTGTTCAGTATACATTAAATTAATTATTTTGAGTTATAACATGAAATACATTCATGTAGAGAGGAATATAATTTTTACTGGAGATTGCCAGACAATTGGTACTGTAACTGCAGCACTGGATTACACCAGAGGAGGTCCTCCTCAGTGAACCAAATAAATAAATAGTGCCTCACAATGATGGGAAGCCATAGAATAGAGAACACAACATTAGCAGAAGTTATACACAGTGACCAAAACGTCACAATACCATTACAATGTCTATCTAATAAGTCTTAAAAAAATTATCATATTTTTTTCTTTAATAGGGTAGTTATCACAACTTTATGGTCACCCTATATACACTGTGTGTGCGTATGTATATACACACACAGCTCCATCTAAAGAGAAGCCTAAGCATTTGCTATGTATTGCCACACATACAGAGAATTACAGATACTCTTAATTAATAATAATTTTCATTCTCTTTAAGGGCAGATACGTGCACGTTTTGCACACAGCGCAAGTGTTTCATCCTCCCTGCTAAGTTTGCCCACTAATTCACATTGAGTAACACATTAGTTGAGTTCACTGGCTGAGTAACTATACCCTTCCTATCTTGCTCAGTTGTCTTAGTAGTATAATCCATCTACCAAATGTTTGTTATTCAACAAGTGCGATACTTCAATGCTCAGTGCTGGCTCCGGCCTCCCAAAACATTGTGCATGTTCTTTACCCCAACAACCACTATCCTGTTCCACATGCTCACACCCTCAAGTATTTCACGGCAATCAGTCATTCTATTGGCAACACACAAGCACTTGCTGCAGTCAAAAGCAAATGCTGAACATGAGCCTCAGCCCATTTGATCTCATGATTCCAGATATCCACCCTGCAGTCTTTCCATTACAGCATCAAGCTTTGCTTAAATAGGCCAGTGTCCCAACCTCTATCAAGTTGCCTGGTAACCTGTTCCTGTTCATTAATTTCTTTTAACTCAAGAAAAAAAAACTTCCAGGATTTTGTCTTGAGAAGGAATGACCAGAAATAAATAAGGCAAACCAGATGTAATTCCATATTTTATTGTACGAAATTTCATACAAAGCTTTTATGTGGAGGCATGTGAAAAAATAACATATAAAAAATAGATTTTGGCTTTAGCAGAACTAATACAGAGAGGCAGATCTTGGCGTAAAATGCTGTGGCTGCAGCAGAGGTGCTTCAACATGACAGAGTCCTGGGGACAGAAAGAGAACTTTATTAGTAAATCCAGCTCAGAAAATTTGCAGTTTTTTTTTTGGAAAAATAATTAAAAATGATTTTTCTAAAGTCAATAATAAAATACATTGGTTTATACAAAGAATTAATTGTGTTCCCAACTGAATGCAAATTGGTTCCAATAAACACACAGCCCTATCCCTTTCAGAGACATACTAAGCTGAGAAATGTAAAGACTGCACAAAGTGAATAATTCTCAGCTTCACTAAAATGTTCAATGTTTCCTTTAATTAAAAGCTCAGTTTAATTATTTGCAAGGTGTCATCGTGAATTATGGATCCCCAGGTACGATTTAAACAATGGTTTTCAGAAATTAAAAAGAAACAACTTGTACTTAATGGTGCTTTATCATGTCAAAGCAAAATTAATCTTTCCAAGAACCAGCGCTTAACTACTATATGGGGATCTCATTTCAGACACTGGATGCTAATGTGGGGAGTGTGGAGAGCTGCCTTGTCAGCAACCCCCATCACCCATAGCTGGAACGTTTCCCTCAAACCTTTAAGGCTCATTGGCAACATTTGCCAACACTGACACTGATTTGCAAAGACTAACTGAATTATGTTGTTATATATTTTACACAATGGAATCTATAACATTGGATAGCCACCTTCGCATTTTGTGTCCCAGGTCTAAATGCTCTTTGTTTCTAGGTTGTTGTGTAAAATACTTTTGGGAATTTCATCAACATTTCTGATGTGCTTTTCAAAATACCTTGATGGCTAGAATTCTGAAGGCTGCTCTCAATTATTTTAATAACAGAAAGCAGTTAAAATAGTTCAATGAGGAAATAAGACATTCAAGTCTTTCCATTTCAATGTAACACTCCAAGTTCTTAGATCAAAGTAATCTTCTGCATACAGAATGCAGCAGGAAAGTGATGAACAACTGCTGTCCTTTCAGAAAGTGTTCATTGTGCAGCACTTTCTTGGTAAACCTGCATATGGTCACCCACGTCAGCTCTTTCAAGCTGCAAGGAAGTTGCTCAGGGAATTCATTTTAAATCTAGCAGCTTAACAGAATTGAACACCTACAATGGATTTTCATATAAAGAGTTCTTAATAACTCCAGCACACAATTCTAAAGTAAAGAACACAAGAACCATCGTTTTTAAAATCAAGAAGCATTTGAGAAATCCTGTTATATAAATGTTATCATACATTAGATGCAGTGTCAAATAGTAAGAAAATGCCCCTGGATAATTTTAAATAGATAAAAGCTGAGTCAGAGCTCCTCTCCTCCCCAAATATGAATGTCTGTTGATCCATGTTCCTTGTATGCAATGTACCGAAAGGGAGCTGATGGAAATGAAGGGGTTTGGCTTTGAGGTTAACCTTATTTCAAAAATAAGCTACATATCACAGGGCAAACAGCAATTGTCTATTTATGCTCATTCTATAACTCCTGCAGTTTGTGAAATAGTGTTTACTCCAGGTGGCTATCCTAGACCAAATGTAAGTTTATTGGCACTGGCTTTCCTCACCCCTCTCTTATTGGGTTTGTTGCCTTCACTGCATTGCCAAACCAAAGTGCTGAAATATGTTTTTTTTTAGCCTCAGCAACTTCCCCCTAACAGCATCAGTAAACTGTGGATGGTGTAAGGGGAGGGAAGGATTGAATGCTCAGCAACAATACATTTCATAATGTATTAGCCTAGGACTAGCCGGACGAATACGGAAGGCAGACATCGCTCTGCATATAAAAAAAGTTTAAAAAAAAGTGTTCAGTAAATGGTCAAAGATCCTGAGGAGTTCATCATGGACTATACATCCCCACTGGTTTAATAACACTTAATAATGCAGTTTTTCTACAGTCTGTGCAGGAAGCTGAGTTTAGCTGCGAACATTATGAAGGCAAAAGCAACGGGATGTGTTGAACTAATCAAAACAATAGCAGCAGTGTGTTTCCAGACTAGGGTTGAGCACTCTTGTTGCTGAAGCAGTGTAAATATGAGGACAGCAAATATCTTCTTCCCTGCATCATTGGTCTCTGTGTGAAGGACGCTATATAATGTGAGTTGCTGTTGGATTACTGGCAATCTTCCTATTCAGTTCAGGGCAAACAAAAAGCTAAACTCCACCTTGTCCCCACTTGGATTCTCTGAGTTAGGCAATCCACGTAGAAATCCAGTATAATGTCATCATGTCGAGTGGAGAAAAAGAATCCAGCTCTAGGAAAACATCTTCTCTGCTGCTGATATCAGACTTTCCCCGAATTAGTGCTAAATGAGCAAAGTGCAGTCTGGTATAGATCACCTGTGCTGTGTCAGCCCATCAGGTTATCTTCAAGACTCAAAACTATACTGCCCATCTTGAAAAGGTAACTAAAACATAGGAAAATGTATATTTAAATGAAACCCCTGAATACTTACTCATCTGCTGTTGTAGCTGTGGTTGCTTTGATTATCATGTAGAAGAGCGTGAGAGCACTAAGCACACCAAAACTTGCGATAATAAGCCATTCTTCTGTTAATAAAGGAAAGGTAAGTCACTCTGGGAACGCCATGTGAAAAATGATGAGATTCTCCTATAGAGCAGCGGTGGCAGCACAAGTGAGTGCGTCTAGGAAAATGTAGATCAGACAGTAAAGCAGCATCAATGACAGTGCAATGCAAGGAAATGGATAGCAAGGTTATCAGATGTCAAACATCACAAGGCACAAAGTACCATCATTGCTGTACTCCAATGTTCAGCAGTTCTCTAGTAACTATTCAAAACAGGTATTTGTGCATTTTATGTGATCAGATTGAAATTGTTGCAAATGTACAAACAAATGTATGATTGTACATTGGCTAAATGCAGAATTTTGGTAAGTTTCAGTCCAAATATACTGCAAGTCTTGTTATAAAAAAAAGCAGCATAGAATTCTATTGCATACAGCAACTCAAAGTGCATTGAGATAGAGCCCCTTGTTTTCATCAATAGTAAATGGCAATCCAAGCCTTAAGACCAGGAAGTTTGGAGCTGATTTAAGGCACAGGGTACAGACATCAGTAGCGAATTTCTAGCTTTCCCAAATCCCAGTCCCACCCCACAAGAAAAATCCTGACTTGGACAAGTAGGCAGATAGCTTGTGAAAGTTCATGGTCTCAACACAAGTGAAACACAACCCAAGCCTCTGTCGCACAGTGTTAATTATCAACAGTGAAAGAATTAAAAATCAAGTACAAAGATCAGTCAGGTTATTTGTGGAAGTATTGATCAATCATCAGCAGGTTAATATTCAATATTCATACATCATGACAATTACTTAAAATTGAGATAAACAGACAATATCAAGCAGTCTCCTTAAACTAAACCCGTGGTAAGTCGTTCTCATGTCTGATCACATTGATCTTTAGATTGGATATCCAAAATGGAACACCTTAAAACAGCAGCCTTCAAGATGACAAACCTGATCCAAATGAGATTAAGGTATTTAAAGATTAAAAACTGACGTCTCCGAAAATATCCTCTCTAGAGTTCCCCTTTATGCAAACATTTCTAATCACAGCAAATTAAAATGTGCTGCCAAAGGTGCTGTGTCTCGGTGCAGTTTAATTCCTGTGTATACACAATAATAATCACAACTAGTTTACATTTTTTAAAAATCGAAGCCCTTAGCTTTACACTAGAATAAATTACAAAGCATATACTGCACCGAAACAGGCGATCAGCCCAACTCCCCTGGGCCAGTGTTTATACTCCACATTACCCTCCAACAATCCTTTTCACCCCCCACACCCATCTATTGCTTTCTCTCAGGTGTGCATGAGGTTTACATTGTCATTTTCTAATAATGCTTAATCACAAAAAGCCTTTAAATGGTAAAATTACTTTGACAGGATGTACAGTATAATACTTTCCCACAGAGAAAACACCAAGTATAACCTCAGCATTCTTAACCTTTCCAGCTCTGTGAGCCCATGTAATAGAGATCTGCTGGTGTTGCAGTAGGAAAACTAAGTTTTCAATTTGAAGCTAAAAGTTGAACAAGAGAGAGGCAACCAGGAAAGGTGGTTGAAAACCCAATGCTAGACTCAGTGAAGAAGCAGCCGATGCTGTAATAAAGGCAAGACAGTAGGGTGAGCATTCTGGAAGGATGAGATCAAATAGGTTTGTACTGCTCAAGACCTTGCGACCTTTAGTTGAGGCCGTTTCTCTTGCATTTAAGAATTTTGGGAGCAGGCAGTTAATGCTGCTTTGTCTGTTCATGATACTTCAAAAATGCGGACAGATCTATATGAGATTTTGCACAAATGAAGCAGTAAACATCTCACTTGTTCCGATATGGTGCAATTCTAAAAACACTGAAGTGATTCCACCATCATCAGACCTATGACCACCAGTTCCTCAATACAGTGTTACAACTCAAACAATCTAATCCCACCAACATTAGAAATGGCACGATTGCCAAATTGTCACAGTTCCTGTAAATATTTTGCTTGTCCTCAATTATATTTTTTTGCAAAAACTCAAAGCTCAGGGGAAAACAATACTATCAGCTGGCTAGTGTGTAAAGGATATAAAGGCATTGGACAGTTTGGGTTTTGAGTCTGCAAAAAACAGATTATACACACACACTACACACCACACACACAACCTGTAGCCAATGTAACTGAAACACTGGGGAGGAAAGCTGAGACGGACAGTATCAACCTCCAAAGGGTATAAAATAACTGAGAAAACAAGCCACTCAGTGTAAAATTAGAATTATTTACATTTTTTGAAGAATGGATATTTGAACGCAACTCCCTTCCAGATGTTCGTTGATACAAATTAAATGTCTAGGTTTATGAAACAAAATCTAATTGTAAACATAAATCAGAGGCATCTCAAGTGGCTTTGTAAACAGATCAATACGCCATTCTGCCTCACACCTGAGAAACTAAGGGAGGGGAAAGTGCATTCAACCATTTGTTGTTTTTTTAATTTAAAGAAAACAGCAAGCTACAACTCAGAAAATGAACCCGGAAAGCACCGTAGAATCATAGAGAGCCTCTTTGAAAATTGAAAAATTTACATGTTAAGCTGTGATTAGGTCTGAAAAGTCAAACACTGAAAAAAGGGCTGAAAGACTGCATAACCTAATTCACTCAATCACAGTCCTTAAGAGGGCAAGAGAAGGAAGGTTTTTTTTAAAAAAAGAAAAATAGGAAGCAAACAATGAAAGTTGTGGGAACACACAGCATGAAATAGAAATAAATCAGCATCCTTCATTGAAGCCATTTATATTAAAAAACAGAAATTTGGAAAGCATTCCTAGTTTTCCAAAGTAAAATGCCGTAGCATTAAGCAGTTTGTAGCCAGCGACTATTAGTAACAGAAGAATAATAAGATATTTGAAAGAACTGTAATCAGTTGCCACAATGCACAACATTCCCTCTGTTGCACCACCGGCTTGAAAGCGTTTTTCCTGTTACTTTGTCTCATTGTGATTAATTTAATAACAGACCTGCAGCAAAAATTGCTGCAATTATTAAATTCCACTTTTTTTGATCCAAGACTTCTTGTGAAACTGTGAAAAACAAAATACAATAAACAGCAATTTGAACGTTGGCTCGCAGGGTTGAGGATCTGGCTCCACCTCAAAGTCTCACTGATGTGCCAGACCATTAAGTTCAACCATTAGCACTGCCTTAGACTGCTGTGAACCAGCTCGTCTCATAGGAACCAATTTCCCTGCAGGGTTAATCATCTCTCAGGAGATGCTGAAACGTGGCGCTCATACTTTTCACTGCCATAAGGTGGCACCAAACTATGGCGGTACAGTAAAATGTACAGAAGTCATGTCAGTCAGGACCATAACATTTAATATGACTTGCTCGAAGTATGAGTTACAGGCAAACTTGCACAAGTTGTACAAAATTTGACTCAATAAACTACACTGTATGAGAATGTCAATGCAGCTGGTAAGTGCAGTAGCGCTGTTACGAGTTAGGAGACGATTTGCTTTACAAAATACAACTACTGCAAACAAATCAAAGTGTTTTGGGTAGAAACTGAATGGGAGTTGGTACATATCAACTTAGGCGATTATACAATTATAAAGATAAGACTTATGCAAGTTTTACTGTAGTTCCTCATCAGTGGGACATTGTTCCCTTGTGATTCATAATGGTACTTGTTTAAATCATATTCTTTATGAAGGCACATCTTTCTGGTGGAAATGTTTCAATATTTTGTGTCTCTCTATTGTGCACTCTCTATTAAAATTCTAGGGTCTGATAGCTAACAATATTTTGCTCCTTTACAGAAAGTTATCTGCGCACCCCTCTCCTTTGTTGTAACAGGTACAGATGATGGAACCCTTACTGGTCACTGTGACGTTCATCTCCCTGGTGCGTGGCAACGATTCCTCCTCCTGACCCAGCTGTGAGGTGCCCAGAAATCGGAGCGGCTCCAGACTTATAGACCCCTCACCAGTCACATCAGCCGGCATTGACCTTTGATTGGCAGGTGAGCCTCGGACGGATCTCTCGACATCAAGCGTTGCATTATCTGCACAGCGTACGTCAGGCTGCAAGAGGCAAACCAAAGCTCGCTTAATCCTCAACAGCAATTCATCAAGTATGTAACAATGTAAATCAATTCAAGTTGATTCAATGATTTCATGTTTCCAGATACGTTTCAATCTAACTAGTCTGCACAGAGATCATATGTTAAATATTCCAACCTAGGTGCCAAGGTGCACATTTACAGAATAGAATTTCAGCTTCAAACTTTTCATGCTGCCATTGCTCAAATCGTGAAACATGTGCAAGTGCAGCCTACGCACTGGAAGCATCACCACTAACACTATTAACATATATTAACATGTTATCCTTACCAGGATTCCCAGGGCCTTCAGGATGTTTAGTTTGCAAATGGGGCAAGTGCAGTGTTCATTCAGCCAGGGATCAACACACGATTTGTGGAAGAGATGCCTGAAACAACCACAATGCCATTAGGTGTCTTCATGTTTGAGGAAAAGTCCATACTATCTGTTTAAATAAGTACCTGAAGTGATTGACACTGTAATTTAAAGGATTGTCTCAACTGCACTGAACATATTGTGAACAGATTACTAAATTATTAAACATGTGTGAGGCAGTGTTGAAGCTAACAAACTAGAACTTTAAGCTAACTTCCCTACAAGGCAGTGAAGTTAGAGTTTTCCTGAGGATGTGGGGCTCCTTAACTCAGATCAGTTTCCAGGGGAGTGGGTTTACTCGTTCAGCCAGCTTATCTTTGGCAAATAATTTCTTCCAACATTACCATGCAATGAACTGGCAATGTATTAGGTTAGAGAGCTCTGCAGCATGGCATGGATGCAAGAAAGCTAAATGGTGGGAAAGAGAATAGATTTTCAGTGTCCTTGAAACTATCAAGAGGCAGTTTGTTGTTAATGCTGAGGAAATGTATTTTTATCTCATTGGCATTTTACCAGAGAAAATAGTGATTTGTCTCTTCCAACTGATAGCCCATTTCTGAAACACAACCCAAGAAAAACGTGTGCTGAATGAGATCACTCACATCAACATGACATAAAAGACTTTGATTTCTAAAGAATAACCCGAACAGCTGGGCTGTTCTCTAATAAGCAATTGTACTATTTAGGACCTAGAGTGTAAGAATTAATATGTGTGTAGATTTTACGCAATTGTAAATACAAGTTTACTTATCGCATATTACAATGCCAAGCAGCATAGCTTCAGTTTATCAACTGCTGATTTGGAGAAAGTTAAGGCTCATGTGGGACAGACTTCATGCCTGATAGTCAAGTTGTCAGGCCACACTCCTAGCAATTTAAATTTTCCAATGACAGGTTTAAGACAATCAAATTACTTTACACAATGGTATTGAGCATTATGACATATCTAAAACCATTACTCTGAGTTTACTTTATTCCATTCAGCATTTATACGCCTGTAGGGTCCCTTTCTGTCTCTGAGTTTGAAAAGCCTGATCTTATCTGGTTGCACTTCATCCCTCTAAACCCTGGGAATTGAATATCAATAGCTTACTTGCATGGCAGAATCCTGACCACATCATTGGATTTGTATCCTTCGATGCAGACAGCACAGTGGTCAAAATCAGGACCAGTTTCCTGAAAATGCAGGCAAGTCAGTTAATTATTTTCAGCAACAAATAGGATTTGATTTATTTTCCTATCCAAAACTCTCACAAAGCACTGCTTTCCGACAATCATTATACTCATATCAATTCGTAATAATAATCCAAACATTTGAACTAGCTCCCAGTGATCTACTGCATCTCAAAGTACTTTACAGGAAATTGCTGTCACGTGTGTATCTATAGGTAAATGAGACAGCCAATTTGTTCACAGCAAAGGCCACAAACAGCTACAAAATAAACGAACAATTTATCTGGAGCATTGTTGGCCTGGACAACAGGAGAAACTCCCTCGTCTTTTGACGAGTGTCGTCACATTTAACTTCCAACTGAAGAACAGGTAAACACAATACTGCAGATGCTGGATATCTGATAACAAAAACAGAAGTCACCGGGAACACTCGGTAAGGCAGCATCTATGGTGAAAGGAAAGTCAGTCAACGTCAATCCGAAACGTTGACTCACTTTCCTTTCACAATAGATGCTGCCTGACCTGCTGAGTGTTACCAGCGACATCTGTTTTTATATTGAGGAACAGGCAAAACTTGTGCAACAAAAATAACAGTATTATTGCCCAGTAATTCACTGCTGAGTCAATCACTCTGATCACAAATGTAATCTTCGGTGAGAACAGCAGCACCTGAATCAAGAAACCTCGCTCATGTCACTGACATTCACAGCTAAAAATCAATCTCTAGGGCCCTTTCCACAGATAGGAAAAGTAATCCCGGAAGGCTGGAAACAAGGCATCCACCTACCCCACCAGACAACTTGCGCTATATAACTTAAAGTTGTTGTTGTTTTAGTAAACAGTGGTGCAAATACCTTGAAAACCTGGGAACTAGGGAGGAGGCAAGAAAGAGTTTAAAAATGATATGCAGTGCTGGAGGTGTAAGGGAATGTTTAGACTGCTGATCTAACCACAGCGATCGGAAAAGGTCAACTTTGTGTTTGCACAATAGTTTCCATACAATGGATTCTATTTCATAAAATAAACTGGTCGCAACTCTTGCTTTAGCACCCTTAGCTTGCTACAGCACCAATTCTACTTGAACCAGAAGCTGCCATTTATACTGTGGAATCTTTAGCAAAAATATTAAATCAAAGGAATACTAAAGGAGATTTGAATGCTTTCCATAAAGAAGGCCTTATCGTTACAGATTTCTTCTGAATGAGCTTCTATTTAAATCTCTAACTGTAGTGGGAAAATTACAGGGTTTGCTCTTTCAAAAAATTGAAGAGAAAAGCAAGATACATCTTGTCTAGTCAAATGGAAGAGTGAAACGTTTTAGTCTAAAATGTTAGAATGCACCTCTTAGCTGTCATAAGAACCAATAATCCTCCCTGTGTACGCCACGTGATCTCTGAATCATTTAGCTTTCATTCCAGCAGTCATGTTTCAGATCTGCATGCAATAGCTTCACTTCCTCTTGCATTAGTTGTAACCTTCCCTTGACTCATCACAGCTATCCAGCTACCAGCCCATCTCCCACCTCCCTTTTCTGTCTAAGGTCCTTGAGAGAGCCATCGCCTCCCAGCTTTGCTCTTTCCTCTCCTCCCACTCCCTCCATGAACCCCTCCAATCGGGTTTCCGTGCTGCCCACAGAATGGAAACTGCTCTGGTCAAGGTCACAAATTACATCCTGAACATGTGTGACCAGGGCTCCCTCTGCCTCCTCGTCCTCTCCGCTACCTTTGATACTGTGGACCACTCAATCCTCTTCCACCGCTTTTCCTCCCACTTCAACCTTCAAGGTTCTGTCCATGACTGGTTCAGGTCCTACCTTTCACACTGCCTCCACTTCGTCTCAGCTAACGGCTTCTCCTCTAGCCCTCGCACCGTCTCGTGCGGTGTTCCTCAGGGCTCTGTCCTCGGTCCCCTCCTCTTCATCCTCTACATGCTCCCACTTGATGACATTATCCGCAGACATGGGGTAAATTTCCACATGTATGCGAATGACACCCAACTCTATCTCTGTCTCCACCCTGAACTCCATGACTACTGGCATCCTGACCGACTGCCTGTCCGACATCAAGTCCTGGACGAGGGACAACTTTCTCCAACTCAACGTCAGCAAGACCGAGGCCCTCCTGAGTGGCTCACGCCAGCGCCTCCGCACCTCGGGCGCTGGCAGCATCAGCTTCCACGGCTGCACACTCAACCTCACTAAGCCAGTCAGGAACCTGGGTGTCTTGTTTGACCCCGAACTGTCCTTTCTCCCCCACATCCGCACCATGACCAGCACTGGCTACCACCATCTCCGCAACATTGCCAGACTCCACCACTGCCTCACCCCTCAGGCTGCCGAAACCATCACCCATGCATTAGTCACATTTTCAAAACTCCCTTCTCAACGGCCTTCCCAACTCTTCCCTTCACAAGCTGCAAATCATCCAAAACTCTGCAGCTCATGTATTCTCACGCACCAGGCTCCCTGACCCCATCACTCCTACCCTCGCCCCACTCCACTGGCTTCCCATCCCTTAGAGGATCGAATTCAAGATCCTTGTCCTCACTTTCAAGGCCATCCATGCCCTTGCCCCCTCCTACCTCTCTGACCTGCTGACTCCCTACCAACCTGCTTGCTCCCTCATTCAGCAGGCTCCGACCTGCTCCATGTCTCCTGCCCAACTCGCCCTACCATCGGTGGCTGGGCTTTCAGCCGCTCTGCCCCCACACTGTGGAACTCCATCCCACAGCCCTTCACCTCGCTGCCTTGCCTCCCTTCCCTCTTTCAAGGCCGGTCTTAAGACCCTCCTCTTCGTTCGTGCTCTCAATTGCTCTCCCAACTCTCTGCCTTCCCTCACCCCTACTCCACCCCTCACCCATGCTCAGGTCCTGACCCCTGACTGTCCAGCGCCTTGGGACCAACGTGAAAGGTACTCTATAAATGTAATTTTTGTTGTTGTTATTGACCATCAGTCTAATTTCTGGCAATGCCACCTTTTAAAATTAAATCTTGCAGTCCACTCCCCATTTCAAAGGGTTTTAAATAAATTTTAAAAAAACTTGTCAATCTTTCTAAACTGTAAACAAATGATAGTGTAAAATTTGATTTCTACCATAGGTAATTATAAACAACACCAAAATGAGAAATTAAAAGTGAATTTTGTAAGACAAGTAAAAGAGGAAATAAAAAAAGCAGATTTTGTACACAGGGTAAGCAAGTACATTATATCACATTGTACTGGATATAGACACACTTCCTCTTCGAGGAAAAGGTCAAGTTAACAGGCGCTTCTTATGCATGTCACAGCATGTATTAAAAAAGGCACTAACTCAGTTCCATAGGGTTAGGACAGACACAAGCTTGTGCTCCATTCCAGTTACTCTCTGAGCCATTAGATGGGATGGAATGGGGGGAAAGAGGCAAGCAATTGAGAGGAAAGAAGCCCCCCCTTGGCAGTCTCTGCCGGCCAGTGGGCTCCCCTCTCTCTATGCTGCAGCCCTGGGGTCATTAATGAAACAAATTTAAAAATACTAACATAAATACTAAAGTATGAATATTGCTATGAGCATAAGTTGTGATACTTCCAAGCACATATGCAATGTTCAGAAATATTTCCAAAGTGTATTAACTGCAAGATTAAAAATAAAACATTGCAACACAAGGAAGTGAGTTAAAGACAGAAGCTTACCTTATCGCCCTTTCTAACAGTCCGTGTGGTTAGCTTGCCAATAGCTTTTTTAGCAACATCTCCGAGATGGCGCTGGATTCATAAAAGAGAAAAAAATGTATTAGAAACATTCTGAAATTGGAGCGGGAGGAAAGCAAGTTCTAAACCTGATCATACTGCAGTACCATAGCCATTCAGCCAATAAGCATTCAACTGAAAATTAATTATCCAGTGTCGGATATTTATTTACTCTGAAAAGGCAGCTACATTGTCATAAACACATTTGAGATGATTTTTGGAATGAAGCAGTACAGGCTGATATTCATATATTGCTTTTTGAGCTTGAATTACAACAGAAACAAAAAAATTACTTTATGCAATTTTAGATTATTCAGTCTTTTGCAATCTTGAAAAAATATTCAGCATTAAGGATTTATAATGTCCCTCATTATCACAGAGAAGCAACCGTTACTGGAAACAGATGGTTAATTTGTTTTTCTGAATAAACTGAATAACCAATCTTGCTTTTAGCTTTGGCTGAAAACATTACACCCCACTCTTTTAAAAGGTAAAGCTGACAGCTGCTGTTCTACCAAAACCAGCCAAAGAAATCTTGAATTTCTAAAAAAATTCTGCAGCAGATAAGCTACAACAAAAATACCTGCAATTCAACATAAACTGCCTGCCTATACCCCATCTGGTCAACTCAACACTGATACTAGGTGTCCAAAATAGAAGGATTACATTTCCCAGTGGAGGTACATTCACCTTGATAATCACAAAGTTAAAAAGGTATAATAATTCTTGTTAAACTGATCAAGATTATTAGGATTCAACTGGATTAAAGTTATCCATTTTTGTTAAACACTTTTGAAGTAGAGGAGCAACAAAAAAACTCTGCAAAATGTTTAGCATGTGAAACTATTTATAGTCAGCTGCTTTAGTAAGTTAATAAAATTCCAGACTGCAACTTAAATATTAAACTACATTAGCACCAGGTCTTGGAGCTTGGGCAGATTGCATTCCTAAAGAACTGACCTCAAATTACTCGTTTGTGTCCTTTCCAGTTTTGATTCCATTTTATGCTTACTCAAGAGATCAAACGTAAAATTTGTCGTATCCTTAGTCAGCACCTCTGAAAGTCTCCCAGTGCAACCCCCTTTCCCACCACCCACAACATCAAACCAATATTGACCACCACAATATGACAAGGAAGTGAAACTGGTCAGCTAATGCTCTGAAACTACACCGTCACTGGTGAGGAGTTGCCTTTTGTTACTCGCGATTTTTACACAAATAGTTCATTCTTACCAACCAAATTACCCATGGAGGAGACAGACTCCAGCACGTACATTATCTGATCCGATTATGTGACAATTAGTAGAGCACTACTCAGTAGAGTAATGTTTAATGATGTGTGAGTTTTTCTCTTAAGGCAGCCACAAGAAGATCTACAATCTGGCTTCAGAAATATTGTTCCAACTAAAACTTACAGGGCTATTGGTTTTCATATAATATTACAGTTCCCTCTATTGACAGTCACACAACTATACTCAGGTGTCATTGAGAAATTTAACAATCAGCAGCATCCATAAATTCTTTTAAAATGACATTAGATAGAGAAAGAGATATTAAAGATGTGGGAAGTGAGCAGGAATGTGAAAGGCTCTACCTCAAATTAAAGGATTATTATAATGTTTCTAGTGTTCCCTTATCATTTTTGAAGCCTGAAAATGTTAGTGGGACTAACAAAATACAACCACATCCGGTAGGCATGGTCTGACAAAGTGTGTAACTTTTATACGCAGATGCAGCTGTAACCCCAAGATAAACAGAACTTTCATCTGCAAGGTTAAGCGCTTCCTTTGTCTGCACTGTAGGTTAAGCATTTGACTTGGTGTTCTTTTATCTGAGACTCATGTTCGAAATTTAGATACTGTGTGCAAGTAAAACATCCACTTCTTATTTCAAATCACCTAGCTTTTGCTTTCCTATATTCATCTCCAGCCAAACGGATGCGCTGGAGTAATTGATTCATGGATTTCTCCATTACTTTGATGTTTGCTCCATAACAATCCAACAGAAAATGCATTTACTGGAAGGCAAGAATCAGCATTTTTCCCTTCCTGTAATACAAGATATTTCTAAACCACATGGAGTTCAATTTTGTAACTTTGCCAAGAAAAAAATGCATAATCTACTTGCAATTGCAAGTATTACATGGTAACATTAGCGCCATCACACTGCAATTAAAAATATCTGAGGAAACAGCTAAGTTTCATATCTTTCACCACTGGAATCAGGTTCCAGATTATTAACACTGAGACTGAAATCCGTCTCCCATTATCAAATAGAAGTGTTACTAGTTAAGAATTCTCAACTTGGCTATTTGGAGAGCTAATGTTCCCAGGAACCACTTACTCATCCTGCATGTTGTTGAGTTACACCAATCTTACACTAGCATCCAAAGCCATCAGAGTCCTACCTTGCTTTCCTGCAAGTCAAACAGCATTATTGTTATTGTTTAATGCTGCCTCTCCAAGTCCTGTTGATGAGTCAGTAATGCCTCGGCCTGGACTGGCCTGACTCAGGAATTGGACTACAAAAACCACTGAGGGCTGACTTAATTCTAGCATTTCTTTTCCAAGCACATCAGCTCCAAGGAGACACTGACTGCTTTGTGAAGTTAGGCTGATGTGCAATTGAAGAACAGTTGCAAACATTCATTACATGCTAGATGTGAACTTATACATTTTTGAATTGCAATTAGCTGAGCAAAATGTGAAAAATTCCATGGAATATTTGGTACAAGCCTAGCAACTCCATGCTCTTTGTTAAAAGTTAAAGTAGTGGCTCAAGTGTTAGTACTCAAGTCAACAATAGCAGGGGGCGCAGCTCTACCTCAGAATGGCTTAACTAATTTTAAACATTCGCATTAAATAAAAGCAAAAAAAACTATGGAATGGATTGTTTGTTAATCTATATTCATGTTGCTGAAAATGATGAAAACGAGGTAACAAGTCTTGCTTATCTGTCAAACAATAGCACATGCACATGTAGTTTAGCACTAGCACAGCTCTACTCTCGTGACAAACTCACAAGATAAACTAGCAGGACGATGCCAGCTGGAGGCTGTATGCACCATCAAAAAAAGTCATTTGCACTGGCCAATGGCAAAAACTGAGTGTGAGCTTGCTGTCAGAGGCCGTGTGGGGTTTTCTGCTGTTGGCAGGCTGGGTGATGGCCAGACTTGTGAGTCCCTGTGCCACATACAGCTTCACCTTCATAGTCACACAATGTGACTTTAAGATGGGTTATTTGTAGTTTATTGAAATACATTTATTGCTGTAGATGTTTCTGTAGCACATGGGACCTGCTTTCTGACTGCACATCATGAAGTGTTTTTGTAGTAACCTCTAGAAACAGAATACAACCAAACCGAGCCAATCACCCAAATGGCAGCACTAAACAATAACCATAGCCACTTGGAGTACTTATAAAGGCTCCTGTGCTTTACAATTTCACGAGTTGTGCATTTCCACACAGAAATTTTTCATTACATGTCTTTTAATCCACCTAAAGCTATAAAACTACAAAAAAGGATACCAAATAAGATAAGGAAACCGATAAGGAAAGAAAGTCCTAATCAATACTAACTTTTTAAAGTGCTGTTTTATTGACAGATTGTTGAATCCTTCAGACTGATTAATGGTGAGAGAAACTGTCAACTTGTTTAAACAAACAAGACATGTCAGAACTCCAACAGGATTGGCATTACTTCACAGCCGACGATCACATTTTCACATTTAAACTGATAAATTAAAATCAAAATAATGCTACATATGTACATTTATCCCCAACTATCTCAGCAAATCAATTAAAATAAAAGCATTCACTTAATGCACCAGTTAATTTGCAAAAGCAACAGAAATTACATTGTTTACTACGTGCAACAGGAATTGCCAGCTGCTCCAATTTCTTGAAACAGGAATAAATATTGATTTTTGACTAAAGCTGATTTGAATGCAAGGGATACTAGCATTACAGAATTAAGCCATTTCAATCTATATATAAGCAGGATAAAGCAGCCAATTCCTGGCCTACAAGAGTGGTGAAGAACGCCCTTCGGCTTATAATAATAATAATCTTTGTATTTGATATAGTGCTTTTCACATCTTCTAGACGTCTCAAAGCGCTTCACAGAATATAATAATAATCCTTGCATTTGATATAGCGCTTTTCACGTCGGGAGGACGTCCCAAAGCGCTTCACAGAACACACTGTAAAGTGAATTGACGGTATATTTGTGGGCGAACGCGGCAGCCAATTACGCACAGCAATGTCCCACAAACAGTCGTGGTTTGAAGTGACCAATTTATTATTGATTTTTTCTCTTGAGGGATTATTATTAGGCTTGTGGAGTCAGGAAACTTGCCCAAGGTTTCACCTTGCTAGGAATCGAACCCAGGTCTCTTGCTTGCAAGGCAAGTGCTCTAACCACTGAGCTACGGGACTCCACTGATCACATCTTCTGGAATAGTATCAAACCAATGGTTTCTGAGTGGGTCCAGTGTGCTGGCCTCTTCACAATATCACTACAAGGGGCACAATATCAGCTCATCTCCTCAGCAGGACTAGCTAGAAGAGTTTATGGTCCGTCGTCGGGGGGGGGGGGGGAATCAAATCAGTCACTCAAATGAAGCCAGATAATTGAATTGCTCGTTAAAGGAAGTTCTATCGATTGCATTCGCTTATGTTGCAGATGACTAAAATATTTTATGTTCACTATATTTTCACCTGATAGATATATACAATATTGAGTCGTGTCTTCATGACTCAGATTAAACAATCAGATTATTTTGTGTAACAGTCAGAGGATGGAGTATTTTTTAATGATTTCCTAGCTAAATGTAGCACGTTAATAAAGTAATGAGCTCTAGTTGGTACAGGAAGCTCAACATAGTGACACAGATTCACGTTTCTGAGCCCAACTTTGGGAATGACAAAACAATGGGACGCACCATTCAACCAGTCACCATAATAATAATAATCCTTGCATTTGATATAGCGCTTTTCACGTCGGGAGGACGTCCCAAAGCGCTTCACAGAACACACTGTAAAATGAATTGACTGTATATTTGTGGGCGAACGCGGCAGCCAATTGCGCACAGCAATGTCCCACAAACAGTCGTGGATTGAAAATGACCAATTTATTATTGTTTTTGGTTTTGGAGGGATTATTATTAGGCTCTGTGTGGAGTAAGGAAACTTGCCCGAGGTTTCGCCCTCTGCCTGGAATTGAACTCCGGTCTCTCACTTGCAAAGCGAGTGCTCTAACCACTGAGCTACAGGACTCTAAACCTTGCGGCACATTTAACAAAAACAGACTGCATCTTTCCGCTGGGGACTCAAAGAGGTCATTGCAGCGTCAAGGATTTAAAAAAAGTTGAGGATGTGCTTACAATTGTTTACATACAATATTGCAGCACACCATCAGGAAAGGTACTAATCAGTGCATTTTACTTCACCCATAAAGAGGAAAAATGGAAATCTAGATGATTTCTTGTGATTAAATACGATTCTTCTCATTTAAAGTAATAATATTTACTAGAGGAGATATCAGCTAAAGAAGAACAGGGGTAGAGACGTGGCAGCAGGATGCTTGCTAACTCTCTAGAGAATCGGGGAAAGTTTGTTCAGTGGGCCGAGAGGATTGAGTAAAATATGATATCACACTTTTAGAATTGAATTAGTCTAGAACATATAAATCTTTCATTTTAAAGTACAACAAACATTTTATGAAAATGTTATCCCAATTCTGATTCAATTAATATTTGATAAGTAAAATAAGACAATTCAGAGGGCAATTCAGTTATAAATTAATCTGCATTTATAAATGAATGCAGATGTATAATCATGAGATCATAGTGGACTTGGGCCTCACCTTCATGAATAAATTATTGTAATCATCGCAGTCAATTGTCTTGGCTGCAGGAAGAAATCTGCTTAAGTAGATTCACTGAACTCACAATCTGTCAAGCAGCATTCTCCTGAACGGGTGCTGTATTTGTAACTCAGGCTATTTACAGCTCAAACAAGAAGCAACCCAAAGTGCACTTATCATAATTACCAATGTGATTGCAGCCAATCTGCTGCAATTTTTCCTTCTGCAAAACAGCCTGAAATGTCAAGACTAAAGGTTGGCTGTAAACACCTTTTTGGGCCAGGATTTTTGTGCGAATTTGATAATCACAAGATTTCAATAGCAAAATGTAAGTTGAAATTAGTTCAACGACTTGTTTGTGAAAAGCCACATGTACAACTCCAATGCACCTTTTGTGGTTTAGCAAGTCAAATCACAGTGAAAATTTGGGGTATCTAACTGTGCTGCAAATGTGCATGGATGCAAATTCAACTTTATTTGCATTGAAGTGGCCAGCAGAAGCAGAACCAATTAATTTGAGTTGAATAAAATTGCTATCCAATTACTAGCATGCTGATTCTGAATAAATCAATAGCTACTGACCTGGTTCCTTCCACGGATGTTTGCATATCTGAACTTCTGAATGAAGTAAAATATCAACCAGGCCAATGAAATGATCATCAGTACAATGAATGATATGGACACGAAGACTAAAGAGCCACGGCTGTACTTTGGATAAGGTGTTGGTCCGACTGTTATAGACATCAACACGGTCAGATTTTTTTCCACGTAGCTCAGAATCTCACGACCTTTTGGTTCAGAAATCATGATGACAACAATCACACCAGTTCCTTTAAGGAAAACAAAAACACACAAGTTAGGTCCAACATACAAAACCTTTTCAAATCAGTTAAAATCAAAAGAATTTATTGAACATTGATGTAGTATTTTTAACAATGAATGCATCAGTCACAAACCTTAGAACTAGGAAAGGTCATTCAGCTTCTCAAAGACAGTCCGTAAAGACCATGTATGAAATGCACTCTACACTTTCCCCAATTTATTAGATTTGCTGAGCAAGATAAATGACCACTGGCAAAACACTGACCAACACTGTACATTTCTCCTCTTCGTGTAACCATAGGTGCCAGCGCAACTCAGTTTATAGCATTCTTATGTCTGTATCAGAAGGTCGTGACTTCTGACGAGAGTGGGAGCATTGGGATTTGAGCTCATATAGACTAACTCTTCAAAGTAGCAGTGGAGGAGCGTTGCATTGTTGAAGGGACTTTGCGCAAGTCTATGGAGACAAGGTATTTCTTCATTCAGCCCCAGAAAAGATTGCGTGGCAAAGCGCAATGTAGATTTTTCAAACGAATGCAGAAATTGATTTAATTTCTCCTCAGAATTTATTTACAAGCAACCATATTGTGCACCTATTTGGGAAGAATGAAAAGAAGCTAGAGGTGGGACAGAGAAAATTGAGTTTCAAAAAAATCAGATGTGTGGTCTTTTCAGTCTGTATTTAAAAGGCACTTACCAGTGCAGTTAAGATCAATGATTTATTTAATGAGATTAGGATGGAGCAGGAAAAAGAATCCATCAATTAGGTACTAGTCTGCTGCACAATACACTCAACAAACTCCATTCCAAATTCACCAGTACACACAGTTAAATACTGAAATTGTGAGCAACAAAGAGATTGAAAATTATTAAGCAGCCATTTCTGTGAACTCTGCTACTTTTGAGAAAATTAATACGTATTTCAAATACCTACCAGTTATTGTTACAAATATTATAAATGTATTTCAGTTCTTCATGACATGGTAAACAAACTGGGGCGAGGGGAGTTTTGAGTAAAAAAAATGAAAAACAGAAAAGCTTGCTCCTTTTCTTCAAAAATAAATAATTGAGCCAAGTTTATCTCAGGAAAAGAAACTGCAGAGATTAATTGAAAAGGAGATTCAAGTATATTATGGAGGCAAACAGAAAAAATTCCAGCAATCATTAAATTTACTATAATTAAAGGCAGTCTCATGGACTATCCACAATACTAAGTAAAGTGGGACTGATGAATGAAAGTATATGTGGGAAATCAGGGAGCACACAGTATCAATTGCAGCACATTTTGCATGTCCATGGAAGGAAATTCAAGATTAATTGAAGATTAGAAACTATTTGAACATTCTTTGCTGATCTGTGGAATGTAGCTCTAAGGAATAGATTTTGGGAGACATTCAAAACATCTAATTTTCCTAGTCATCCCGCTGGCAATGAATGTTATATACAAATATCCAACATTCAAAGATTGCATTCTGACTGCCAGTATGCCTGGAGTACGAAGGAGTTCAGTATACAAGGAAATAAATTTATATATTCATTGTGGATATTATGCTTTGTCAAATATTTTACTTATCAAGTAAGTTACATCAGTTACAACATAAATCCAGTCGATGTACAGTCACTCGATTCTCTGCAAACTGCTTGCTGCTGTCAAACTGCAATGCACATCCTAAATATGGTGGCATAATCATATTTATCTCCAAGCGACAAGATGTCACCAGACATAATTCAGTTTGAAGGATGACTCTACAAAGCTCTCTTCCTTAACACAATTAAAATGCTTCCTGACATGATTTCCAGAGGAACCCATTTTTAAATGTTACAAAATAAGACATTAAATAAATGACTCCTCATTGGGCCACTGTACCTCAATACAGCATCTGCAACACACAGATTTAGACTACACAACTATTTTCAGGGGCCAGACCTGAGATTTCTGACATCTGTCTACACATGAAATAAAACAGGCACGTAGCTTGCAGCAACTGTATCCCCGGCATTGAATACGTTATCCTCAGCATCACCCTAATGCCAATATCTGGATGAACTGCAGTGTGTTTTTCGATATATGACTTATGTTGTCCGATTTAAAAGATTGAATACATTTCGTAGAATTTTATAGTCACTGTCTGGACACAACCCATAACCAGCTTAGTTTCAATAAAGAGAAACACAAAACAAGCAGAATTACCAAAACCCACACATTGTATTAGAAAAGGATATTTAATCTTTCGAGAGATTACACTACTGAGAACACAACAATAAAGCAAGCCGAGAATTTTCCAGCTCAGAACGCAATGTGCTTTTTCTCTTAATTTTTTTAAGAACAATGTTAAAATCTAGAAATGGTAGTGTTTTAGCTCAATTTAACAAACCTCATTGCTCGCATTATTCAGACCACAAGTTAGTAAATGGCTCTTTACATCAGTTGCAACAGAAATCAAAACGATGGACAGTCACTCAGTTCTTTGCAAACTGCTTGCTGCTATCAAACTGCAATGCAAATCCTAAATATCATAATCCATATGATTATGCCACCAAGAGGCATTGAAGAGCTAATGCTGGAGTTAATTCTGGGGTGTAGAGAAAGAAAATCTGCATTTTAAGAGTGTGAAAATAATAACTCCATATAACACATCAGATAGATGAGCATTAGCAATCTTATAAGGTTAAGTGCACTGGTCACTTTACAATGGGATGAATCGCAACCTTCTGTGCAATAAACATTCTAGGACTCCTTTTACACTTTGGCTTGGAAAGAAACTCCTTTCAAATAGTATTTTTTTGATAGAATTCGTTTTTGATCTGCTTACGATCATCTCTCCCTCCCTCATTGTCAGACTCCACCACTGTGAAGTGCTCTGGGATGCTACCCCACATGAAGGGCACTATATAAATGCAAGTTGTTGTACAGATACAGTACTCTATCAGTTGCATGCCACCCCCTTGAACTCAATGCACATTATCTTTATGAAAACAATTTGGAAGGTAAATGGTAAACACATCAACATACCCAAAGGACCAGTTACAATTATATTAGATGCTGCAGATTTCCCTTCAGTACTTATGGATATTTGGACTTCAGCCAGGCAGATAAAAGGATTATACCAAATCAATAAATTTGAATTTTTTAAAAAGAATTCATCTTCAAATAATCATTAAAAAATTAGATACATATATTTACAACATGAACAGTCTATCCAACAGAACATAAATATTAGGCAAATGAAAGACGTATTCTATTCCCTTAGAGCTTACAACTACTTTCAAACTAAAGAATATACAAATGAACAACCATCAAATAGGAATAGATCAAAATATACAAAACCATCAGTTACAAGACTGACAAATTTGTTTGGTGGGAGGATATCTGCCTACTCCAAAACAAAGACACACAACACTAATAACCTGTACAATAAATAATTCTTACTTGAGATTAACATCTGTAATATCAAAATGTCTCAGTGTTTCACACTACTGCATCAATATTGACATAAAATAACTGAAAAAACTCTTCCTGTTTGTTGGTGAAAATGTAGTGAAACTGGATCAATTATTTCAGCATACTATGGTCCAAATTTCAAAACATACCGAAATATAGATCAATAATTTGTTTAAAATATCCTCACAACCCTCTTATGATTGGAGTTTACTGAATTTAATAAACACTGAATTTGTATCCAAGTACTTGACAGAAATGTGAATAAAAACATTAAATATTTTAACAATTAAAAAATAAAATAACTCTCCTTTCCGGCCAACTGTGCAATACAGTCTAGCAGTTTTAATTTAAAAGATTTAGTTGATTTTACTAAATATTTGTTAACTTGGTCATTGGAATCCAAAGTTAAGCTTCTTTTCCACAAAAAAAGCTTAGTAAGAATACATACGTCAAAAATAGAACTTAAAAGGATAGATTCATATTTCAATCACATTCTTTTGGGTGGATAGAATGCTGAACTGCAATGCGAGAAGTTTCTAGCATTAAGAGCAAAGGGGGAAAATGAAGAGACATTTGGTTTACTTTAAGCTCCGACTCTTGTACTACTTTAGCACACTTGTAAAGTAAATATATAAAAGTCACAAATAGATCAAATAGGGAAGTTGGAAGAAACTTCTTCACACAGAGAGTAGTGGGAATGCGGAACATGCTATCTACCAAAAAGAGCTGTTGGGGCTAATAGCATAGATGCATTTAAGGGGAAGCTGGAGAGCTACATGAGGGAGAAAGGAATAGAAGGTTATGCTTGAAAGCTTAATTGAGGAAGGGCAGGAGGAGGCTCATGTGGAGCATAAACACCGGCATTGACCAGTTAGGCCGAATGGCCTGTTTCTGTGCTGTATATTCTAATATATTCTAAATGTTGTCAAGAGCGAAGTGCAGCACAGCTTTGGAGGGTACTGTTATAGTATGTTTCAAGTGCAGAGTTGCTGATAGAATCAAGTTGCATTTCCTCTGAACAGAAATGAGAAAGATCTTCACATACACTGCAAAAGAAAAAATGTGTGCGACTTTTTGTGGAGACTACCCAAAATGAGTAAAATTAGGGTACAACAGCTGAAGAATCTTTGGGCAGTCAAAATTGAAACAGTAAACCCTGTCAGCTCTGAAGGAAACCAATCCCTAGTACTTACACAATGCAAATAGAACAGCAAACATTACACATGTTTGGTAAAAGGTTAAAACACAATATGGGGGCGTGAGTCGAATGATTTTTTTAAAACATCTCTCATTTAATACATACACACAACTTTAGGAACAGGAATGTTTGAACCATGGAGCCTACATTTAAGCCATTATGCTTCATTACTGTGTCAATACGCTTCTTGTGTGGTATTAACCAAGTGAACTCACTAATTCTTAAAAACTTATTTAAAAATAAAAATGGGCTGATATATTACAGCAGAGACCTTTGATGTCCCAAGATGTTTAACAATGTCGGCAAATTATTTTAAGAGTTTGTGCTCTTAGCCTTCTACACATGTGACTGAATACACTTACGAAGAGCAGGGAGATTTTCCAGGTGTTCCGGTCAATATTCTTCCCTCATAAAAAATTTGCCAAAATAGATTAATTGCTCTTATTGAAACCGTTTGTGCAGATCAGCTGTCATATTACCTACACTTTAACAGCTCATCATTATGTTAAGCACTGAGACATTTTGACAATAATCTATCTCAAAGGGAAGCATCATATAATATTTTTCATAATATCACTAAGTTGCCGTATTGGCAGTCATCTCACTGGTCTTCCAAACAGCACAACGTCCACAGAAATAGAAGCCTCTCTTTGCAGCAGCATTTTTAATAGCACCTTCCTACCTCTGCGACATCCTAAACCCCTACCAACCTGCCCACTCCCTCTGCTTCACACCCCCAGGCTCACCATTGGCAGGTGGGCCTTCAGCCACTCTGCCCCAACCTCTGGAACTCCATCCTGCAATCCCTCCGCCTCGCACCCTCCCTCGCCTCCTTCAAGACCAGTCTCAAGAGCCTCCTCATCAACCTGCCTTCGATCACCCTCCTTCCCCCACTGCCCTCCATCTCTCTGATCCCAACCCTCAGCTCAGGTCGGGAACACCGATTGTCCAGCGCCTTGCGACGTCCTCCCGACGTGAAAGGCGTTATACAAATGTAATTCTGTTGTCGTTATTATTATTATGTCAGAATACCTCAAAGTGCTTTACAAGTAATTACTGCCACACAGGGTGACCGTTTTTAAAGGCAAATGCCAAACGTGCACACAGCAAAGGTCCAGGTCATGAGGGGAATGTCTGATTAAACGAATACCCGGAGAAACTGTTTGAGTCACAGGCACTTTCGCATCGATTTGAACCGACAGACAGATGTAACACCTCACCCGGAGTGTGACAATACCACCCACTTCTACCCTCCCTCCCGGGTCCTGCAATGAAATGTCAGCCTCGACTGTGAGCTCAAAGTCCCCGATACCCGGGGCTTAAACCCCACAGACATTTCCGCTGAGAAACGGGGACAAAATAAGCTTCTAGTGGCGACATTCTGGTTAAGGGCGATGCCTCCTTGTCCACGACGGGGGAGGTCACCTTAGAGCAGTACCGGTTTACACATCGTTACAAGGAGGGGGGAGACCCCAGACTGGGTGACCCTGGACCCCTGAGAAAGGAGGGGGAGCCGCAGACCCCCCCCCCCCCAGAGCCCTGATGAAGGGGAGAGGTCGCCGGGTACCTGGGTGGCCCATGGAGACGGTCTCCTCGGTGGACACGTTGTTGTAAATGACCACGGCCGAGGCGTTGAAAGCCGCCGCTCGCATGATCTTCTCCTTGAAGGTGCAGTTGCCCCGGTGCAGGAGGGCGATCCAGTGCCTGGTGTTCGGGGGCACGGCGAAGCGGGTGTGCGGGTCGCAGCCCTGCCTCCGGTAGGCGGCGCCGGCGGCGGGCGCGGCGACCGGCGCCAACACGGCGCCCTTCACCTGCTGCTTGGGCGAGTGCAGGCCGTAGCGGCCGCACTCGCTGCTGGAGATGAGCGGCTTCAGGAGGCCGCTCGCCGGCTCCACGTAGGACACGTTGACCACCGCGGTCACGTACTCCTCGTGCGTGGGGTGGTGGTCGGTCGAGGCGGCCCCGAGCCGGGCCAGGCCGCTCAGGAGCAGCAGCGGCAACAGCAGCGGAAAAGGCCCGCGGGCCGCCACCGCCGCCGCCGCCATCGTCACGGCGCCCAACCTCGGGGGCGCGAGACTAACCGTCAGCGCGAGACAGACAGACGGACGGACGGACAGACAGAGAGCGCGAGGCAAAAGGTGACTAAAACCGGAGGCCTTCAGTGTCTCAGCCTCAGCCGCCGCCTCACAGCCATCGCCCCTCGCGGCCCCACCCTCCGGGGGAAACCGATTTTAATCGGTTCACAAAATCCCCACAAACCATCCGCTCCATCTGACAGACAGCGCTGCGCCCCCGCGCATGCGCCGTCCGGCTCAGCCCTGCGCGCTTGCCCGCCGCGCGCCTGAGGGTCCTCACAGGTTTAAGCGGTTATTGAAAAAAACACGGCCGCGGCAACGTCCCGACCGACCGCTGTCTGTTGTTTATCGATTATCGTTTATTGATTATTGCTGTCGCGGAATAAGAGGATCCCTCGGGGGGGGCTGTTGATACGTTACGTGTAAGACCGGTTTCGCTGCGCGTGCGCAGTCCTCCCCTCGGCACTGTTGGCAGTGCGCGTGCGCACTCCTCCCCTCGGCACTGTTGGCAGTGCGCGTGCGCACTCCTCCCCGTGGCACTGTTGGCAGTGCGCGTGCGCAGGGCGGGTGCGGGACCCACGTGGAGCCGCTGATCGCACGTGTGGGACCCACCGCCCAACACAGCACTGCTGCAGCCGCGCACTGGGCTCCAGTGTGACCTTTCAGTCCCGTTACCTGTGGCCCCGAGTGGGGCGATGGTGACACATGATCTGACATTTCCCGAAGGCAAATGCCAGCATTTCTCTGGGATCAGTCAGGAAGTTTCACCTGACCTCTTAGGTTCCAAGTAACTGGCAAATGTCCGTTGCCATTCTTGCTTTTGCTAAGATCTCCACCCATCCATCAATGTAGGCCAGGAACTGGATGGCTCTGTGGTCACCTATTTCCTTACATTGCATTCATTGCCTCTGATTGACCCGCAAGACGGAAACAACCCGGATTTAGTTACCTTCTCTCATAACACCACCCGCTACTCAAGAATTTGCACATCTCCGGTGGATCATAAACTGGAAGTTGAGACATCTCAGCAGATGCTCTCCTGCCCCCCCCCCCCCTCCCCCCACTTAGATCCTATGTTGGAGAGGATGGTGATGTGTCACACATCGGGTGTCCCTTACAACACAATGCCACACAGAAGCAGCAGAACCACAGGATTCTCTGTTCTTTAAGCAATCAGAAGCAAGGTTCAACTTCACCAGTAATAGTGTACACCTGTTAAGCCCTGGGACTACAGGAAAATTACCCAGTTGCACGGAACCAAACCCCAGCTTGAGTCACCACCTTCAGTCGAGAGAACAGAATTGGGAAAAATGAAGAAAAATCAGCTATGGTAATAATAGTAAAGATTTTGCAGGCCATCCAGTAATACATATGCACACACCAAAAACTATGTCTATATATATTTATACATATGCAGTATATATTTTCTCTCGTTATCATTGTCATGTAGTGTCTCAAACAGACCATCCAATGTACTCAGGGCGCCCTCTAGTGGCCAATGCTCTTAATGTACCCAAGCCTCCCATGTGTAAGTGTCTGCGTGGGTGGGGATCAGTGTATGTCCACCATTGGCCAAAGAATACAGCTGCCACCAACACCCACTGCCTGACCTCACACGTGAATAATGGCCACTTGGACGAGGGACCAGTGTGTGCCAGTGGAAGGGAAAATGAAGGGAGAAAGCAAAACAACAGTGTGCAATTTTGATCATTTTGAAACCTCAGAAACTGGAATGAACAGATTCGGACAGTAATAAAATCAGGTTATTTCTTTTTATCATTTCCATAGTCACAAAGCAATTCATTTCAGTATGTTATACGTGTTCTATAAAACCCTTCACGCTCAGTCGCACACAATATGCTATGTACAATATACATCATGTGGGAGCTTTATGCTGCTCTAAATGTCAAAGTAGATAAAATCTGCTGGTGTAACAGGAATATTTTTCTTAGATAATTACCGTTTAAATGCCCCATCCCCACAGTAAACATCAGCCATCAACCCCCTATTATTACTGTAACTGTAAACAATACTTGCAGAGAGCGAGAGGTGGAAATCTACGTTTTAGATGTCACACCACAAAGCCACAAACAGATATCATAGTGAAGCAGCACCGAGGTCCATGTTAAAGATGGGAATTATCTGGATGTACACAGGGCTGCTCTCAGCACAGAATCTCACAGCAGTGAGAATGTGAACGCACTAACACAGAGGCCATGCCAGCAGGAAAGGGCAATGGATGGTTATTTGGAAAATAAGGGTATTCAGAATGACACCCTGTCAGTCATGGATTTGCTCTCTGGCCTGCAGTCAGTGTTTCCTCAGCCGAGCCTTGGCCTGAGAGCAAAATATTGTTTTTTAGTGAATTTGATGATGATTCTTTGATTCCAGTTGCAATCAACGTGGTGGCTTTGTGAGTTTTGAACCCTGATATTGATTAAGGATATTGCAGGAGTAATCAACGATGAGAGTGGCTCCTCCCTCTCTGCCAATGACATTCCCTCTCACAACATGAATCACATCCAAATAATTCCCATGTTTAAAAGTCTTGGTGTGCTGGGCCAACATCAGACTATTTCTAGTTGTATTTCCAGTTTCGAGGCCAAGGTAAGAGATACCTGTATGTCCAATATCATTTCAGGAACTGATAGTATTTCACAAGCAAATTCAGTATCACAACACCATGTGGTTTAAGAATGAAAACGTCATATTACACTTTATAAGAACTGAGGAAAACCAGCTTCCAAATTAACACATCAATGAAAGAATGTTTCCAAAAATCCTGCATGACCAGAAGTTTAAGGACAATGATCTTAAGCTTAAGACCATGAGAAAATTTGATCCTCTGGATTTTTTAATAACAGGTGATTATTTAAGCAAAGGAGAGTTTGCTGGGCTCCCAAAGGTGATAGCTCACCACCCTGGCTCCCAAACCAACAATATTTGAAACACAAACAAATTCTCTAGAAGAAAACAAAAATCTTCTACATCTTCACAGTAAAGCACAAGCGAGAGTCCTCTCTGAGACATTAAATGTAATAAAATTCCTTTTCATCTTAAAACAAAACCTGGTTGCATGAAATGTACAGAGCAATCTTCCATCCAAACTCTAAAACTCTGAAATAAAATTCAATTTTACCAATTGCTTTCAATCTACAATTCAGAATAAACTATTTTTTATAATAAAATTTATTTTTTATTAAAAAAAAGAAGCCTGAAACCTTGCCAAGTTATATCGGAGCAAAGTTAGGAAAACACTGCGATGCGGTCAGACGTAGTTAAGTGCTGGAGACGGTAAGGATCAGAGCTGGGAACGGTTTCCTATTGTATTTGGCAGCAAAGGAATGAGACTAGGAGGTTTATACAAACAATTGCTATACCGGATATTGGGAGGAGTAATAATTATTGGTTTGATTGGCACAGGAACATAGGAATTGCTAGATGAAAAAAGACCAAGGTCCATCTAGTCTGCCTTCTACCATCCTGGTAGTCGCATGCTACAATAATGGAGATGTTGATAGCAATTACTTCTGTATGGATTAGACTGCAGCACAGTGAGAAGCTTTGGGAACATTAGATCCAAGGTTGCCTGGTTCTTCCAAGTCATACTACACTTCCTATATGTCATGTCACAGAGTCCTGTTTAGGGAGGAACAGAACTAGTGGTGTCATGGAGCCAGAGCTCAGTAACATTCAATGGATTTCATGTAAAAACAACATGAACAATGTTAAATTCAAAACAGTTTCAGATAGAATGCTGCAAGACTAGAGGAAGGGGTGGGGGAGGAGGAGATAAATTAAAGTTTGGGGGAAATTAAGTATTTAATCTTTCCCATATGAGAGTGAACCATACATGGGATAAATGTTAATTCAACCGGCAGAGAGGATTCCTTTCCTGAAGCAGCTCAATATTCTTGTGAACGTTGCATAAAATGCACATTCAACTGGGGAATGCAGGAGAGCAAAGAGAGGGCGGGAGAGAGGACATGGAATGTGGGTTCAATTCAAAGGTAGTGGACAGATGGAGAGCGAGGCTGGGCCAAAGAACACAGGATTAGTGTTAGGGTTAACATCATTTTCTGGGTGGAATGAGAAGCAGAGCTCTGGGTAATATCACTGAGCGAAGGAGAGCCCTAACTCCAGGTCAGGGTTGACCAGAGCATCAGGAAATTGTGAAAATGCTTCATTCTTTCAACAACATGGCAATGTTTCAGTTATTAATCTCTTCACCTTCAAAAGGTTTGTTCAAAATTAAAAGAAACTTTTCTTCACAACAACTACTACAACAACAACTTCACAATAACAAAATCACGGGCAGGCAAATATCGGTGTCTTAATATCCCTCGTTTTGATTTTTAAAATAAAAAGTTAAAAATCTCCTGTGCCAGGCACCTGATATCTGCATCACCAACAACATAGAAAAAACAAAACGGCCTGAAATCACAGGACCCAGCTAGGTATTGCTGTGAGTATACTAGCTTTATTACTTTTCTGTAAAACTTCTACTAAAAGGGTAAATAGTTTAACTTCTTGGTGTGCCAGCGGGAGGCCGTCCCGCCAGAGAGAAACCGTGAGCGGCAGGCGATGTCCTCCAGAGCTGGTGTGATGGGGATGTTCCACACACGTGTGTGTGTGTGTGTGTGTGTTGTGTGTGTGTGCGAGGCGATCACTCAGGCAGAGTCCAGACACACACGCTCCATCTCTGGCTCCCCGCTGCTGTGTACATGCTGCCCACGCTCGTTGCTCTTACTCGTGTGGCCCACATTGTCCGGGCTCCTGGTCTGCCGGCCCCAGCCCGGCTCTCCACAAAGCTCACAACTCAAGTCCGTGCTTTTCTGACTGCTTTTCCTGTTGTTACGGCAACGAGAGCAAACAATTAAAACCTGCAGCATATTTGGCAACAAGACCCACTCTCCCCTCCCATCCCCCCCATTTGCCCATACACCCTCCCCACCCACACACATAACCTCCCCATCTTTCCCAAACCCCATGTGCGAGAGGTGGGGCACGTAGCGGAAAGTATTCTGGCTGCCGGGAATGACACTCCCCTCTTCACTGGGGAACAAAAGGCTTTGACACCTCCCACAGCACAGGGAGATGGTCTCCACTCCTCACCTGAACACTGGCTCGTTCCTGTGTTTGCTCTCAATCCTCTCCAGCTCCTCGGAGGGCAGGATCATTCCACTGTCCGTCTGATTGTCCTAAAAACAATGTGTTTAAAAACAACCTCCACTGGCTTCCCATCACACAGAGGATACAGTTCAAGATTCTGGTCCTCACCTTCAAAGCCCTCCATGGGCTTGCTCCCCCCTAACTCTGCGACCTTCTAACCCACTACTAGCCTGACTGCTCCCTCCGCTCAGCGGGCTCCAGACTGCTTCACGTCCCCCACCTCGCCCACCATTGGTGGGTGAGCCTTCAGCCACTCTGCCCCCACCCTGTGGAACTCCATCCCACAGTAACTCTGCCTTGCCCACTCCCTTGCCACCTTCAAAAGCAGTCTCAAGATCTTCCTCTTTGACCATGCCTTTGAGTACCTTCCTTACTCTGCTGCCCATGACCTCTCCCCCTCACTAGGCTCCGCGACTCTATCACCCCCATCATTGCCCAACTCCACTGGCTTCGCATCACACAGAGGATACAGTTCAAGATCCTGGTCCTCACCTTCAAAGCCCTCCACGGTTTTGTTCCCCCCTACCTTTCCGACCTCCTAACCCCCTACCACCCTATTCGCTCCCTCCGCTCAGCAGGCGCCGGCCTGCTTCATGTCCCCGCCTTGTTCGCCCCACCATCGTTAGGCGGTCCTTCTGCCACTCTGCCCCCACCCTCTGGAACTCCATCCCACAATCCCTCCATATCACCCCCTCCCTCACCACCTTCAAGACCCAACTCAAGATCCTCCTCTTCTACCGTGCTTTCAATTTCTCTGCTTCCCCCCCCCGCCCCCCACTCTCCCCCATCCCGACCCTCAGTTCGGGTCTGTAATTCTGTCTGTCCAGCGCTTTGGGACGTCCTCGTGAAAGGCGCTATACACATGTAATTTTGTTGTTGTGGTTTAGAAAATTATTTCCAAGTAGAGCGCTTCCATAACATATTCCACCAACACCCCCCCATCTCTCCCACTTCTAATCACCATTCACACATAGCGAAGAAGCGGTTACTGCAGGGGAGGAGTTACTGAGGGGCAGGGGTAACTAATGGAGACTGATTTACTCACATTTAGTACTGCGCTTTTCTGCTCCAAAGGAACTTCTTCAAATGTTTTAACCCTTGAGGGACACACAACAGGATTCCCTCCAGCTGGGTAGCCATGGAGCAAGAGACAGTTATAGTATCTGGAAAGCACACACAACTGGTTAAAGTGAGTGCGCCAATCTTCATTTGGCATCACTGACAACACACTGAAATTACATGACATTAGTTAGGGTATGGGAGGATGTAAGCTTTGCTCACATAGACAGGCATCTCGTACCTTCCTCCGATGCTGTCACAGCGTAATCTTGAATCAAAATCGTCACCGTCTGACTGAGGAGGAGCCAAGCCCGGCTGAGAAAAGCCAAAATCCTCCTCAGAACATTGCAATATATTCAGCGGAATGTAGTCTTTCCCATCCTGCAAGACAGCGGCCATCATCAGCAGGAAGTCAACCCAGGATATGAGTGGGGGAGGGGGGATTGGGGAAGGGGAAAGGGGGTTCTGTGGGGGGTGAGAGCTTTAATAAAACATCAAAATCTCTCAAGTTTTCACAGGTAATTCAGAATTGTTGGGTTAAATGGATTTTTCTCTTTTTTTCCCCCAGGAACTGTTCCTGATCACCCAAATATGGCCATGGCTTGTCCCATCGTGTGGTCCAATCAATGAATGCACGGCTATTGGATTGCGGGGGGAACAGCTTAGGTGAGACTCCTTGTCTACACTGGGAGCTCTTACCTGTTGGACGTTTGCTTGTAACAAGTCCCCGAGAAGCTCCACCAGGTCAGAGAAGGTTGGCCGGTCACGGGGCTCGCCCTGCCAGCAGCCCAGCATAATCCGGTAGCTGTCAACAATCAACCAAACAAACTTGGTTAAACAAAAGCCAAACAATCAGGACAATAGTAATCTATGAGTGGACTCTCACTCGTGTATGTATCGTTCACTTGGGCTACCAGGTTGCACTCACATTTCCATTGTAGCATACTCAGGAGCTCTCATCCTGGTGCCCTCTTTCAGCCTCTGACAGAAATCTTCATTGATCTGAACTCCAGGGTATGGAGAGCCACCTGCAAGAGCCAGAGGTAGAATATTAGGTACGCATATACACCCATCAGACAGAGATAGAACTAGACAAAGAGAGAGACAAGAGAGCGAGAGGCAGAGCGAGAGAACAGGAGGACAGAGGGAGAGGCAGAGATGAGAGATGGTCATCACCTAAAGAAAAGATCTCCCACAGGAGGACACCATAAGACCACACGTCGCTCTGAGTCGTGTAAACTTTGTCAAAGATGCTCTCTGGTGCCATCCACTTCAACGGCAGCCTGGCCTGCAGGGGACCAGACACAGGGATCACTCAATCCATTCCGACAGCCTCCCCAGCCACTCCCCCCACTTTCTAACACCTCTCCCAGCACCTCCACACCCCTTTCCCCCATACCCCAGCCCCTCGCCCCACACCCCAGCCCCTCCCCCCACACCCCAGCCCCTCCCCCCACACCCCAGCCCCACTATTCCCCAGTTCATCCCTGCCGCTGAGCCCCTCTCCCCAGCCCCTGTCCCAGGCCTCCCCTCCCCCAAACACCCCCACACTTTCAGCTCCGCCCACGAAGTCACCAGACACTCACATTGCCTTTCCGCACGTAGTCCGGGTCCTTGTAGATGTCTCGGGCCAAGCCAAAGTCACAGATTTTCACCACATTGTTTTCAGAGAGGAGGATGTTGCGAGCAGCGAGATCTCTGTGAATACACTGGGGAGAGATTCCCAACATTAAACCTGCCTTTCTGTGTCCAGAGGGAACAGGAAGGGAATAGGAAAAGGAGGGAATGGGAAGGTGGGAGAAAGTCTCACCTTTCTGGAGGCCAGGAATTCCATGCCACGAGCCACCTGAAAGCTGTAGCAGATGAGATCTTCCATCGTCAGTGGGCGGTGCCAGAGGTCATCAACTACCAAGAGAAACTCAACATGTCAGCCCCTTCCTCTGCTTATCACCCCCTCATCCCGCACGCTCTCCCTTTGCCCACTCCCCACCCCCCACCCGCTAACCCAGTGTAGGCTGATCCCCACCTTCAGGCATCTCTTGGGAGTTGCTGAGGATCTTCTCCATGGCGGTGCGAATAGAGAAGGAGGTCTCTCCACCGCTGCCCTGACACCTCTTGTCCATTCCTTTCACCGCCTCGACCATAGAGATGACCTGGCTTCTCATCCTAGGAGCCCTGTCCTGCAGCACAACAACTGCGTGAGATTTAACCATCCAGCCTTCGGGGAGCTCCCTACACCATCCAGCCCTCAGAGAGCTCCCCACACCATGCAGCCCTGGGGATCTCCCTACAATCTCCTTACAACCTGCCAGGGCAGGTTAAATTTTTAACAATATCTTTGAACTCCTGCTGTGTGAGACAGGAATAAGCACTGACAATATTGTATAAACGCTGCTGAAATACTTCCCACCCCAAGCCTGATGCCATTACCCTGTAGGGGATGAAGTCCTCTCTTTTATTCCTCAGATAGTTGGACAGATTTCCATATTTGCAGAACTCAACGATCACCATGAGAGGGCCTGGAACACAACACAAGAGCAGTGATACATGTGGACCATTATGAGAGAGATCAACAACAACTTGTATTTATATTGCGGCCTTGACACAGGCAGCATTTCAGAGCACTTGAGTTTGAGCTGTGTCTTAATTGAGTCTGAGAGTCCTGGCCTCATCTCTTCCTGCCATCACCAGAGACACAAAACCTCTCAAGTCTCATGGTAAAACTGCCATAAAGTTGGCTGGATATGTTCTGAAAAGGCCACAGTGCCATTACCTTTGGCTTTGGTGCAGGCTCCCAGCAGGTTGACCACATTCAGGTGGTTTCCAATGTGAATGAGAATCTTCAGCTCTGACATCAACGCCTTGTGTTCGCTCCCCGTCGCTCCATCTGACAACCAGAAAAGCAAACTCTATCTCAACTCAAACAGAGCCTCACTCGACTCAAACACAGCCTCGCTCATTCTCACCTCTGGGTTAGGTGACAGATTACAGTCTCCAGCTGAGGAATTGGTAACAAGGGAATCAGATCAGATTGGGATTGGAGGAGTTTATGGGGATTTTCCTCTTTCAACAATTTGCATTTAAACAGCGCCCTTCATGCGGGATAGCATCTCGGAGCGCTTAACAGTGGCAGAGCTTGACGCTGAGCCAGGAAGCGGGGAAGGTGACTGTAATTATAGTTGAAGAAAAAGGTCTTCAGTTGTTATCTGAAGACAGGGAAAGAGGAGACAAGGTAGAGGGGTTGGGGAAGAGAGTTCCATAGTTTTGGGGCGCAGTGGCTGAAAGTAGGGACGCCGATGGTGGAGCGGAGGTTGTGGGGATATATTACTTTAAGGCTCGAACTGACAGAGACCCCGTTCCCTCTTACTCACCTTTTAACATTTTCACTGCGACAGTCTTACAGCTGCTGCTTTTATCTATCCCAAAAGCAGAGGCTTCAACCACCTTCCCGAATGCTCCGTGTCCCAATGTCTTACCTGAAAACATACAATAGCAAAGAGATCAGTAATGTACCTCACACACAAAGCCAACGGCATCTCACACACAAAATCAGGTGAGAGTGTAAGAAACTGAAGGCCTCACCCAGCCGCAGACGATCCCTTGGGAATTCCCATTTGCTAGAATCATATGGCAGGTATTCGCATTGTTCATCCAATGGGATGGCGTCGGGATCCATGATTATAGACAGGTAGCCAGTCTTTATATCTGCTGGGTGAGTCTGAAAAATACTGACCAGTTAATAATGAGCCCCCAGGTCACAGCAACCACTCCCTCTCAGGTAACAACTGCCTCTCCCCCTCGGGTAACAACAGCCCACCACCCAAAATCGGTGTTTCATCGCTAATGAAATGAAGCCATGTAACCACTTACCCCCTGGAACCTTACCCGCTTGACGTTACAGAAGATGAGGATGAGGAGGATCCAGAAGAAGACAGCGATGACTCCTGTGCCGACCAATATCACCACTTCCACGTTCGTCCTATCATCAGTTCCTGGGGAGAGCGGCAACACCAAAATCATCAACTAAAATCATCAACCCCAACCCCATCAACACCAACCCCTGCCCCATCAACACCAACCCCATCAACACCAACCCCAGGCCCATCAACACCAACCCAGCTCCATCAACCCCAACCCCAGCTCCATCAACCCCAACCCCAGCTCCATCAACACCAAGCCCATCAACCCCAACCACCCCACCAACACCAACCCCACCAACACCAACCCCACCAACACCAATCCCACCAACACCACCAACCATCAACACCAACTCCAACATCATAAACACCAACACCACCAACACTATTAACACCAACATCATCAGCACCAACATCATCAACACTAAAATCATCAACACCAAAAGCATCAACACCAAAAGCATCAACACCAAAAGCATCAACACCAACACCATCAACACCAACACCATCAACACCAACAGAATCAACACCATGAACACCGACACCATCAACACCATCACAAATTCCATCAGCAACAGCACCCAGAACATTGGATCATGGCAAATCGTTACACCCCATCTTTCCCCTTTAACACTTAAATCCTCACTTTTACTTCTCAAATATCCATCCACCTCCCAGTTGTATAGGGTTGTGGGTCAGTACACATTCACCCACCCTGTGTTTGGAACAATGCAGTGCACATGTTTGTGTGTGTGTCAGGCAGCGATTGACTGACCTTCCACTGCGACACTGGCGGCCGAGGTGACACAGCCACGGGAATTACAGGCCGAGCAGCGGTACAGCCCACTGTCCTCCTCGCGCACTCGCTGGATGGTCAGTGTCCGATTTCGCTCCGACAGGATGATCCCTGGGTTTGGGAGAAATACACAAGGTCTTGTTACAGAAAATGTAACCCATTCTACAGAATGAGGGGAGGGGGCTGAAACCCTTGATGTACCACAGTTTTTTTGGGCTGTACATTCCAGAACGGGGTGGTGACGGCTGAGACTATGTCATGTATCAGTGCTTGGGGTGTGGGAGGGGCGTGGGGGCGGAGGCTACATACCAGAGTCTGTGTGCAGAGGTTTCTCATCCTTGGACCAAGTGAGGTGGGGAAGGGGTCGGCCGGTCACGTCACACTGCAGTTGCAGGGAGTTGCTCACATTCACAGTCACATCGCTCAGGTTTGTCAGCAGCCACGGACTCTCCTGGGCTAAGGACCGTCAGATACAGAGTGTCTCACACACACACACACACACACACACACACACACACAGAGTGTCTCACACACACAAACACAGATCGTCACACACTCTTCCCTCACTCTTGCACTTCACTCGCCCTCCCCTCACTCTCCCCCTGCCCTTGTTCTCCCCCTCTCCTCGCCCTCCCCGTGCCCTCGTTCTCCCCCTGCCCTCGCTCTCCCCCTGCCCTCGCTCACCTCGTACAGAGATGTACTTCCTGTGGCAGTGCTTGTGGCCGCTTTTCCTGTCCTGCACCTCACACACATAGTCACCCTCATCGTCCAGGGTGACGCTGGCGATGCTCAGCACCAGAGCCACGCCTTTCATCTGGGCATCGGCCAAAGTCTCTCCGGGCAACTCCATGGCGTATTGATGCATGTTCTCACACTCCAGCACCAGGGGTCGCCGAGCTCGCCCTCCAGTGCGCTCGGCAGCAGCCGGTACCAGCGAGGCTTCTCGTATGTGTAATTATCAGCGTTGCAGCGGAGGTGAACAGTCTCTCCCTCCACTGGAATCTCGGAAGGCTGGATCTCAATCCCAAATCCCTCCGGAATACCTGGCAGCATTAAACCACTTTATATTCAATTTACATTTCAGGATTAATTTAATAAAAGATTACAGGGAATGGGGTTAGAGTAGAGAGCTCCAGCGGGGGAGCGAGCCCCAGCACAGACACGATGGGGAGAGAGAGAGAGAGAGAGAGCAGGGAATGGGTTAGAGTAGAGAGCTCCAGCGGGGGAGCGAGCCCCAGCACAGACACGATGGGGAGAGAGAGAGAGAGAGCAGGGAATGGGGTTAGAGTAGAGAGCTCCAGCGGGGGAGCGAGCCCCAGCACAGACACGATGGGGAGAGAGAAGGGAATGGGGTTGGAAGTGAGAAACCTACTGATTTAAATGAAACAGTAAAGTAATATAGTAAATATTAGCTATTAAACCAGCAACCAGTAACAATGGGGGGAAACGGGAAAGAAGTTAACCGAGTGTCGCCTGGGCTTGGAACGTGTGACTGACCGCGCAGCTCGGTGCAGTGTGTTTGCCCCCCACTAGGGGAGCTCCAGCCTGTGACTGAATCTCAGAGCAGTGAAGGTCTATACTCACTTGTCACGTAGAAGTAGATGACTCTGTCGTCCTGACCGGCTTTGTTGAAAGCAGAACATTTGTACATGACAGAGAGATTGGCCGCCAGAATCACCAGCTTACTGACTGTCTGCGAGAGACACGCCAAGTTAGAGAGGCCACTCACAGCCTGGCCTGAGGTTACAGGGAGTTAGGGTCAACAACAACAACTTGCACTTATATAGCGCCCTCCAGGGTAGGGTCTCAGAGCGCTTAATAGTGGCAGAGCCTGACTCCGAACCGGGGGAGGGGGGAGGTGACCATAAGCACGGTCGAAGAGGAAGATTTTAAGGCAGGACTTAAAAGAGGGGAGAGAGAGGGGGCAAGGCGGGGGGATTGAGGGAGAGTGTTCCAGAGTTTCGGGTCGGAGTGGCTGAAAGCGCAACCTCTGATGGTTGGGCGGAGGGTACGAGGGACGAGCAGAAGCCGGTGTCAGTCGAGCAGAGTCGCTGGGTGGTGGATTGGGGAGTGAGGAAGTCGGAGAGGTAGGGAGGTGCCAAAGAGTGAAGGGATTTGAACACGAGCGTGAGGATCTTGAAGTTAATCCATTCAGTGATGAGGAGCCAATGGAGCCTGGGCCAGAACTGGTGAAATGTGGATCAGGGGGGGTTAGTACCCGATAGGGTTTAGTGAAGATATTAATAACGTCATCTAGTAAAATGTTGGGGCCCCCAAACCAACCTGTGCCCCAGCCCCCGCAAGGGATCTATTACCCGCTGCATCTAAACCACTCACGGAACATGTGCAAACCATGTGCAAAGTACATCCATGTCGTGTGCAAAGGGTATGCAAACCCTGTGGAACTGCGTGCAAACACCGTGTGAACCACTCGCAAAGTACTCCCTCTCTATTGGACAGAGAGAAGCTTCTTACCTTGTTTCTCCCCTCTACTATCTCAGTCTTGGTTTCCAGGCTCTCGATCTCATTGACTGCAGTGTCGGTTGTGATGTTCCGCCAGTCCCCACACTCAGGGGTCCTGTCCCGGGGCCGGCGGCCCACCGTGGCTCTCCGACCTCTGGACAAAAGGAGAAACCAGACCCATCACTTCCACACACGGCAATGGCTTTCACTGGCTGATGTGATACACACTCGTTATCAGCCCAGAGCTCCCAAACTAATAATAATCCTTGTATTTGATATAGCGCTTTTCACATCTTCTCGACGTCTCAAAGCGCTTCACAGAATATACTGTAAGATGAATTGACTGTATATTTGTGGGTGAAACATGGCAGCCAATTGCACACAGCAGTGTCCCCACAAACAGTCGTGGATTGAAAATGACCAATTTATTATTGTTTTGTTTTGGAGGGATTATTAGGCCGTGTGTGGAGTAAGGAAACTTGCCCAAGGTTTGGCCCTCTGTCTGGAATTGAACCCAGATCTCTCGTTTGCAAGGCGAGTACTCTAACCACTGAGCTACAGGACTCCACTACCCCAAACCAATCCCCTGTGATTTCAGAGTGGAAACTTGACCAGGGCTCCTGCTAATGAACGACTCAAGGGCGGCAGGGGGCCGTGAAGAGAATTTAATGGTGTTAACCAAAGCTGTGGTCAGATATTTGTTGAAGGATGGATCCCTGCCGGTGGGATGGAGGTAAGTGAGGAACAAGCAGTAAGGTAGAGTTGGAGGGACACAGGGCACGGAGGGCGAGTGGGGCTGGAGGAGAGATCATTGACGAAGCAGGGCAAACCCTGGAGCTGAGGTTTGCTGGTGCGGTGAAACGTGGAGAAGGTTTAGCCGGAGCCTGACTCTCCTCGGGGGATGGGGGGGGAGGGGGGAGTGGATGGATACACGGGCAATGCAAACATCTACAGAAAAACAGGAAGACGGTTGGGAGACGAGGAAGAGTCCCGCATCCTCTCAGTCTGAAATAAACAGGAGACATTGGCAGAAGCAGCAGCTTTAATAATTCATGCCGTGTGCCTGCTTCCTGCCGGCCTGAGCCAATAACAAACACTGTCTGCTTTGTGTGCTCTCCAACGCACCGGGGGGAGTCTCTCTAACTCCACACGTTTTTATCTCCTCACTAACGCTCCCTGCTATTGTTCCAAGGCCATCGCCAACACAGGGAGGTTAGCCATTGACCATTACCAGGATTTGTGTGGGATTTAGCTCCCAAACTACCGACGAGCGAGAGAAACAGTGAGAGTGAGAGAGAGAGAGACGATGAGAATGTACATGGTGCAGGAGGCGCTGGTTGGGTTTACGTTGTACTCGTGCCCCAACCCTAATCACGGGCCGATGTGTGAATAGAATAACAATCCTGGCATTTCATACAGCGTCTTATCACGTCATTGAGACGATTCATGGAATATACTGTAAAGTGCAGTGACTGTATATTTTGTAGGTGAAACACAGCAGTCGACTGCACACAGTGGTGGATTGAGTGACTACATTGTTATAAATATTGTGTGGCATGTGGAAGGTTTAGCGCTATGCATGTGTAATCAAGCGCTCTGAGACGCTACCCTGCATGGAGGGTGCAACTTGTCGTTGTTACTCACAGGCTGCGGGAGGAGCTCAGGCCGCAGGGTCCCCAGGGCCGCCAGTGCCACAGGAGCTTGAGTGGGGCAGGAACACCGGACACCGTGCATGTCAGTGTCTGCCGGCTGCCACGGGCATAGATGTTTGTGGGCGACGCCACTTCCTTCTCGTGGATCCGAGGTGGGACTGAACATCACAAACACACAGAGCAGCTGGTGACTGGACAGCAAGATCAACAGGGACTTGTTCACCCGCGGACTACACAATCCTCACACCCAACACCGTTACTGTGAATACACCTCGGGAACGTGAGCACTGAAGTGTGGGCAGAGCAGCAGAAATCACACGGAAATCACACGGCAATCACACAGTGGGTTTAGCCTGGATTGTTCCCAGCGCAACGCACAGACACGCACATACACACACACAAGCACACACATACCACTCACACACAAACATAAACACACGCGTAGACACATATGGACTCACACACAGATACCAGCAACAGAGATGAGCCAAATGGCCTCCTCCTGGGCTGTTACTGAGTGACAGTGAAGAGGTAGGAGTCTGGGCACATGCTCTCCCCCCATCTCCCCGGAGGGGAATGAATGGAGCCAGAGCTAAGTAATGCACCTGATAATAACAAACCCTGCAGCGCACACAGCACCTTATCACACTGATGAGATGTCTCAAAGCGCTTCACACGATACACTAAAGTATTATGACTGTGTTTTGTGGGCAAGCGCATGAGTGAGTGAGTGTGAGAGAGAGAGTGAGGGAGTGAGTAGCTGTGGAAGCAGCCGGAGTTGGAGCAGGGAGCCAGTGAGGGTCTCTGTGTCTCTGCCGTTACCATTGACTATGAGCCTCAAGGTCAGACGCTCCTGCAGGTTAGCCTGGGAGTTCCGCACCACGATGGTGTACAGCCCCGAGTCCTGCTCTGCCACCTCGCGGATCACTAAACCAGACACAGAAAGCTTTATCTTGTTAAAGGTTGGACTTTTCTTGATAAATTTTCCATCTTTGTACCTGAAACAAGACACACGTTAAGTGGATGTTCCCCGCGGGGGTGGGGAGGGGGCGGGGGTGGCGGCAACTGCACCAAGTAACGAACAAAACATTAGCAAAATCACGACATGGTGGCTCGGAACTGAAGAGAAAGGAGATTTTATAACCAGCTGAGATTTCCCCACACTCGCTCCCCACCCCCAATCTTAGACAAAAACACTTTAACTTAAACATATCATCACCGCAGTGGTGGGACATTCTCAAACCGGCACACATTCAGAGGCTGGTGGAGAGGCCGTGACTCCGGGGGGGCTGCCCAGATATAATAATCCTTGTATTTCATACAGCGCCTTATCCCGTTGGTGAGAAATCTCAAAGAGCTTCACAGAATATACTGTAAAGTGTAGTGACTGTATACCTTGTGGGCAAAACTCAGTAGCCAACTGGGGAGTGGTTGGTGGGTACAGGGGGCTGAGCTGGGTGGGGGGTGGTGCTGAGCTGGTCGGGGCTACAGGGATGCTGAGCTGGGCCGGCGGGGCATATGGGCGTGCTGAGCTGGTCGGGGGGGGATTTGGATACTGAGCTGGTCAGGGGGGGATTTGGGTGCTGAGCTGGATGGGGGGGATACGGGGTGCTGAGCTGGGTGAGGGAGGATTTGGATGCTGAGTTGGTCAGGGGGATTTTGGTGCTGAGCTGGTCATGGAGGATATGGGGTGCTGAGCTGGGTGAGGGGGCATTTGGATGCTGAGCTGGTCGGGGGGATTTGGATGTTGAGCTGGTCGGGGGGGATTTGGGTGCTGAGCTGGTCGGGGGGGGATTTGGGTACTGAGCTGGGTGAGGGGTGTACTCACCATTGGACCTCGGGTGGGGGGTACGCGGCCAGTCTGACGGGCAGCTTCACGTTCCTATCCCCGACCGTAACCTCCATCTCTCGCGGCAGCTGGGAATCCAGGCTGATAAATGGCCGCTCTGTAACACATGGCGTCACGGGGACAGAAACACAGACAACAGAATCACCACCTGACACTCACCATCCAGCGCCAATCACACCCCCCACTCCCCCCCTCGCCCCAGCCTAGCGCCTGTAAGGTCATCAGGAAAGACCCTCAGCTATTACACTGTGGGTGGGGCTGTGGGGAGGGCAGGGCCAACAGGGAGGGGCACATGGGAGGGCGGAGCCTGTGGGGAGGGAGGGGCACATGGGAGGGTGGGGCCCGTGGGGAGGGTGGGGCCCGTGGGGAGGGTGGGGCCCGTGGGGAGGGCGGGGCTTACCGTGCACCACGACGTCAGCGTTCTTGCTCATGTTGCTGGAGACAGTGAGTGCCTGGCACACGTATTGGCCCATGTCACTCAGCGTCACGTTGTGGAGGGTGAGAGAGCTGCTCAGCTCCATCTCTGCCACCAGCTGCCGGCGCTCTGACCCCAGGGATACGGCGCGGCGGGTCTGCCCAGACACAAACACAGCGATTACTCATAGCCTCCAAACCTTGGCAACACCAACACACAGAGCCTCACCACGAGCAACGCCCGAGGCTGGGCACTGCTAGGCATGAGCGGGAATGAGGGGTTAAATCCTGCCATACAGCACCAGCACTGGCACTGGGTTACCTGTTTGCCAGGGTAGTCCCACTGGAAATCCACACCAGCATTGAACTCCGCTCGCACTGAGCAGGTCAGCTCCAGACTCTCACCCGCAATCAACTCCATGTGATCCGGCCTCAGGGAGAACTCGTAAATATCGCTGCCTTCGGGAGAGAGAGAGAGAGAGAGAATGTGAGATCAAAGAGTGTGAGATAGAGAAAACGTGAGATTTCAATGTGAGGAATGTCATAGAATAGGCAAAGAGATATTACAACTCACCTATCATCAACACATAGAAAGTTCCTGTGATGAACAGCTGCTTCTCAAAAGTGGTCTCACATTTAACGTAAATCACATCATCAAACATGTGGCTGTGAACAAGCATCCCTCGCCTGTTATCCCAGATCACACTCTTCCCGTCTGGATTCAGGAGTTGATCCTGTCGAGTTCAACACAATGAGGAGATTGGATTCCCAGGTTGGTCACTGATCGTCAGGGGAGATCTGTGAGAGTCAGAGCCCGGGTGAGGGAGTGAAGCCCGGGTGAGGGAGTGGAGCCCGGGTGAGGGAGTGGAGCCCGGGTGAGGGAGTGGAGCCCGAGTGAGGGAGTGGAGCCCGTGTAAGGGGCAGACCCCGGATGATGGGTGGAGACTGGGTGAGGGGGTGAGCCTGGGTGAGGAGGCAGAGCCTGGGCCAGAGGGAGGGGTATGGAGCAAGGGCGCTGCATTAAGTATTGTTTTACTATTACTATAAGCAGTGACTTTACCCTTCTCAGTCGCAGGCTGACGTTGAGGTTGGGCACAGACACAGGGCAGGGCACCGTCACCATCGAGTGTTTGGAAATGTAGATGAAGTTGATGGTTTCTGGTGAGGAACTGAAAAACACCTGCTGGAAATCTGCAATCACATAAACCCACTCAGCGTCAGAATCTGTCTCTAACCCACATTGTCATTCACCTGGGAGAGCTCAGTGGACAGTGTAGAGGATCTGTACTCTCACTGTAACCTGTGTGATCAGGATGAACGGTGCGGAGGAAGCTTTACTCCATGCCTCACTAATACCCATCCAGTATCATCAGCCAGCTCTCCCAGGACAGATACAACAACAGTGACAACAACTTGCATTTAGATAGTGCCTGCCAGGCAGGGTGTGGTCTGGGAGGACACATGACCCAGGTTAGCTGTATACCAACACCCCACTGCACTGACCCTGTGTGTAAGCTCCTGAGCTGCTGGCCAGGCTGCTGAGGGCAGGATGTGATTTCTGTGTGTTTGTCGTTTGTGATGCTGTGTCCTTGTGCTGCTCGTGGGGTGGGGCCGCTTCCCCTCTTTGTTTACAGAGCTGCACTTTCAGGCCTTCACTTGGAATGGGCACAAAGCGTGTCTGTCCAGGGACAGGGAGAGAGAGAGGGAAGGAGAGAGCGAGGGAGATAGAGCGGGATGCCACAAATGACAGTGGTGGAAAAGGAACGTTCTCACCCTGTGATTAGGTCAACCCACAAGCAAAGGTTAGAGACCAGAGGAAAGGTCCCTCTACACTGTCCACCCAGTAACGCACAACTAATTTCTCACCAATGTTTAAAAACCCACAAAAATCTCCCCCTCTGGAGGTTAACAGTGATCAGGGATCTGACTCTGGGAGTGTGCGTGTTACAGTCTGCTCACTGCTGTGTGTTTGCTTCTCTAATGAAGCCTCTTTAAGTCACGGAGAGCCAGAGGCAGCAAACCTGACGTTTGCCAGTTTGAGAATCACAACAGAAAATATTTCATTTCCTCGTTATCAATTACAACCAGAAGCAAATCCACCAGCTCCTGCCCTCGGCCACAGTGTGGGCTTCAGCACCCACAGCACATAGCCTCTATCAGCATGTTCAAGCAGCACACAGCAACGTGCGCGCGATTTCTGGACTCGAGGGGGGTAGGTGACGTGGCTTCAGGAAGACTCTGATCTGAGGCCAAGAGAACAACAAGCTTCGGGGGGGGGGGGGTGGAGGGAACAATGACAGAATCAGGATATTTGGGGGATTTGGTGAAATGCTGCGGATATTAGAGTTTGCAAGAGATCCAAGGCCAATGGGACAAAGCCAGTCAGTCCAGAATAATAATCCCTACTCTCTCCCATCATGTCTGAGCTGGTGCTCGCTCCCCCACTGGAGCTCTCTACTCTAACCCCATTCCCTGCTCTCCCCCCATCGTGTCTGTACTGGTGTTCGCTCCCCCATTGGAGCTCTACTCCATACCCATTCCCTCCAAAAATATTGAATTTTCACTGGTTGGAAACAGGCTCCGAAAGGTCAGATAATAATAATAATCCTTGCATTTGATATAGCGCTTTCCACGTCTTCTCGACGTCCCAAAGCGCTTCACAGAATATACTGTAAAGTGAACTGACTGTATATTTGTGGGCGAAATGCGGCAGCCAATTGCGCACAGCAGCGTCCCACAAACAGTCGTGGATTGAAAATGACCAATTTATTATTGTTTGGTTTTGGAGGGATTATTATTAGGCTCTGTGTGGAGCAAGGAAACTTGCGTGTGGAGTAAGGAGACTAGCTGGGGACAGAGCAACTGAAGCATGTTTGGGTCACCGCATGAGTCAGACCTGGTGTAAATACCACACTTTGATCATTTCTCAGGCAGGTTTGACATGAACTTAACGCTGGCAGAGAGGGACCCGGACAGCTGCTGATCTCGTGGCCTTTGACCTACGTCAAATCCAATTCACTGTGAAATTCTCTTTCAACTGCAGTTAGAAGGGTCGGAGGCACCGTCACACATAGGCCAACACTCTGAAGCCATGTCACAAACAGCTCAATCCGCAACATAACAATCAGCCCTGAACTTGATACAGCGACTGGAATGTCACAACACTGGGAAGTGCTTAACTGGGAATCGTTACCAAGTGCAGTGACAGTTTCTCTGTAAGCAAATACAGCAATAACATCCCCCCACACACCCCAGGGGGGAATGGCCAATTTATCTGGAGAATTGTTGGCCAGGAGAAACTTTCTTCTCTTTTCAATGATATCATTGGATCCTTAACATCCACCTGAAGAGGCAGAAAGTTTAAGGTCTCATATGAAGGGCGAGTATACTTGTCCTGACTCTTCAACCCCCAGCTCTAGCCCCCAGCCCAGCCTCCAGCCCAGCCCCCAAACCCCAGCCCTCAGCCACCAAACCAGCCCACAGCCCCCAGTGCCTGCTTTGTGTGTGAGCAGCCTCCAGTGTTGTCTTTGTGGACGATTCATTCAGGATATTAGTCTTCAGTGCCGAAAACCTCAGGAAATGAGGAAGCATCCACTTCATAACCACAGGGAGCCTGGCTCTCACCTACGTCAACAGACGTGTTCATATAACCCAACTACACACCATCCACGTACCACAAAATGCATCACCCCACCCCCGTGAGATTGTAACAAGGAGGGGAAAGAGGGGAAACAGCCTCATAGTAGCCGGTCTAACTGGGGGTTGAGGGAAGAGAGAATGTGGATCTCACTGCTGGACACTGTGATGAAGCAGAAAATATTAACATGTTCTAAAGGGAACTCAGAAGAGAGTACAGAGGGGAGGAGAAAGATAGGGGAGTAGAGGGGAAGGGAGAGAGGAGAGGAGGGGAGAGAGGGGAGAGGGAAGGAGAGGAATGGGAGAGAGGAGAGGGAGAGGGGCGATGGGAGAGAGGAGAGAGGAATGGAGCCATTTTCTGAGCAGACATAACATTGGAAACGGCTGGATCAGAGGCTGGCAGCTGGGAAGCCACTGAGCAGAAGCAGGAGGAAACCTCGTTCCAAAATAAACATTTTCATTTCTTTGATTCTTGACATCTTCTTAACAAGAGACTCGTTTAATACGGCTCACAGCAGCTTGGACACAGGGTGCTGAGCTCACAGCCTGGACTGGGAACTGGGACCTGAGCTCCAGGCAAAGCATATAACCACAGCTGTGACCATCAAGCGCACACTGAGTCCCTCACCTGCTCCCACGCCAGGATACACTAGGCTTTATATACTATACACAGCACCGTCACAGACAGAGCATTAGACAGTGTTAAAGAGAAAGAGAGAGACATTGGGTCAATTAGGGACAAACAGGAAAATAGATGTTACAATAGATAGATAGACAGACACACAAAGACAGACAGAGAGACAGAGACACTTAATCTTTTGGCCCTGCCCTTTCCCAGTTGTATCTGTTCTGGTGCTCCCTCTCCCTCTATTCCCATTCCCTGCTTTCTCATTCTTCACATGTTCAGCCAATCCAACGTGGATCTGGAGGTGAACGATTTGCTATGAGAGATGAGAACCACAAGGTGCTGGGTGTGAAGGTGGGGGTCGAAGATGGGGCTCTTACCCTGGACAAACACGTAGATGCTGGAGGCGGTGGTCCCATCCACGATGGCACTGATGAACTGGTACGAGCAGCGGTAATAGCCAGTGTCGCTGGCCCTGGCTCCTGTCAGGGTGAAGATCTTGCAGTATTGTTGGGCCACGGAGCCCTCGCACTCTTGCACACTCACCGTCCGCCCCCCAGACTCCTCTGTCCAGGACTGCACTGAGGTCTTGTCAGCCTGGTTGTGGGCCTGGCTGCCCTCCCGGCTGCCTCCAGCCTTTCCCGGCCACGACCACTGCAGCGGCCTCTGTCCTCTGTAACCAGGAGCAGCACTCGATCACCTTCTCCCCCTTTCCCAAGCCGGAGGGCCCACCCTTTCCCAACCTTTCTGCAACTTCAGCAACACAGAACTGAGGACCATTGCCGCGCTCACTCACTCTTAATTTGGAAGCTGAGTTTTGGTAATCCATGAGAAGGGAACCGTAGCAATAACAATAATAATTCTGGCTTTTGATACAGGGCCTTTCAAGCCAGGAGAACAAGTCAAAGCGCTTCACAGGCTATACTATAAAGTGTAGTGATTGTGTGTTTTGGGGCAAATACGACAGCCAATTTGCACGTAGCAATGTTCCACAAATAGTCATGAAGTCAATGGGCAATTTTATGGCCAAGACACTGGGAGGAACAATAGGATGATGGTTAATGTTTATGCTAGGATTGTGATGGAGAGAACACCACCACCAACTTGCACTTATAGTGCCCCAGCACAGCAGAGAACCCCAGCACAGCGGGTGGGGGGCTCTAGGGGGTGGGGGGGAAGGAGAACCCCAGCATTAGGGGCGCGGCTGGGGGGCCGAGGACTTGGTGAGTTGGATTCTCACAGTCTTGACAGATCGTTTCAGCACGGATCGCGAAGGCATTTATTACATGCTTGTGATTTAAACTCTTTTCTCTCATTGCGCAGCCCAGGGTGTGGGGGTTCAGCTGGGATTAGTGGGTTGTGGGCAGGGTGGCCAGGGCGGGAAGGACAGGGCGGGCACTGACCTGCAGATGATGCTCAGAGCGCTGTCCACATTAATGATGTACTCGTCTTCGGTGATGTTGAGTGTAGGAGAGGACATGGAATAGCCCCACACTAGTCCTGTGAGAGCACAGCACAGTTACTGCACTGGGCCCACAACAACAACAATAATAATCCTTGCATTTGATATAGCGCCTTATCATGTCTTTGAGACGTCTCAAAGCGCTTCACAAAATATACTGTAAAGTGAATTGACTGTACATTTGTGGGCGAAATGGGGCAATTGCCTACAAACAGTCTTGGATTGAGTGACCAAATTATTATTTTTAGGTATTATTATCCCCGGAAAAGCGATCCGCCAATTGACTAACTACTGGGTTCCTACTTACTGCTGGGTAAACAGAGGCTTGTGGGGTAAGGAAACTTGCCCAACATTTCACCAAAAACAAATTACATGTGTATAGTGCCTTTCGTGATGGGAGGATAGCCCAAGGCACTGACTGCGAGAGGGGAGAAGGGAGGGAGAGGATGAGAGGGGAGGGAGAGGAGAGGGAGAGGAGGAGAGGGGAGATAATCTACTCTTCATCTTGTTTCTCAGCCCTGGACATTGTGTGAAGACAAGTTTGGTTGGGATTCCGCTCCCCCCCACCCCCAGTGTAAATGAGAATGGCTGAGCGCAAGCGAGAGTGAGTGAGCGAGAGACTGAGTGAGAGTGACTGAGCCAGCTGCACACCTTGACTGGCCCTGTGACAGGAGTGCTGACAACTCCGTTCTGTTTCAAATCCCAGAGTTTATGGATTGATATTTTAACATAATATTAAACATTCTTTGAGACAGAATTATTGCCACAAAATCCCCAGCCCAGAACCCCAGCCTCCGAGATTCTCAAATACTTTCTGAATTGAGAAATGCTGGTGAAAAGCCAAGATCCACAAGGCTGGACAGAGTGAGAGAGAGAAGCCGCATTAACTCAGGGAATTGTGATCGTTGTCACTCACATCACATCAACTTTAAACCTCCGCACAGTGTCAGTGCGGGAGAGGGCAGTGGAGGGGGAAGGGCGTGGGGGCGAGGGGAGTGAGCCCTGAGTGTAGGAAGACAAGGAGTGGGGGAGGGGAGAACGGGGAGTGGAGGATGGAGAGTTGTGGGGGGAGGCAGTGTATGTGGGGCGGGGGAGGCTGTGTGTGGGGGTGTGGGTGTGTGTGTGTGTTTGTGTGGAAGGGGGAGAGAAAGGGGGGAGCCACAGCTAGTGATGTGATGTGCTGCACTGCTCTGGCTCCCCCTCCTCATGGCCCAAACAGGAAACAGCAGCAGATGGTCCACAGGTCACACAGTTGGGTGGAGAGTTTCCTGTTTTGCTGTGAGTTTACAGCATCTCAAACACCAAATACTGCAGCTCAGCCACACACCCTCTGCAGGCCACTCCCACAAACACCCCACCCTCACCCCCAACCCCACAAACACCGCATCCCCACCCTCGCCCCCAATGGGCACCCTACACTGTCACCAGTACCCTATAGTCACTTTCCAAATGAACCTTGAAGATGGAGAGTGTGGGAGGGCAGCATGTGGGCTTTCAGGCATCAGGAAGTGAGTCCAGGAGCTGTGTTCACCTTTCCCTGGAACTCATTACTCCAGTTTTCCAAATAATACATCCTGTCGTCTCCCTGGTAACAAATTACCCAGGATTTGTTGAGCAGCGATTTATAGTATTCACAACATATACATAGGAACAAATCAGCGAGCACCATCATGGACACGATGGGTAGAGAGCAGGGAATAGGGTTAGAGTAGAGAGCTCCAGTGGGGGAGCGAGCTCCAGCACAGACCCGATGGGGAGAGAGAGCAGGGAATAGGGTTAGAGAGCCCTGGGGGAGGAGGGGGTGGGGGGGGGGTCTTCCAGTAATAGGGTTTCAGGCATTCCATGCTTTGCTATCTCACAGCCACGAGCACTCACAGGGAAGGGAAATTACCCACAAAACACGAAACTTTGACTAGCAAAATCCAGAGCAATGACATCACCACCTCAAAGCAACCCCAAAATATTCACACAATCTCCCTGTGTCCAAAATAACCAGCAGTGATGACAAGTTGTGTCGTAGCACAAGGTGAGGAGACGGAGATTGAGGGGCAAATCAAGCCAAGGGCAATGCAGGAGCTGGTGTTTGTGGAAAATTGTGGCTGGGCTGTGAGTGACGGGAGCCCACAGAAAGCATCCATGCAGGGATTCAATTGGAAACTGTTGTCAGCCCTCTCCAATATCAATGATGACAATGATAATCACAGCTGTCAATGGGGCCAATACCACACTGCAGCTGGGAGTTTAACGGCACAGGAATTACTGAGCCAGCAATTCTTCTGCCATCTCCTTTACAGCTCTCTCGCTCTCTCTCAGTCTCGCCCTCTCTCTCTCGATCTCTCTCTCATCTCGTGCTCTCTATCAGTCTCTCTCTGGGCACAGAGCTCCAGAGGTTGTTCTGCTGAAGTCTAAAGCTTCCTGTAACCCCAGTGTGGTTGAGACAACCCTTTGTTTTATAAGTTTATGGGGGTGAAAAATATGTGACGTTTCATGTTCATCAGCTGAAATCCATTACCTTGGTGACAGACTCCCGATACCCTGGTGACAGAACATTGCTTCACGGCTCTGCCTCAATGCCTCATTAACTCACCTGGAACTCCGGTTGCCCTGGGAGGTTGGGGGTTGAGACGGTGAGAGAAACGCGGAGAGTGAGAGGGGGTGTTACGGGGTGTGGGATACCCGGTCACAAACACTGCCTCAAGCTGAACACGACTTTTACACGGTGATTCCCCATGGAATAAAGGGTGTGGGGCAGGAGGGGGCTGACCAGACACAATGAAGCTTAATTCTAATATATGATTATATTGTAATGAGGGCTTAATGACAAGTTAGTGTTGATTTCCCACCCTAACCCCTGACCTGCCTGAGCAGTACTGTGTGAAACAGCAGCCAGAATGCCCAGGTTTCACAGTGAAGTGAGGTGTCAGTTTGTGGATGAAGAAAGAGAAACAGGTTCAGTGACTCCCTGTGGCTGTCAGGCCCAGTCACAGTGTAACAGCGGAGAACAGAAGCCACTCAGCCCCACCTCGCCCCCCACCACCCGACACTCAACACTGAGTATAACAGGAACTCCCAGATATAAACACAAACCCTCAGCTATTTATTTTTAGTTTTAAAGTTTCCTTTTATCAATAACTTTACAGCTACCACAACACTGCACCACCCCCCACCCCCCCACACACACACACACAGCAACCCCCCCACCCCCCACACACACAACTTCTCCACACACACAGCCCCTCCACACACAGACAGCCCCACCGCGCACGCACACATAGCCCCTCCATGCACACACAGCCCCCTCCACACGCGCACACACAGCCCCCTCCACACGCGCACACACAGCCCCCTCCACACGCGCAAACACAGCCCCCTCCACACGCATACACAACCCCCTCCCCACCCAGTGTCATGAGAGGGTGGCTCATGTGGAGATGGATGGACTGATAGGATTTCAGTGCTGTTAAGATTAGGATTGTGCTGAATTGTGGCCTAATCTCTACAGCACACAGCCTGGGTTAGAGATACTGTAAAACCTGCACTGTTATAGCATGTCGGAGCTTCACACTTGAAACAAGCCGCATTTCAGTGATACCAACTATGTAACAACTATATTATGAGATGGTGAACATGATGGGTCACCAACCAACTAACTCCTGGTCCAGACCAACAGTGCAACACACAGCAGCACCACATTGACCCACACCGTCAGTCGGGAATAGCACTGAGCCCAACAACAAAACTAGCCTGTAAATAAAGCTTAGCATAGGCAATTTCAACACTCAGGTTATACAGTGCTTTACTGTGTCTCTAACCCTGACCTGGGAGTGTGGACGCACAGTGTAGAGAGAGCTTTACTGTGTCTCTAACCCCGACCTGGGAGTGTGGACACACAGTGTAGAGGAACTTTACTGTGTCTCTAACCGTGACCTGGGAGTGTGGACGCACAGTGTAGAGGGAACTTTACTGTGACTCTAACGCACGCTATCATTGACCTGGGAGGGCTGTTCCAAATGCGAAGCTGCTTTAAAGGGTTAAACTGAGCTGGGTTCACTTTAAAGGCACCATTTGGGAACACACTAATGTGTTAATGTGGAGCTTGGCCAGGAAATTGTGCCAAGAATCATATAGGAACCATCTGTGGGCTGGAGGTAAATGACTTTATAATATTCAATTGGGGAACGTGCCAAGTGGTCATTAGGGAGCGTGGATTTGATGAAGTACGGAGACTGGGGAAATAAGACATCTCAGAGAAATATATTCCAACTTCGATACAGGAGATTGGCAGCTTGTGATACGAGGTTACGGGTGCCACAATATAAGGTGGGGCTGAGGGAAGGGTGGAGCGGAGGACTGGCAGGCAAAGGATTCGCTGTTAGCACTTACTGCCTCACAGCCTCACCTCCCTTTCCCTGAATCAGCACTGAGCTGGAAACCCTAGACCAACTGCTCTCTCACACACATGGGCTTTGGTCACAAAGACCCCATTCTCACACTCAGCCCAGTTACTTAATGAAAGAGAGAAGACGTGGAGGGAGTTCTGCAGAATAACGATCCACATTCCAAATGTCAGCACCAGCAAACTCTGTCTCATGTTAAAACAGATTAAATGTTTATTTGGTCACAAAAATGTATCATCTGATAAATGATCCTTTTCACCAAGAGCCCAAAGCTCTTCCCCCCCTTCCCCCTCCCCCCGTCCCCTCCTATTTTCACCTCTTCCACCTCATCCCCTCCAACTCTGCCCCCTTCCCCCCTCTCCCCCCTCACACACAATGACTTTCTCCACTATGTTCATTGTTCCTCAGAGCCTCCAACCCCTTTTTCCTCCCCCAAACGTACATAAAAAATGACAGCTCATTGTATCATCCTCTCCTCCAACCCAGGTTTCCCAGCCCCTTGAGACTGTGTAACTCTCCTTCCCTCGCTCTCCCCTTCCTCCTGCACTACATGACTCCTCTCTTTCCCCCCCTCTTCCTTCCTCTCCTTCCTCTCTCTCTTTCTACAGGCTTTTAAACCCTAACCCCGGGTGTATGTCAGG